TCCATGAGGAAGGGCGCTTGGAGCAGCGCCATCACCTGGGGACGGGGGAACGGGGGGTAGGGGATGGGGGGGAGGGGAAGGGGGAAGATGGGGACAAAGGGAGTCTCAGAGCTAGCGAGAGACGTGGGACATGAGAAGCTTGAAGCAACGCCATCACCTGTGGGAGAGGGGATGGGGGGCGATTGGGGGGGGGAGCTAGAGAGGGAGGGGGGAGCGGGAGAGGGAGTGAGAAAACGCTGCGCGGCCAATGGCGTCAGCGCGAAAGCGGAAAAGAAAGCGCGGAGAAACTGGAGGGCAGAAATGGGGCGGGGGATGCGAAACAGGGACAAGAAATCTTGCGAACAACTGTCGCTGTTACGAATGTAGCACCTGTCGCAGACATAATTGTCGCGCGTACCTGTCGCACATACCACTGTCGCACGTACCACTGTCGCACGTACCTGTCGCGGGAACGTGAGCGGCAGTTGCCCGAGGGCATGGGGATTGCCGACATTCGTGAATACGATCTGGCGGAGGGGGAAGGGAAAGGGGAAAAGGGGGAGGGGGATGGGGAAGGGGATGGGAGAGCGTGAGCGGCAGCTGCCCGAGGGCATGGGGATTGCCGACATTCGTGAATGCGATCTGACGGAGGGTAAGGGGGAGCCAAAAGGATGAGTGGGGGGGTTGCGGGGAGCGGGAGTGGTTAGTGGAGAAGTGGAAGGGGAAAGTGGAACTGGGGAAAGTAGGAGTACGTGGAAGAGGAGTGAAAGAGAGGGCCTATAGGGCGAAACAGTATGAACGAGAGAGAACGGATGCACGTTCGATGACAGGAACTCCGAAAGAGAACGTGACAGTAGGTTTCTCGAAAATCCTAGCAAATCGCGTACGCAAGGATCTCCTAGAGCTTATATGCGCGTTTCTTGAGAATACCGAAGAAGTAGCCTGTATCCGGAGAATCATTGCGCAATTTGCTAGAGCTTATGTGCGCGTTTATTGAGAATACCGAAGAAGTAGCCTGTATCAGGGGTTCTGACAGAGAATGCCGTTAGCTTCAACACCGGAGTCGCCGGAATACACCGCGCGAGACAGGATCCGTGTGACAAGAATCGCAGGGACCCCTGCGACAGGATTTGCGACAAGTGCTACAGAGTTTCATGCGACAGGCTTACGTCTACAGGGATCTGCTATCACACCTGATGTCTTAAGGCCGTCCAACTGCACGTTCATGAATTTCTCTTTATTTGAAGCGCACGGAGTAATTATTGACCGTGATCTCACTAAATCGAAAGTAATATAGCGAGTCAAATTAGAACCTCACCTCTTTCCCCTCCGCCTGTAGTTGAGCCGCCCTCAGATAAAGCTCCCCCCGCACCGCGTAGACCGTCTTCTCCACATTCGCATTGATAGTCCCCGGCTGTAGCACGCGATTATCGGCCATGATTGCACTGTAGCGAATGTGACAGTAACGCGAGGTGCTAATGCGGGATCGCTACAAGCAACAGCAGCTCGAGGCGAGAATCACGGCTTCTGACACGACAAAGTCGTGGTCACTCCTCGTTCAAAGCCTTCTCGCGGAATCCACACCACAACCAGATTCTGGGTGCTTGCGTGAAGTGCCGTGACGTGCGTCTTCTCCCTTATCTAAACGCAACGCAGCGAAGAAGTATGAGAAAGGGACCCAGAGAACGGTTGTGGAGGAAGAAAAGTTCTTGGCTACACGTCAACTCATAAGGTGCATGAATCAATGAGATAATGTTGTCAGCAATCAGAAAGGTCCAGCGTGAGGGAAACTAGAGGGGAACGTTGGAGTTCATGGGGGATGGTGAAGTACATTTCCCACTCAGAACCATACTCAACCGTTGTTTAGTTTCAAAGAGCCGATCTATTATTACAGTATACGACAATGTCACCCCAACCAGATTCAAGCGAACACATCACTCGGCCCAACTTCGAAGGAATTTTCCTCACGGAGAGTTGAGCTTAAAGGTCTTGGACGTTTGAGTACGCTGTATTGCGGTTAAGAGAGGTATTTCGCTTTGGCATACTGCAGACACGGCTCTCCGCATTGCTTGGGTTGGATTCCTGAATCCACCGCAACTCTCATTGTAGCCCATCCATCTGTCTGCACCTGCTCGACGATCTGATTTCTGTGGCGGTGTGAACATTGGCGCGTCGTTTCACGCATTGAAACCATCCGCGGCCCGAGGTCTGATCTGTAATGAGGGGCTAGTTTGTGCTGACGTGGATCTAGTTCCGACATACGCCTGTCCAAGTGCAGGTTTGTTAACCCTGCAATTCCCACGTACACGTATGCCATTCTCTCATCGCGCGAATGTGTCACAGTCGCACCCACTTGTTCAGCGTATATACTTAATATAAAACCAGTTCAATGCTTATAAAACCAGTTCAATGCTAGTGACTACAAGTTGATGGCTCATGTGCCATAGAGCATCCCTATTTAGTTCCGTAACGCTATTATGTTAATTTAAAATAGCCATTACTATATATCAGTGAAACTCATATAGCAACGAGATCCAAGATAAGAGCGCTTGATGACCCCGTGAGTGAATTCATATTTAAACACAACTACAAATTATTAATCCGCTGCGTGTTTTTATACACGCTTCTCGCTCTTTCCATCAACCAGCCTGTCGGGGCGCAGCACTAGCACAGTGACGGCCGCGCTTGTTCTTGCCCCGTACCGCGTGCCGCTGGTGGGGCACCAAGCGCCTGTTACTCCTACGAACCACGCCTCCGCCGCTTTTAGCCTAACAACCTCCGTCGGCGAGGGCGGTTAGTGGGGATTATTGTGTGAAACCGAGTAACACACTCTCGTGCAGCTCGATCTTCAGCAGTACAGCGCCGCCACCCTGCAATCGCTACCGTCGGCTATTTGGGAAAAATAATCGTCGATCGCGAAATAGGACGTAACCCTTGCAAGCGAGAAAGCATGGCCTTGATGTGGACAGACTTGCCTTCCAAGTTTAGTTTCCTTGATGTTTGCGCCCATCACAGTGCACTTCTTGACTTGACAGCATCTGGGCGACGCTGATTGGACGAGAGGGCAAAAAAATACAGGCACCCCCCTGCGCTGCGGTTCTGGTTGGCGCGCCTCGAAGCTCTCCTTCTGCCCATAGAATCTCCCAAGCAATTGCCCGCGACGCGGCCCCATCCTGTCCTGCGGCAGTCCAACGAATTTCCTTCAGCCCCTTCGCGGCGCGACGCGATTTGCAATCAGGGGCTGCGCCTGTAAACCAGCTGCTGCTTTTCCCGTGGTTCATCATACTGTAATCTAGCCCCTCTTTCCTCCCCCAACCTTCCCGTCCCCGCCTCCAAACCAATCCGATTTCTCCCCGTATCCCTCTCCTCGCCAATCTGATTGCTCCCGCAACTGGTCACCTGTTGCTGTCGTGTCTAGTCTAGTTCAGCTTCGGGTTTGCCGACCTTCTCTTCTCACGTTTTCCTCGCAGTCGATCGTTTTGTATAGATTGTTGTGCGAGTTACGTGCTGTCTTTTTCTCCCACAAATATCTGCTATCCATGGTCTCTTCCCCAGTGTTGCCGAGATGAAACGGTTGCCGCTAGGATGTGTAGTCCGCCCTCGGTCAATGACATCTTACTCCCATAGCAATTACTCCATCTACTCGTTCAGCCATAGTCATATGCTCTCAACAGAGCCCCAGTACTGAGACCTGATTGTTCTTCAACGATTATCCGCGATACGCCACAGCGATCGCGTCTTTCCGAGAAAATTGAGTAGGTGGAGCTATGACAGCAGTTACTCCCATGGGCTGGGACCGACGCCACTCCCAATCAGCAGCCGCCACGTCTTCAGGTCCCTCTCCTAGAGCTCCCCGAAGCGCCAACGGAGTTGCAGCTGGAGCTCCCGCAGCTTCGCCGAAAGCTCCAAGGACGTCTCCGTCGAGCGGCACTGTGTCAGGTACCGGCGGGCTAGCCACTCGGCCGTTAGCCGCCTCGCCTCTGCCTCCACGCCTCACGTCTCCGAAAGTTCCGCGTCCGGGTGTCGCGGCGGCTCCGGCACCAAAATCGTCCCCGCAAACTCCGCGCAATGCTTCGATTCCGCCGCCGCCGATGTTTTCTCCTCTACCCAACACGTGGTTAAACGACAAACTGTCAGGCCCAAAGGCACACGGGAGCCTTCTTCTCTACAACCGCGGACTGCCCGGGTCAGCGAGCGAAGGCGATAATCGCGAGTTTCGCGAAGTTCGCGAAGGAGCTTCTCCGAAAGTGTCGCTGGTTCGCCACGATGGCGCGGGAGGCGAAGTGCTCGTGCGAGCTTATTCGTTCCAGGGCGTACCCGGTGGCGGTGCTTCTGTCGCGGAGGGCCATCACGCGGAGAACACGCAAAACACGGGATGCGCACAGCACGCGCAAACTGCGGCGGACGACCACTGCGGAGAGGATGGCGGAACGCTCGTTATCGCGAACACTCTGCGGCGCAACTACCAGCTCGGAAACCGGTCCGACTCAGCGATACGTTATCGGAATGGATATCTAGCTCACGTGGCAGTCACGGGGGAGGATCTGGCGGAGAGGATTGGCCTCCCTTCCCGCGCTCCTGCTTTTGCCGCTTACGTTGCCGCTTCGAGGAAGCTTCAGCTTCTTACACTGGATGAGCTGACACGTCAGCTTCAAGAAAGCGCAATCTGGCCGTCCAAGTTCGAGTCGCTCAAGCAACGGTTGCAATCGAGGGGGGTCGCGTCAGGCGGCCATGAGGCATCCAAGAAGCTTCCGCGGTTGCCGGCAGAGGGTGGCGGAAACTCGGGAAGTCCAACATCCGTCCTGGACAGGTCCTGCCATAAGCTCACCCGTTTACAGCCGCACCTTATCCAGTTTTACCGCTTTTGCCGGCAGATGCTTCTGGATCTCCTCTTGTTGACCGCGTTAGAAGCTACCGACACAACGGATACGCGGTATACAAGCTCTCAGGTCTTGCCGTTTAACGGATTTGCACTTCCATGGGCTGCTGAGTTCGTTCCTACAAGCAGCAGCCTCGGAGCTATGGTCACAATCGATCGAGCATCGGGCGTGAGTAAAGCGAGTGGTGACTGTAACGGGGGAGCCGCGTTGAGGAGGCAGCAGCTCGCTGCCAGGTGGTTGGAGCTCTGCGCGGTCGCCGCTGGCGCGGGGAAGGATTTTGCGCCCGGTGAACGCGCGCAAGCGCAGGCGCAAGCTAAGCGGGAGGCGACCGCTGGTTTGAAGGGAGCGTGGGACGCGGAAAAGAACGATGCGCTTTTCGAGGTCCTGTCGCGGATGCTGCTGGCGCTACGGATGGACGAAATCCTGGCGAATGTGGTAACCGGAACTGTTGACGAGGAGGAAGAAGCAGCTGCGAACGCTGGGGCAAGCGGCAAACGAGCGGAAGACGAATTGGTGAAGCGGTGGCGCAGGCGCGCGAGTGACGGGACGGGAACGCGCGGAGCGCTGGTGCTGGCTGTGAAGTTGAGCGGAACAGACGCGAGCCGCTGGGTTCTGCGGATGGCGGGCGGCGCGGATGCGCACGTGCGACGCGTGGCTGCTGGAGTCATCGATCGGATTTTGTGGGACGTCGAAACGGGCCGAGTGCAGAACGAGCTTGAGAAAGAATGCGCCCGGCTGGACTCGAACCCGCGACCTGGTGGAATCAGCGGGCCTAGAAGCCTCCCCGAAATTTCTTCAATCTTGTCGCTTCCTGACCCGCTTTCCAGCTGTTTGCCGAGATCTCCTCTTTCTTTGTCCTCTAGCGAGAGCGACAGCAGCGGAAGCGACGGGGAAGATCAAGGGAAAGGCGGAAGGGTGGGTGGGAAAAAACCAAGTTCCATTCCCGTTAGTAGCTCGGACGTGCTTATATCGAGAGTCGCTGGTGCTTTGATTGCGTCTCTTGGTGCTGCTGCTGCGCTTCCTGTCGGCACGAATGCTACAACAGGCGCCAGGGGCGGAAGCAATGCTTCCGGGCCCGAAATTACCTCAGGCGGAGGACTCTCCCCCGAATCCAGGAGTCTGTCGCTGCCAACTGGAGTCGACCCAAAGCAACTGCTTCCCACTTCATCGTCCACGTCATCACCGGAATCATCCACGTCAGCCGGGTCCACTGCTTCTTCCGGCAGTAATGCCGCCCATGCGCAAGGGGGCAGCACTGCGGAAGGGGAGGACGGGGGGAGGAGCGGGAGCAACAGCAGCCGCGCGAGCAGCACCGAGAGCACCGCCGCGAGCAAACCCAAGGATGGCACAGGATCCGCGCGGAAGAGCGTAGAGGGGGGATTCGGAGTGGGGAGCACTGTGCTGGGACTGACGTCACCGCGTGCACCGGCGGTAATATCTGCGCAAGTCCAGCAGCAGCAGAGAGGAGCGGGCGACGCGAACAAAGCGGTTCCTGCTTCTTCTCGGCTCTACAGCTCGGTTCCTTGCTCCCCCGCCCACCACGCGGGGGGAGTCGTGGGGGGAGGTTCGAGAGGAGCGGCGCGCGGAGCGCGGTCAGGCAGAGGGGTTCTGGACGCCGAAGCGGCAGCGGCTCGGCTGCAAGCGATCGCTGCTGCAGCTGCCGAAGCTGGCTCGGACTCACGTTCGGAAAGGGGTAGGTCGGCTGCGCCCGAAAGTCCGCGATTTGGTGCGAGTCGATACCCTGCTGCGCCAGGTTCGGTTGTTTCCGTTTCCTCCGCGTACAGTGCATTTACTGTACCTCCTACCGCGATGTCACTAAATGGGGATCTGGAAAGGACGCTCGGAAGCAGCGGGGGGTTGCTGAATTTGGACAGGCGAGGATCAAGTGCAAGTGTTACAGGGGTTCCTATCGCTAATTCTGGTTACCACAATTACAACAACGGATACACCCCCAGTGGTGCTGCGTATGGATACAGTGGGAGTGGGAGGTTTGGAGGAGAGGGAGGGGGTGGCGGAGCGGGAGGGGGAGGGCGGGGTGCCTCTGCAGCTGCCGCGGCAGCGGTTGCGGCATCGCGGATGATGTCAAATTCGGTTCCGAGTTCCCCCCTCCACCCCCCCAACTCCCCCGTTCATTACGCGTCCACCCCCGTTCACTACAGTAACAGTTCGTATTCGCATAATGGTATGCACAGTACTGCATATTCTACAGTGCATCAAGTTACAGCTCCTCATTTGGCTCAATTTCCATCTTCCCCCAATAGATGCACATCCAGCCCACGATATGTGATAAATCCCTCCACCCCTCGTTCTAGTACCACTGGCCTGTACAGCTCCAGCCCCAGACACCCAGGAGCCTCCTCCTCTGCTTCTCTTTATAGTCCCAGCCCCTCCCACCGTTACTGTCCCAGTCCTTCCCCTCATTACAGTCACAGTCCAGTTCACCACGTGTCTTCTTATACTTCTGCTAGTCCGTCCCACCCAGCTACACTAAATCCTCCTTACTATACCCCCAGCCCAACTCATTACAGTGGTGGTGGAGGCTACCAATCCCCAAGCCCCTCTTATCACTCCTATCCGTCGCCTGCCCCCCAAACCTTACCTCCCGTTGTCGAGCCAGCTGCGCTAGGTTCGGCAATAGCTTCGGCTGGGGGCAGGGCAAGCAGGGAGACAGCCACGAGGGCAGGTAAGGCAGGAGGGGAGAAGGGAGCGAAGAGGGGGGGAGTTAAAAGTACCCTGCGACAAAAGGCATTCTTTGGTGCTGGGGTGGTGTGGAGTGTGGAAGAGGGAGGATTGGAGGGGGCAGGTGGGGAGCGGGAGAGTGGTGATAGTGACGAGAGTGATTCTCGGGAGGGTGACTATGACGAGGGGTCGAGCTCAGAAGAGGACAAGGACGACAACACGCTCGGCTTCTCAAGAAAATACAATACATCTGCGTCTTCATCTGCCTCTGCCTGTGCCTCTCCTTACACCTCTGGAAATCACAGTGCACCCAGCGCCACCCCTCTAAACCAGAGACCCTACGCCCCATCCCCTGCCCACTCAGCCCTTTCTCGCCCCTCCCCTTCACGTTCCACTTTCTCCTCCTCCCCAGCCCATGCCTCCTCCACGAATTCACCTGCCCGGGCGGCCTTTTCTTCCTCGCCTGCCCGGGGTGCCTTCCCTTCCACTTCTATTGCCAGAAGCGCCTCCTCAGGCACTGCGCCGCCTGCTGCTTCTGCTGCAGTGGCCCTCAGGAGTGTGATGAAGGGATCGATCACAAACCCTCACAGCAGAGGGACAGTGCTGCGCAGGAGTGCAAGTGAGAGCGGCAGCAGTCGAGGTGATGGTGTTGGTGACAGCGGGGAGATGGCTATTGGGAACAAGAGTGGGGGAGGAGAGGGTGGTGGGGCGATGATTCGAGCCAGCAGCAGCAGCAGCAGCAATGCCAGCACAGGCAGCAGTGGTGGCGACGGTGTGAGGGGGGGCCGGCGCAGATCGTCTAAAGTGACCTTTGCCAAGTGTGGAGAGATAGAGGAAGAGGAAGCAGTGAAGGAAGCTGAGGTGGAGGGTGTGAAGATGGAAGGTTCAGCGCCTGTCGCTGTTGATGCTGCTACTGCTGCCGCTCCTACTGTGGATGCTGCTGTTGACAGTGATGTTTCTGCTTCTGCCGATTCTGATGCTGCTACTTCTGTACCTTCTGCATCTCCTCCTTCATCTGTTTCTCCTCCTGCTTCTCTTTCTCCTCCCGCTCCTGTTTCTCCTCCGGCTGCTGCCTCCATTTCTTCAGATGACCAGACAGAAAATTCAGGTGTGTTTTCCTTGTACCCAGACTACAATGTGCATGCAATGATGGTATCTTGGGTAAACGCCTTACCAGTTTCACATGCCTTTCCAGTTTCACGTGCCTTTCCAGTTCGACTGCCTTTCAAAAGTGCTAACCCACCAATATGCTTTGTTTTGTTTTGTCTACTTTATTTCCCCGCCCCTCCTTGAAACAGGTTCTGGTTCATCCACCACACTACCCTCGGTGAGCCCGCCATCGCCCTTGTCAGTCGCAGGCTCCTTCACGTCTTTTCTGCATGCGCGCAACAACCGTCCCGCCACGCCGTCAGACTGCGCTAGCGAGAAATCCTGTGCAAAGCAGGCCCCTCCGCTGGTTGTGAAGGCTCGGGAAACCCAAGCTATGGGAGGAGTAAAGCTTGAGGGTTTGGAAGGGAAATCTGGTGCTGGGGAGAAGAAGAGGGCGTTTTGGAGGTGGAGGCCCTGGAAATCTTCTAAGTGAAAGTGTATTATGTGTTAGTGTTTCTATCAATAGCAGTTTTTTTAGTAGATGTCATATTGTTCATTCCTCATGAACATTAAAAAGAAGATCGCATTTCATTTTTTAAAGGCAGTCTGGTAGCCTGTCATTCAGCATTATCTATTGTAACTTAATATAGGAGTGATAAATTTGTTTTCAAATATACAAATCAGGGTCATACAAACTAACATGTTGTTATGCACAGCTACAAAGTCCAAAACTTCATGCGTCAAGCTTATACCGCAGACGATAAAGCGCTTGGGATTGCAAAACCTAAACCTCTCGCGCAAGGTTACAACCAGTCTTCACGACTGTTTTTCCCGCACACACTAGTTGCTATCGTCTAGGCCGAGTTTCGCGTATTCCCGCATTTCCAGCGGGGCGTTAGCGTCAGCCACGTTCCTTCACGCACTCTCCGCTTTGCTGTATTTTTTTGGCGAGCAACGTGCAGTGCTCGTGTTTCGTTTTTCAGAGTAACCCCTTCGCCAGGTGACGCAAAGCTCGGCTTTGACGCAGCTTCGGCTTAGAATCGTTGGTCATTAATCTGCTTTCAGTCTGAGACGCCGATAACATGGCGCGGAAGGCGAAGAGTCCTGGAAGCGGAAAGAAGCGCGGGGGAGGCGGAAGGGGAGGGGAAGGGAGGGTGGTCAAGGGGGGAGGCGGAGGGGGAGGGAGGCGCGGAGATCTGAACATGGGGTTGACTCGCGAAGACTTTGAGGACGAGATTGACGACTGTACGGTTTATAGTGTCCCAACTAGTGTTTAGAAAGCTCTAAGACCCTGCCACGTGGCAACGTGTGTCATTCCTTAGAAATTGCTCCCTTTGTCAGCTCTTTTCCGAGGTGCCTTAGAAGCATACTATTCCTTTCCCGCTACTGAACCTTCGTTATTGATCTGTCGTTACTGAAATTCTTCCTGCGCATTATTCTCCCAGAACCCCAAACCCTGATCCTCGTTCCATGGACATTGTTATCTGAAACCCTTATTTTAGCTTCTCCGTTCCCTTCTTCGCGGGTAGGTTTTTCTTCATGTTGGCTTCTCTTCTTGTGCCCCAACCCGCCCTTTCTTGTCAACCGCAGTTCACAAACAGCGGGATATCATTCCTCTTAACGCAGATGATGGTGAGTCGACTCGAGGATTTTTTTACCTCGTTATTAGTCCTGGTCCCCTGTTATTGCTCTTGATGCGCCGCACAGTACTTCACACCCGTTTGATTCGCGGTTACAGTGTTACCTATTATCCCGTACCCTGTTACCGTGTTACTCTGTTACGTCTTCCAGTACGGCGAAAAAACCACGTTTCTCGTAAGGGCTTTTTTTTATCGTCAAGCTAAATCGTTACCCTCTCCCCGTGGTCCAGAATTCGAGGAGGATGATGATAATATCGAGGCCGACCTTAACGCGGCTGTCATGGACATCAAGGTGGGTTTCGTTTGTGACAATAACGAGCGTTTTCGTATTCACTATAACCTAATGTTTTGCTTTCATACCCCTCCCTCCCCTTCCCCTACCCTTCTTGCTCTGATAACTGCTCAGTCCAACCCCTTCTCGTCCTCCCACACCCCCGCCCTTTCCTCCTCCCCCTTATCCCACCCACCCTCCCTCTCACTTCCCTCTCTTTCACCCTCCCCACCCTTCGCTTCCATTATAGGGCGCCGAAGACAGTGAGGAGGATGATGATGACGAGGATGATTTTGACGAGGATGTGGAAGCGGATATGCAGCTCTCGGGTCTTGCTGCTAAGAGTGAGTCACCCTGCCATCCCCGTTACAATGTTGCATGGATAATTTATAGAGAGGATGAGGATGATTTTGACGAGGACGTGGAGGCAGATATGCAGCTCTCTGGCCTTGCTGCTAAAAGTGAGTCACACTGCCATCCCCTTTATTGAGTAGCTTCACATATGTATGATCTACACACAGATAATTGTTGTATGCATATACATGCATGTTTCTGTACCCTCTATATTTGCTTGTGTGCGTTGGAGAAGCAAACCAAGTACTTGAGGATGAAGCTTGGGGGAGTGAAGCTTATTAACTATATATGTATTTAATTTCCTTTGTTTTGTTTTGTCTATACAGGGGAGAAACAGGCCAAGTGCATGCGGATGAAGCTTGGGAAAGTGACGCTTTATAATAATATATATCTATATTTCTTATGTCTTTGTGTTTTTTTGTCTACAGTGGAGAAACAGGCCAAGTACATGCGTATGAAGCTTGGGGGAGTGAAGGAGGATGAAGAGGATGAGGAGGAGGAGGATGAGGATGAGGAGGAGGGAGAGGGGGCGCTCTGGGGGCAGAAGAAGCGGGAGTACTACAGTGCGGATAATGTGGATTATGAGGTAAGGGGTTTATAACGGGGCTACTTCAAGTGGGTATGGTGGCTGGTGTTTGAAGAAGCGGGAGTACTACAGCGCGGATAATGTGGATTACGAGGTAAGGGGCTTGTAACGGGTCTGCTTCAAGTGGGTATAGTGTCTGAATGAGAAGAGGTGGCAAGGATACAGTGCGGATAGTGTGAATTTCAAGCTGAGGCATGCTGGCATATACTACTATTTTTGTTCTGAGCTTCATAACTTTTACCTTGATTAATTCTCCTCTTCCCCTGTCACGCAGTTGCATATGGACGGCGAGACAGGGGCGCAGGAGGAGGAGGAGGAGGCGCTTAGGCTGCAGCAGCAGATCGCTGCTGGGTTGAGTTGAGAGGGTATAACACTTTTTTTTCTCTCCCTTGCTTTGCTTTCTTGCCCCTTCGTTCCCCCTGTCACACAGTTGCATATGGACGGCGAGACAGGGGCGCAGGAGGAGGAGGAGGAGGCACTTCGGCTGCAGCAGCAGATCGCAGCTGGGTTGAGGGTGGAGGATTATGAGGAGGAGGGAGAGGAGGAGGGAGAAGAGGAGGGGGAGGAGGAGGAAGGAGAGGAGGAGGAAGGGGAGGAGGGAGAGGAGACAATGTTTGAGAAAGTGGAGAAGGGTGAAGCCAAGGAGGGGAAGAAGAAGGCAGGGAAGGAGGGGCGGAAGGAGGGTGATAAGGGGAGTGACAAGGCCTTGGAGAGGAAGGGGAGGGGAGCAGCTGTGGTAGAACGGGTGGTGAAGGATGCGAGCCTGCTGACCAAGGAGGAGCAGATGGCGGCGCTGATGAGGTGAGGTGCGGTTATATGTGGTGAGACGCGGTCAGGTTCGGTGAGACTGGGTTAGATGCGGTGGGATGCGGTGCAGCATTGGTGGGCGTGTGTGTTGCAATGAGAGGACAGCAGTCAAAAGCAGGTGGTGAAGGATGCGAGTCTGCTGAGCAAGGAGGAGCAGATGGCAGCACTGATGAGGTGAGATGCGGTCAGATGCGGTGAGCTGGTGTATTGTTGACCCTCCAGGAGCTCAACACCCAAGTGCTGCCGCTTGCTTGTTCCCATTCTCTCCCTTTGCTCCCCTCCCGTCCCCCCTCTCCCCTTGCATTCACAGTGACGCAACAGAGCTGGTGGGTCTGCTCTCAGACCTCAAAACAACTCTGAAGGAGCTCAACACCAAAGTGCTGCTTGTTCCACGTCCTCCCTTACCCTACCTTCCACACATAATCTCCCTCCAACCCCTCCTACTCCCTTCCCTGCAGTGATGCCCCAGAGCTGGTGGGTCTGTTGTCAGACCTCAAGACGACCCTCAAGGAGCGCAACACCAAGCAGCTGGCGCCGGTATATTCTCATTCACTCCCTTTTGCTCCCTCCCCGGTACCCCACTCCCCTTCTGCTCGCAGCAATGCCCCAGAGCTGGTGGATCTACTGTCGGACCTTAGAACGACCCTTAAGGAGCTCAACACCAAAGTGCTGCCACTGCTGTATGCTCATTCACTCCTCTCGTCCGCTCGCTCCTTCCCCCTTGCCCACTCCCGCCTCCTCCCTTCCCCTCCTCCCTTACCTGCAGCGATGCCCCAGAGCTGGTGGGTCTGCTGTCAGACCTCAAGACAACTCTTAAGGAGCTCAACACCAAAGTGCTGCCGCTGCTGCAGCAGGTGAGCACACTCACTCACAGCACAGGCTGTTGCTGCACTACTGCTGCTGCTTGTTCTTCTTCCTGCTGCTGCTAGAGCCGTCTTCTCTTCTCACCCCCTTACTCCCCCCTTTGACCCCCTCTTCCCAAATTTGACCCTCTCTAAACGCCCAGTTGTGGGAGGGAGAATAAGCGACAGAGAACGGGGTATCCTATTTGGAGGCAAAGCACCGGCTGCTGCTGCACTACTGCTGCTGTCTGCTCTTCTTCCTCACTCCTAGTGTTTTGACCTCTTGTCCCTCAAACTTGACCAGATGCGGGAGGGGGAGTACGCGACAGAGAAAGGAGTGTCCTACCTGGAGGCGAAGCACGGGCTGCTGCTGCACTACTGCTGCTGTCTGCTCTTCTTCCTGCTGCTCCTGTTAGACCCACCCCTTACTCCCACCTTTGACCCCCGTCCCCCACATCTCTCCCTGCCCTTGATTCTTCCAGGTGCGGGAGGGGGACTATGCAACAGTCTACTGCTGCTGTCTGCTCTTAGTCCTGCCGTTGAAACGTAGCGCTTGACCCCTTTTTTCCCTCGAACTTGACCCAAACTCCTTGGAATAACAGGTGCGGGAGGGGGAGTACGCGACAGAGAACGGAGTGTCCTACCTGGAGGCGAAGCACGGGCTGCTGCTGCACTACTGCTGCTGTCTGCTCTTCTTCCTGCTGCTCAGGGCGGAGGGCAAGCCCGTGAGGGACCACCCCGTGGTGTCTCGTCTAGTGGAGCTCAGACTGTTCCTGGAGAAGGTGGGCTGAATGTGTGGGTCTCGTGGTCTAGGGTTTCGGGTTTTGTACTGCTGCTGTCTGCTCTTCTTCCTGCTGCTCAGGGCGGAGTGCAAGCCAGTTAGGGACCACCCAGTAGTCTCTCGGCTCGTGGAACTTCGACTGTTCCTGGAGAAGGTGGGTTGTTGTTTGTACGGGCTGTTGCTGCTGCACTACTGCTGCTGTCTGCTCTTCTTCCTGCTGCTCAGGGCGGAAGGCAAGCCCGTGAGGGACCACCCCGTGGTGGCCCGACTCGTGGAGCTTTTCCTGGAGAAGGTAAGTCGGCTTTGAACACGTTGGTTGAGGGTTCAGTGTTGGGGGTTGTGGGGTTGTGAGCTGGCTGGGCGCATGATTGAGGGCGGAGGGCAAGCCAGTCAGGGACCACCCCGTGGTGTCTAGACTCGTGGTGGAGCTCAGACTGTTCCTGGAAAAGGTGGGTTGGTTTTATTTGGGCTATTGCTGTTGCATGGTTTGCTGCTCTGCACCCTGCCTCCCACCCACTCACCCTCCCTCCCACCCACTCACCCTCTCTCCCACCCACTCACCCTCTCTCCCACCCACTCAACCTCCCTCCCACCCACTCAACCTCTCTCCCACCCACTCACCCTCTCTCCCACCCACTCACCCTCTCTCCCACCCGCTCACCCTCCCTCCCACCCACCCCCACCCTCCCACCCACTCATACGTTTTCAGTCCCAAGTCTTTCTCCCCTCCCCCTCCCCCCCTCCCACCCCCCCCCTCCCCACTCCCCCACTTCCCTCCCCCCGCCGCACACCCAACCCTCTCTCCCTCTCATATCAGATCCGCCCTAGTGACAAGAAGCTGCAGTACCAAATCGAGAAGCTTCTCAAGCTCACTGCTTCCCCTTCCCCTTTTCCTATTCAACTTCCCCCACCCCCTTCCCCTTCCCCACTCCCCCTCCCCCCCTTTCCCGGAATCAGATCCGCCCGATTGACAAGAAGCTGCAGTACCAAATTGAGAAGCTTCTCAAGCTGGCCTCCTCAGCCAATCGCGGCGCGACACCTGGCAAGCAGTCCGCAGCAGCAGCAGAGGCCGGGGCGGGAGGGTCACTAGACGACCTGAAACACCGCCCCAACCCAAACCTCCTAGTTTCAAAACTTGGGGGAAGTGGCGGCGATGGGGGAGAGGGTGGGAGTGATGCTGCTGGTCTGGATGGTGCTGCTGCTGGTGGTGGTACTGGGGTGTATAAGCCGCCTAAGATTGCTCCGATGGCTATGGATGGGGAGAAGGAGGGGGGGAAGAAGGGCGGGGAGGTGGGGGCGCGGCGGGAGGAGAGGGAGATGCGGGAGGCGAGGAGGCGCGCTGCTAGGAGCGCGTTTGTGAAGGAGCTTGCAGAAGATGTGGAGGGGCGGCCGCGAGAGGTGAGTTTGATTTAACACCCTTGGGTTGGGTGGGTGGGCAAGAGGCGAGGGTGGGGACGAGGTGGGAGGAGAGGGAGATGAGGGAAGCGAGGAGGCGCGCTGCTAGAAGCGCGTTTGTGAAGGAGCTGGCTGAAGATGTGGAGGGGCGACCGCGTGAGGTGAGAGGGTGGTCTTTCATGGTGTGTAAGCCAGAATCCAGAAGCAAGGGAGGCGAGGAGGTGCGCTGCTAGGAGGAGCACGTCTGTGAAGGAGCTAGCTGAAGACGTGGAGGGGAGGGATGGCGCCGTGAGGTGAGTGGAGGGAGCATCGATGATGGTGGTGGTGGAGGGCAAGGAGATGGCGAGGGAGGTGGAGCGGCTGAGAAGGGAGGTGGAGCGGCTGAGAAGGGAGGTGGAGTGGCCGAGAAGGGAGGTGGAGGGCAGCTGCTTTTAACATTTGCCCACACTCACTATTGACCCACCCGTCCCCCCTCCCAACGCACAGATGCGAGTGGAGGGAGCGTCTACGATGATGGTGGAGGGAAAGGAGATGGAGAGGGAGGTGGAGCGGCTGAGAGGGGAGGGAAGCTGTTTAGATAGGCCTAAGTGCACACTCACACTCACTTTGACCCATACTCGCATGCCCTACTCCATGCCCCACCTCCCCAATACAGATGCGAGTGGAGGGTGCCTCAACAATGATGGTGGAGGGTAAGGAGATGGAGAGGGAGGTGGAGCGGCTGAGGGAGAGGGCTGCAGCGGAGGAGAGGATGTTTTCCCGCGTGCCCCTCAACCGCGGGGAGAAGCAGCGCCTCAAGGCACTCAAGCGGAGCCAGAACATGTGAGTTCATTTTAGGGTAGGCTTGTGAATGGGCTGAGCCTGAGTATGAGGAGGTGGAGTGGCTGAGACGACACTGAGGGAGAGGGCTGCAGCGGAGGAGAGGATTTTCTCCCGCGTACCTCTCAACGGTGGGGAGAAGCAGCGCCTCAAGGCACTCAAGCGGAGCCAGAACATGTGAGTCTTGAGGGGGGGTGGTGTGGTGATTGGGCCGAGCCTGAGTCTTAGGAGGTGGAGTGGCTGAGACGACACTGAGGGAGAGGGCTGCAGCGGAGGAGAGGATGTTCTCTCGTGTGCCTCTGAACCGCGGGGAGAAGCAGCGCCTCAAGGCGCTCGAGAGGAGCCAGAACATGTGAGTTCTCTCGTGTATGTTTTTTGACAATTCCCAAAAATCATTCACTGAACATGTGAGTTCTCTCTGTCACTAGGCTGGCCGGTATGCTGGATGACTTTGACGATGATATCGCTGGCATGATGGCAGCAGGGGAGGAGGGGGACCACTCGAGAGCACCTTGCATTCTCATTCTCCTCGCCTTTGCCCTGTCTTGTCGTCGCCCCACCCGCAAATCCCACCAGGCTGGCCGGCATGCTGGATGATTTTGACGACGATATTGCTGGCATCATGGCCACAGGGGAGGAGGGGAGGGGGGAACTTGAGAGCACCTTGCATTCTCATGCTCCTCGCCTTCACCTTGTCTTGTCTCTTCCATCCACCAGGCTGGCCGGTATGCTGGATGACTTTGACGACGATATCGCTGGCATCATGGCGGCAGGGGAGGAGGGGGGCGCACAGGGTGGCCTCACAGCAGCAGCCGGAGCAGCCGGAGCAGCCGGAGCAGCTGGAGCAGCTGGAGCAGGAACAGGAGGAATAGGCGGGTTGACGAGTGCTGGGATGCTGGAGTCTCTGCTTCGGCCGCGCAAGCTGTCAGAGGCGATTCACGAGGCGGGCAAGATGACTTCGCTCAGGGGCGCACAGGGCAAGGTGTGCATGGGGCATTAGCTTGGAGTGTGCAGGAGAAGGAGTGTCTGTCTGTTGGTCTGCAGGAGGAATAGGAGGGTTGACGAGTGCTGGGATGCTGGAGTCTCTGCTGCGGCCGCGCAAGCTGTCAGAGGCGATTCACGAGGCGGGCAAGATGACCTCCCTCAGGGGAGCACAGGGGAAGGTATCCCTTTCCCTTCCGTGCTGCGAGCGTATCAAGTGTTGTTGTAGGATATAGGGCGTGATTAAAAGTACTGCTGACTGATTCCCATCCACAAGCACGTTGAAGATGTCTTGATTCTGCGTCACTTCGCATCATGCTCTCTCTTTCAGTTGAAATGTGGAGACGCTGGTCTCCCTTTGAAGCCTCAAGGATGGATGCATTCCAAGAATGCTGATTCCCATCAAGTAGTAGATTATTTCCCTGAATCTTAATCCGTTCACACCATGCTCTCTTTTTTCAGGTGATATCAGGAGATGCTGATCTCCCCTTGAAGCCAGACCTCTGATGAGAGTCAGGGAGTCAAGTAGCGGCTCTTTAATTCTTCATCCCTTTACACCATGCCCTCTCTTCCAGGTGATATCAGGAGATGCTGATCTCCTCTTGAAGCCGGACCTCTGATGAGAGTCAGAGAGTCAAGTAGAGGCTCTTTAATTCTTCATCCCTTTCCACCATGCCCTCTCTTCCAGGTGATATCCGGAGATGCTGATCTCCCCTTGAAACCCGACCTGGGTGAGCGCCGCCGAGCCTACGAGGCAGGCGTGGTGGCGAAGCAGGTTCGGAAGCGAGGCTCGGAGGACCTAGGGTTCGACCAAGGAGACGAGGATGGGGGGGAGGGAGAGGGAGGAGAGGGAGGGGAGGAGGACGAGTTTTACGCTGAGGCTCGGAAGATGCAGGAGGCTCGGCGGTCCGCCAAGGCTGCCAAATACTCCTCGTGAGTTCTTCTGCCCTCTCTTCACTGTTTTATGGTCCTTCAAAAATTGAAGACCTTTTAGATTTTGAGACGTCTCTCAAGGCTCGGCGGTCCGCCAAGGCTGCGAAATACTCCTCGTGAGTCCTTTTGCCCTCTCCTCGGTCCCTCTCTTGTCAGCTGCTTCATCTCCCTCTTGTCCCTCTTCTGAAGCTAAAATCCTCTGTGACTGTCTAGTCGACTCAAAAATCACTGACCCTCCTCCGCTGTGCACCCCCTTCCCCTCCCCCTTCACCTTTCCCTTCCCCTCCCCCTTCCCCCCCCCCCCCCCCCCCCCCCCCCCCCCCCCCCCCCCCCCCACCTGCACCCATCCCCCTGTCTGTCCTTGTCAGCTCTGGCCTCATTCCTGAAGCCGAGCCCTCAGAGGACGAGGATGGGCGCCGGCAAATCACCTCTATGCACCCTCCCTCACCCACTTTTTCACCCATCCCCCCTTCCCCTCCCTGTCAGCTCTGGCCTCATTCCTGAAGCCGAACCTTCAGTGGACGAGGATGGGCGCCGGCAAATCACCAACCAGGTACATCCTCCGCATCCATCCTTGTGTCACATCCTTCCCCAAGCATCCATCCCTGATTCACCCCATGCTTCCTCCATCCATCCTCGTTCGCCCATCTCTTTCTGTGACTTTTGAGTCGATCCATATGTCACCCCATGCACCCACTAATCTCCACCATCGTCCACACCCCCTTCCGCGTCAGATTGAGAGGAATCGCGGCCTGACAGCGCACCGCAACAAGGCAGTCAAGAACCCGCGCAAGAAGTACAAGGTATGCAATTGCTGGTGCAGGTCGCACTATTTTTTAGCAGGCCCCCTCCCACTCCAACCCCTTCAACACCGCAACAAGGCAGTCAAGAACCCGCGCAAGAAGTACCAAGTATGCAAATGCTGGTGCAGGTCGCACTATTTTTTAGCAGGCCCCCTCCCACTCCAACCCCTCCAACACTGCAACAAGGCGGTCAAGAACCCTTGCAAGAAGTATAAGGTATGCAAATAGAGCAGGTAGCGCAAGAAATGCGAGGTATTCAAATGCTAGTGCAGGTATCACACATTTTGAGCAGCCTCCCACCCACTTCAACCCCTCCCAACCCCCTCCTGCTCCCTCCCACTCCCCACTACATCCTTGTTGCAAATGCCAGTACATTCTCCCCTCCCTTTTCCCCACTTCGCTTCCTCCCTCGCTTTGTCGTTAACTCCTTTGAACAAACTACTTTTACCCTTCTTTTGTTTGTCAATTCTTTGTGGTTACAGCTTAAGCATGCGAATGCTGTGGTTCGGCGCAAGGGCCAGGTGCGAGACGTCAAGCGTGTAAGTGCTCCTTACGGTGGTGAATCGACTGGTATCAAGTCCAGCATCAGTCGCAGTGTTAGGATCGGCTGAAATTTGTGAATGTGTTGTCATCCGGAAGGTGCTGTACTTGCTGTGATTATCAGGGAATTGACATCGCGCATACAGCGTGTAGGCATGGTTGCTTGCTTAGCGGAGCCTGCATGACAGCATTTTTGCATTCACTAAGCTTTGACGTGTAGAGATGGGTTCAGAATAGCAACATTACACAAATATATCGTTTCATTGCTTCATGCTTGAGAGGTGTAGGCAGGAATAGTTCCGTCAGCATATGGTGACGGTCTACACTACACCTATCAAGGAATTGAATTTGCTGTGAGCATGGTACAACCGATATATTCCGCTCGGTAGCGTCGTCTTGCCCCCGGTAGCGGCCTCGGTAGCCAGGGAAGTTTTGCTGTGACCAAAAAATACAAATCAGTCTCGACAGCTCAGCTTTCCAGGTTCGACTGATTGGCTGGCGAACAATGCTAGACAGGAAATGTATGGAAGCCATCGGCCCTGAGCCACTAGATTGCGGGGAAAGGGCAATCACACGTGCCTCCACCGCCGTGATCTCCCTCGATATTTGCACAAAGCCAGCACTCGCTGAAATCTAGGAAATGTTTTTGTGCTGTATTTGTGAATCCCAAACGCAACCCATCAGGTCTGGTGGAACCATACTTCCGCTCACCAGCTCCCCTAGGCTCGGTCGCCGGAATTGCTGGACCACCAGGGGCCAGCCATTTCTGCGTGGATCACCGGCCTAGAGATTCCTCCTAGTCGAGTGGACGGCTGCGATCGGGTGTTGTGGTGTGGACCTGTGCGATCTGGTCGCTCTGTTACTGCATCCCTTATCTCATTCAGTAAGTATTTGCAGTCAAGCCAACCCCTCGGTTTCGGTTTCAACAACACCATGGCTGCTCTGGCAGTTGTTTTCTGAGGAGCTTGTGCAATCAGGGGCCAACAAGCACATAATTTAAGGAGGGAAATCGAGAAACTAGCGCCATTTGGTTTGTCTATCGGTTTCAAAGCGTACATTTGTCAGTTGAATTTCTTCTACTCTCCTCTCGTTGAAGATCTCCAGTCTGGCCAGCGTCTGGAAGGACCGATCTTGGTGACTGAGCAGTTTCGTCGTAACCGTGCTCTGGCTTCTTTCATCGACTGAAATTATGGACTTTGTAGGAACGCTTTCCCGGCCGATCGCTCCGCAACCTCAACCACTGATCGGAAGAGGACGGATCTGCTCTCAACGAGATAAAAAGGGCTCCTTGTCTGTCGCTGTAGCTATCACGGGCAATTCCTCTCCCATTGTCACGTCTCTGGAGAAGAGCAACACATCCTCGGAAAAAAACAGTACGTCCACGACTAGTGTCAAAGCGCCGCTACTACAGTCGGAGAATGGCGCGATAGCTGGCCGACCCTCCTCACCGATCCAAGAGCATGCATCTTCATTCAATGTACCTGGCGTTGACGAAGGGTTGATCTGGACGGAGGGAGGTTCCGAGCAGCTCGGTGCGCTTCTCGAAGGAGGGAGCGTTTACCGAGAGAGATTCGTCATCAGGTGTTACGAAGTCGGCGTTCATAAGACCGCGTCGATAGAAACTATCGCCAATTTATTGCAGGTAAGAGGATTCAATCCGAAAATCTGAAGTTTATGGATCTCATATTCAGGGGTCATGAGCTTATATAAGTGATCCATTTGCTGGATTTCCAGGAGGTGGGGACCAATCATGCTCACAGCGTTGGGTTCTCTAAGGACGGTCTGGCAACCACGCCAGGCATGCTGAGACATAACTTAATATGGGCAACAACTCGGATCCACATCGAGATGTACAAGTATCCTACCTGGTAACTCTTCAAATGACGTGCTCAGAGCCTCATTTCAACCTCTCATTCGAGTCCCATTTTGTGCCTCTTGATGCATTCTGACTTAACTGTAGAATTCACCTTACGTTCTTGTCTTATAACAGGGGAGATGTCGTTGAAATTGACACGTGGTGTCAGTTAGAGTCAAACATATTGACACGGCGGGACTGGATCATTCGGTTGTCAAAATCTGGTGACGTCATTGGTCGAGGCACCAGGTAAGAAAATTCTGGTACTATGTATGCATAACTCCTCTTGCTCTTATCGTAGAAGGCTGATCGGTTTATACCTATGTTGTGCAGCTCCTGGGTGATGATGAATTCCAACACACGTCGTTTGGCTCGAATTCCGTCTGACGTGTGGGAGGAGATTATTGTTCACTGCCCTAATCCTTCCCTGTAAGTTTCTCCCGTAGGGATTTTATTAGCAACACAACTTTACGCCACGAAAGTATAGAAGTTTTGAAGTAAACGTGAAGTATTTGTTGAACCCTCTCTGAACAGGTATGCTCTTCCCCCAGACGCAGTGGACAAGTTGCCGAAGCTCAAAGAGCCGGCTGACCATTCAAAATCAAGTCTCTGTGTGAGTGCTGTTGCTGTGGTTGCTATCATTGTTAATGGTGTTGTTCCGTAATATGCTGTTTGCATCAACGCTATTCATAAGCTCACAATGCCATAATAGCGGTATGATGTCTATTGTCTGAACGGTCCCATCAACTCAGTCCTTCTAAGCGGCTCTTACTGAAAATGCCACATTGCTGCTGCCGCCACTTCTTGCAGGCCAGAAGAAGTGACCTGGACATGAATCAGCATGTCAACAATGTGACTTACATTGCATGGATGCTCGAAGTAAGTGGTTGCTACCTTAGGGGGTAACCAACTCGTATGCTCATTGTACGTTCTTTGCTGTTGTACGTCCTTCACAGTCTAATTGGTTGTGTCAAGGTGCAAAACGGCAAAGCACAAAAACCGTTTCACACCATATGGAGCCGTTCTGAGCCACCAAGAATGAACTGTAAACATACAAACTGGACTCTCCCTCGCTATTCCTTATTTCAACATGCTCCATGACTAAGGACATCTTACACATGTTTTTCTTTCTAGACCCTTTCGCTTCCCAGTTTTGCCCTCCTTCACGTTCCATCCTTTTCGCTCACCTCTCCCAATATGTCTGCCTTTCCCTCACCCTTGCCCTCTCCATTTCGCTTTCAAATCTCATCATTCCCCCTACAGAGTTTGCCCCAGGATCTTGTCGACAGCTCGGAGCTGGCTCAAATAAGCATTGAGTACCGGCGAGAATGCAGTCAGAATGATATGGTGGAGACATTGGCCAGTCACACAGTGCCAGCTGCCAAACCAGAGGCCATCAAACAGTGCACCACCACCGATGGTGTCCTTTTGTCAAAGGAGTCGGGGGAGGCGAAAGGCGTCTGCTTGTTAACATTGGTGGAGAGAGAGAGCCCTGAAGAGCTTCAGCACTTCTCGCACATCCTACGGCTTCAGGACAGCAAGAAAGAGATCAACAAGGGTCACACAGTCTGGCGCAAGAGGAGATAATTTATTGTTGTCTTGTTGCAGGTTGGCTTGCACTTCCAGTGCCTACTGGCAGTGTCTACATCTGACTTCCAAATTGTTTCATAGATCTGATTTGTATCAACTGCCAAGTTGGCAGAGCTCACGGTAGTATGTATGGTTGTAATGGTTATGACCATCATAAGCAAGGAGGTGACTTGGTTGTCTTCAAATCTCCTTGTGTTTCCAACCATTTCAAAGACATTGTTCTCATGCGAAAACAATATTGTGCAGGCTTCACTTTCGGAAGTGGAAGTTGACAACCGAAGGCTGCATAAACGTCTGCTGCACTGATATGGCGAAGGGAAGATATGGATGGAAGATATATGTTGCCACTCTTTTTATCCGCGCATCTGGGTTTGCAGACTCGTAACCTGCATCGAGTCAAACAAATCACGATATGGTTTAGCATGTTCCCGACTGAGGTAGGACTAAAAAACACAAGCTGTAGCCCAGAGACCTGGTGCAGCGTAACAGAGGCGACATGAAAACCTGGCGTTCCATAAAAATCAGAGAGCCTGAAGTTAGTATACCTGGGTTGATTTTGAACTTGAGGACATTTGGCCGGCGCCGAAGAATGAACTTGATTGGGTGCTCCACACAGGGCTTGTGCCGATCCGATGCGGATATGAGCTGGAGTGAGATGGTGGGGGAGAGGAGGCAAGCTGGGGATGATTACTTCTAAGTCAACTCAGAAGTCGCAGGATAAACTTGATTGGGTGCTCCACACAGGGCTTTGTGCTGATCCGACGCAGATATGAGCTGGGATGGGTGGGAGGAGAGGAGGAATGGCGGTGACGATTACTTTTGAGTCGACTCAAAAATTGCAGAAAGAACATAATTGGGTGCTCCGCACAGGGCTTGTGCCGGTCTGACGCGGATGTGAGCCGGGACGGTGAAGCAGATTGAGGCGTACAAGTGAGGATGGAGGCATGCTAATGAGGGTTACTTTTGAGGCGCCTCAAAAGGCGCCTCAAAAGTCGGATGTGAGCTGGGACGGTAGAAGGAGGAGGGAGGCGCACAAGTGAGGGTGGAGGCTGGCTAGTGAGGGTTACTTTTGAGGCGCCTCAAAAGACGCCTCAAAAATCGGATGTGAGATGGGACGGTGGAAGCAGAGGGAGGCGTACTGGTGAGGATGGGGCATGCTAATGAGGGTCACTGGGTTACTGTACAAAGAGAATTGCACCCACCCATCAATGCTGGCCCTCACCTTTTCATCAAAATGAAAGAGCGACTGGTCGAAGTAGGGAGATGGGGAGTAGGTCTGTGCACTGTAGGGAAGAGCAGCCAGCATTCGCTTTATTGCCTGCAGAGCCAGAAATTTTGGGGGTGGGTGAGCATGGGGTCAAAGCGAAGCGACTCAGAAAGTGAGTACATGAGCAGGTGATTGGCACTGCACTGTAGGGAAGAGCAGCCAGCATTCGCTTGATTGCCTGCGGAGCCAGACAGAACACATGGAGGGTAGCGTGGGACCTTATAAATGTGATTTCCATATCGACTCAGGTAGTGAGCATGGGTTCGACCTGTGCTTGCTTGCTCTCTTGCTCGCTCACCTGTGTCTGTGACCCTCCCTTGTACGTCACAAGAGCAGCCCTCTGCTTCCTGAACGCCTCTCAGTAGGATGGGTTGCTTGCCTGCTTGCTGGTGTCCTCACCTGCGTCTGTGATCCGCCCTTGCACGTGACTAGAGCAGCCTTCTGCTTCTTGAACGCCTCGCGCGCAAACACATTGTTGGCGCAGCTGCTGATGAACGAAAACCCGGCTGGAGACCGCGGCGGGGCGCGGAAGTGGTCGCAGAAATGCTCAAACGCAGACAGAAAGTCCTCCGACGAGTTCTGCAGTGCGAAAACAGGGAGGAAGATAAATAGGAAACGATGTTGAAACGTGGTAGTGCTCGAAAGCGGTCGCAGAAATGCTCAAACGCAGACAGAAAGTCCTCCGAGGAGTTCTGCATCACATAAACACAGAGGGGGGAAGGAAGCATTATCTTTCAGCCTTCAGGAGCCTCAAAAGCCGTGGTGCCGTGGCGCTCGAAAGTGGTCGCAGAAATGCTCAAACGCAGATAGAAAATCCTCCGACGAGTTCTGAAGCACAAAAAAACACGGAGGGAGGAAGAAGCGAGCAATTAAACAAATAAACGGTGAGTCACAGAAATATGAGCATGCAGTGGTCGCAGAAATACTCAAACGCAGACAGAAAGTCCTCCGACAAGTTCTGCTGCATCATAAAAACACCGAGGGGGGAAGGAAGGAATATCTTTCATCCTTTTGAGGCGCCTCAAAAGTCGTCTCCTGGCTTGCCATCCGAGGCGCCTCAAAAGTCGTCTCCTGGCTTGCCATCCTTTTGAGGCGCCTCAAAAGTCGTCTCCTGGCTTGCCATCCTTTTGAGGCGCCTCAAAAGTCGTCTCCTGGCTTGCCATCCTTTTGAGGCGCCTCAAAAGTCGTCTCCTGGCTTGCCATCCTTTTGAGGCGCCTCAAAAGTCGTCTCCTGGCTTGCCATCCTTTTGAGGCGCCTCAAAAGTCGTCTCCTGGCTTGCCATCCTTTTGAGGCGCCTCAAAAGTCGTCTCCTGGCTTGCCATCCTTTTGAGGCGCCTCAAAAGTCGTCTCCTGGCTTGCCATCCTTTTGAGGCGCCTCAAAAGTCGTCTCCTGGCTTGCCATCCTTTTGAGGCGCCTCAAAAGTCGTCTCCTGGCTTGCCATCCTTTTGAGGCGCCTCAAAAGTCGTCTCCTGGCTTGCCATCCTTTTGAGGCGCCTCAAAAGTCGTCTCCTGGCTTGCCATCCTTTTGAGGCGCCTCAAAAGTCGTCTCCTGGCTTGCCATCCTTTTGAGGCGCCTCAAAAGTCGTCTCCTGGCTTGCCATCCTTTTGAGGCGCCTCAAAAGTCGTCTCCTGGCTTGCCATCCTTTTGAGGCGCCTCAAAAGTCGTCTCCTGGCTTGCCATCCTTTTGAGGCGCCTCAAAAGTCACCACAGAGGGGGGAAGGAAGCATTATCTTTCAGCCTTCAGGCACCTCAAAAGCCGTGGTGCCGTGGCGCTCGGAAGTGGTCGCAGAAATGCTCAAACGCCGAGAGAAAGTCCTCCGACGAGTTCTGCAGCAGCAGCAGCAGCAGCAGAAGTCCGGAGAGAGAAACCAGAAGGTGACTTTCGAGTCGACTCAGAAGTGGTCGCAGAAATGCTCAAGCGCCGAGAGAAGCAGAGAGCACTCACCTGAAATGCGCCTCAAACATACCTGATAGAAGCAGAGAGTACTCGGGTTGTCACACCACCCACCTTTGCACTGCTATGCCGTCTACTCACCTTCCAGAAGCAGAGAGCACTCACCTGAAATGCGCCTCAAACATACCTGATAGAAGCAGAGCACCTGTGTTGTCACGAAGTTGTAGACAGTAAAGAAGGAGTTCTGATGGGAGCTGTCAGATGCTCTCAACCCGGTTGACCTGGTTACCCAGTTGACTCAGTTGACCCCCCTCATTACTATACAGTCTCACCTGATAGAAGCAGAGCACTCTCGTTGTCACGAAGTTGTAGACGGTAAAGAAAGAGTTCTGGTGGGAGCTGTCAGACGCTCGCAGCACCACCCCTTCACTCACTGCTATGCCGCCTATTCACCTTTTAGAATTGGAGATCTCACCTTTTAAGCGCCTCAAATATACCTGATAGAAGCACAGCACTCTGGTGGTGACGAAGTTGTAAACGGTGAAAAAAGAGTTCTGGTGGGAGCTGTCAGAGGCTCGCAGCACCACCCCTTCCGTGCTGCCCAGGCGGATGAGCAGATGACAGCGGTCCAACAGCTGAGCCTGGCGGGGGGCAAAAAACAGAGTGGGAGAAGGAAGAACAGCACTAAAGATGTCGGACGCTCGCAGCACCACCCCCTCGGATGAGCAGATGACAGCGATCCAACAGCTGAGCCTGGTGGGGAGAGAGAGCAACTGGTTGAAAGAGAAAGGGCACAAGGACAGGGATTGAAGGGTGGGCGGGGGAAACAAAGGGATGGGCTGTCAGACGCTCGCAGCACCACCCCCTCTGTGCTGCCCAGGCGGATGAGCAGATGGCAGCGGTCCAACAGCTGAGCCTGCCGTGTGAGTGCGGCAAACCATATAAAAGGAGGAAGGGCACAAGGAGCTGATGGGTGGGTTGAGAGACGGCTGCAGCAGCTTGCATGGGAGCTGTCAGACGCTCGCAGCACCACCCCCTCTCTGCTGCCCAGGCGGATGAGCAGATGACAGCGGTGCAACAGCTGAGCCTGGCACGGGGAAGAAAGTGGGAGCGGGAGGTGCGAACGAGTGAGACCTCGCAGCACCACCCCCTCTCTGCTGCCCAGGCGGATGAGCAGATGACAGCGGTGCAACAGCTGAGCCTGGCACGGGGAAGAAAGTGGGAGCGGGAGGTGCGAACGAGTGAGACCCCGCAGCACCACCCCCTCTCTGCTGCCCAGGCGGATGAGCAGATGACAGCGGTGCAACAGCTGAGCCTGGCACGGGGAAGAAAGTGGGAGCGGGAGGTGCGAACGAGTGAGACCCCGCAGCACCACCCCCTCTGTGCTGCCCAGGCGGATGAGCAGATGACAGCGGTGCAACAGCTGAGCCTGGCACGGGGAAGAAAGTGGGAGCGGGAGGTGCGAACGAGTGAGACCCCGCAGCACCACCCCCTCTGTGCTGCCCAGGCGGATGAGCAGATGACAGCGGTGCAACAGCTGAGCCTGGCACGGGGAAGAAAGTGGGAGCGGGAGGTGCGAACGAGTGAGACCCCGCAGCACCACCCCCTCTGTGCTGCCCAGGCGGATGAGCAGATGACAGCGGTGCAACAGCTGAGCCTGGTGTATGGGGCGAGAGACAAGGTACGAGTGGGTGAGAGGAAGAGAGACGCCACAATGGCTTGATGGGTGCATGGGAGCTGTCAGACGCTCGCAGCACCACCCCTTCTGAGGCGCCTCAAAAGCTGACTTTTGAGGTGCCTCAAAAGCTGTCAGACGCTCGCAGCACGACCCCTTCCGTGCTGCCCAGGCGGATGAGCAAATGACAGCGGTCCAACAGCTGGGCCTGGCACATAGAGAAAGTGAGCAAGAGCACAGGGACTGGACTTGATGGGTTGGTGGGGCGAGTTGAATAAGCACTAGTGTTGTGAGGCGCCTCTATGCACGCACATACCTTCCATATGATCAGATCCGCATAGTGCTGAAAATGATACAGGAATCTCTTCACACACTGGTTACCACCTCCTCCCACTCCCACACAGTGGCACAGGCAGGCACTAGCGTTGTGAGGCGACAGTAAATGACGTTTACCTTCCATATGATCAGATCCGCATAGTGCTGAAAGTGATACAGGAATCTCTTCACACGCTGGTTACCACCTCCTCCCACTCCGCCTCCCCCTCCTCCTCTGTCTCCCCTGCTGCTATCCCCATACCCCACCACACCAGACCCCACCGCACTCGACCCCACTGCATCCCCCAGGTGGCACTCAAATACGTGCACCAGCAGCCGCTGCATCAGCACACTCAACAACCCGCCACCTGTTAACAGCCCCCCAGCATTCACCATCCCCCCACCCACCCCCAGTTCCCCCATACCCCTCATGCCCACCTCCTCCCCTTCCCCCCCCAACATCCACCTCCCGTCACCCCATCCACTGGCCTCCCTTGCCCCTCCTTCCCTCTCTAGCCCGGCTAGAGCTCCCCCAAACCCACCTCCCCCTACCCCCCCTTCTCTCTCCCCTCCACCCATTCCTCCCACTCCTCCCATTCCTCCCCCTCCAACCCCTCTTCCCCCTCCGCCCACTCCTCCCTCTCCTCCCACTCCTGCTGCTCCTGCTCCTGCTCCTGCAGGGCCTTCTGATCTCCCAGCACCTCTGGCAGCACCAGGCCCAGGCATGGGAGCGGATACACCCCCACCACCAGTGCCATCTGTTCGTCCACCTTCTAGGCCATCCCCATCCCTATGACCATGCCCATGCCCATGCGCACCCCCATCTCCTTCCCCTGCCAGTTCTGCTGCTCCCACTCCTCCCCTCACCCCTCTCCCTGCTCCTGCTGCCGCTGCTCCTCCTTCTCTCCCTGCCTCTCCTTCTCCCCCTGCCCCTCCTCCTGCAGCTGCCCCTCCCCCTGCTGCTCCCCCCACGCCTTCACTCCCCCTTCCCCCCGCTCCTCCCCCCAACTGCTGCCTCGTAATCGCCTCCAGATCGCCCCTGTCACTGACAACATAACTCGCCGCCCCACCGCCGCCCGTTCCCGATTCGCTGCCGCCCTCCCCCGTCTGTCTGCTGCGTCGTCTCCTACTGCCCCTCTCCCTGCCGCCTCTCTCCCTCTCAGACCCCCCTCCCCCTATCCCTCTCTCCCTCCCCTCTCCCTGACTCCTAGACCCAATCATCCTCCCACTCACCCCCCTCTCTCCGCCCTCCCCAGTGCCTCCCCCCACTCCCCTCCCCCCTGCTGCTGCTCCCATTGCTCCAAAGAAAAACGGCAAGCCGCTTCTTGCTGCTCCCTCTGAGCTCGCCCCTCCGTGGTGCCGCATTCCCCCAGTCCCACGCTCGTGCGAATGAGCACGCGAGTGCGATTGGGAGTGAGCGTGGGAATGTCCATGGGAGTGGGCATGCGAGTGAGTGTGAGAGTGAGTGTGGGAGTGAGTGTGTGAGGCGGTGTGGGAAGGCGATTGTAGCGATGCCTGACCGTCAGGCCCATACGAGAGGCTGAAGAGGCTAGAGCCAAAGGTAGACATGGTAAGGCTGTGAGCAGCAACCCCACCTTGCATCCACACATCCCCACCCCTCCCTCCTCCTGCTGCTCCTGCTCCTCCTGCTGCCACCCCTCCTCCCGCCGCCCCTCCTCCCCCTGCCCCTCCTCTCCCTCCCTCTCTTCTCCCCCTTCCCCCACCACCAGGGGGACCCATGGATGTGCGCGGCGCTAACAGCCGCCCATCCTCCCCCCCATAGCGCCTCTCATACATCGCTACCCCTCCCATTCCCCCGGCTCCTCCTCTTGCTCCTCCTCTTGCTCCTCCTCTCTCTCCTCCAATTTCTCCTCCTCCCGTTTCCTTCCCTCTGACACTGTGACCAGTTTCCTCTCCTCTTTCCTCGCCTCCTCCTCCTCCTCCTCCTCCGCTTCCTCCCTTCTCTTCCCTTGCCCCCTCGTCACCTACAGTGGTCCCTTCCCCTCTCTCACTTCTCTTTACTTCTTCCCCTTCTTCTCCTTCCCCACCTCCTCCTTCCTCCACTCCCTCGCTTACAATCTCAGCCTTTTCCACTGCTCTTTCTCTTCTCTCTCCTCTCTCTCCTCCCTCCTTTCCCCCATCCCCACCTCTCGCCCTCTCTCCAACCTCCCCTGACTCATCTCTCCCATGCCCCTCCACCCCCTCCTCCCTCACACTTTCCAGTCTCAATCGCGGCTTCTTCACCCCCTGCTCGTCCTGCCTCCTATCCAAATACCCTCCTCCCAATCCTTGCGTCTCTTTCCACTTCCTTTCCTGTCCCGTCCCCCTCTCGACCCCCTCACCCCTGCTCCCCTCACCCCTGCTCCCCTCACCCCTGCTCCCCTCACCCCTGCTCCCCTCCCCGCTACTTCCCTCCCCCCTACTCCCCTCACCCTGACTCCTCTCATCCGCCACTCTCCCCTCCTCTCCCCTCATTCTACCGTCATCACCCCTTCCCTCTAAAACCGTACTCCTGCCTTTCCTCTCTGCATCACCCACCCTCTCTCCCTCCCCCCTTCCACCTCCTCCCCCCACTCCTCCCAATCTCCCTCCCACCTCCTCTCCATCTCCCCCCTCCCGCCCTCCCCTTTCACCTCCCTCCCCTCTCCCCTCCCCTTCCTCCCCTTCCTCCTCCCCCTCCCCCTCCTCATCCTCTTCCGTATACCCCCCCACACCCCCCTCACTAATCCCCTCCTCACCTCCCACACCTCCACTCCCCTCACCACCCCCTCCCCTCCCTCCCGTGGCCTGCCTCCTCCTCAGTTCAGCCAAATGCCGCTGAAAGCGCCACTCCTCGTGGAAATGCGACTGCAGCAGCAGCTCGTCATCGTCACACCCGAACGGCCCGATCACTTGCACGTCTACAAACCGCTCTGCTGCTTCCACTATCTGTGGTGAGGGAGGAAGGGAGGGAGGGTGGGAGGCATGGGTTGAAGTGCGACTGCAGCAGCAGTTCGTCATCATCGCACCCAAACGGCCGGATCACTTGCACGTCTACAAACCGCTCTGCTGCCTCTACGATCTGTGGTGCAGGGGGGTGGGGAGTGGTGGAGAGGTAGGATGAGAGCATCAACTCATCATCATCGCACCCGAACGGCCCGATTACTTGCACGTCTACAAACCGCTCTGCTGCCTCTACGATCTGTGGTGCAGGGGGGTGGGGAGTGGTGGAGAGGTAGGATGAGAGCATCAACTCATCATCATCGCACCCGAACGGCCCGATTACTTGCACGTCTACAAACCGCTCTGCTGCCTCTACGATCTGTGGTGCAGGGGGGTGGGGAGTGGTGGAGAGGTAGGATGAGAGCAGCAGCTCATCATCGTCACACACCCAAACGGCCCCACCACCTGCACATCCACAAACCGACCAATCCACCACCCTCACCTGGAGAGAAGTAACTCCTTATAACTCAGCTCACCTGGAACAAGTGGATTCTCTGGAAGCGGATGCTGAGCACAGACAGCAGGTTGTCGTACAGAAACGCCCCTCTGTTGTAACACTACAACAAGGTGAGTGTTGCCTTCACTCAACTCCTCTGGGCGTCTACCTAACCTTCTCACCTGAAAGAGATGGATCCTCTGAAAGCAGATGCTGAGCACGGACAGCAGGTCATCGTATAGAAACGCCCCTCCGTTGTGAGCGAGGTTGATGTAGTCGTCTCGAAACACAGTGAGGGTTGAGTTGAGTTCACTCAACTCCTCTGGGCGACTTTCGATTCCTCTCACCTGAAAGAGGTGGATTTGTTGGAACCGAATGCTGAGCACGGACAGCAGGTCGTCATACAGAAAGAAAGAGTCCTGAACTGTTGCGATTGTGTGTGACTTTCACTCCCCTCACCTGGAACAAGTGTATCCTCTGGAAGCGGATGCTGAGCACGGAGAGCAGGTCGTCGTACAGAAACGCCCCTCCATTGTGGGTGAGGTTGATGTAGTCGTCTCGAAACACACGCCTGTCCACCACCTTGCCATCACACAGCCTGGTGAGCCAGCAGGGGGGAGGAGAGGGAGAGGAGAGAGGTAGAGGAACAAGGAGGAATGGGGAAGGCGTGCTTTGCTCCTTTTCTCCCTCCGTTGTGGGTGAGGTTGATGTAGTCGTCTCAAAACACCCTCCTGTCAACCACCTTGCCATCGCACAACCTGGCGAGTAGAGGAAGAGGAGGGGAGTAGCGATGGAGGAGGGGGGTTCATAAGTGAGGGAGAAGCAGGGGGGAGGTTGAGATAGTCGTATCGAAACACCCTCCTGTCCACCACCTTGCCGTGACACAGCCTGGGAAAGAAACAGAGGCAGGGTAAGGGGGGAGGCGGCGGGGAGCGGGGGGTTATGATAGGTGAAGGGGAGCAATGAGTGAGGTTAATTGATGTAGGCGTCTCGAAACACCCAGCCTGGGGTGCAGTGTGATGCTTTCCATGGCAGGAACCCCCTTCACTGCCCCCACCCTGGGCGGCGAAGCCAGATCCGCAGGAGTAGCCGAGGCAAACACGCCCAGAGTGCTCCCCTGGCAGCAGCACAGAGGAAGAGGTCCTTGCACAGCCCAGCAAAGCACCTCAACCTTTTATCCCACTCAACTCACCCTCTGTTGCTTCACACAGTGCCCACAGCCCAAGGCACTTCCACCCGCTCACCTCACAAGATGCAGAGTGATGATTTCCATAGCAGGCACCCCTTTAACTGGCCCCAACTCTAGGGGGTGACGCCAGGTCAGCAGGAGTAGCAGAGGCAAACACGCCCAGAGTGCTCCCCTGGCAGCAGCACAGAGGAAGAGTTCCTTGCACAGCCCCCACTCTGGGAGGAGATGCCAGATCCGCGAGAGTAGCCCAGGCAAACACGCCCAGGGCGCTCCCCTGGCAGCAGAGGAAGAGGTCCTTGTTTTGAGACGCCTCAAAATAGAGGAAGAGAAGAGGTCCTTGCACAGCAGCACCTCAACGGTCAACCCGATTCCCCAGTCAACTCAAGAATAACCTTTGGACCTCACCTGACGAGGTGTAGAGTGATGCTCTCCATAGCAGGCACCCCTTTAACTGCCCCCACCCTAGGAGGAGACGCCAAATCCGCAGGGGTGGCCGAGGCAAACACGCCCAAGGCAGATCCCTGGCAGCAGAGGAAGAGGTCCTTGCACAGCACCTCGCTGCCCCTCCCCAGGGGCGCGCAGTACAGCTGCTCAAAGTAGCTCGGGAATTTTCTGGACGCTGCTGGCAGGTGGTCGTCCTCCTCTGCTTCTGCGACTCCCGCTGCCCCCTGCGCGCCGTAGCTGGGTGGGAGGGGGGGAGGGGAGGGTGTCAAAGTAGCTCGGAAACTTTCTGGCAGCTGGAGGTAGGTGGTCGTCTTTCTCTGCCTCTGCCACTCCCGCTGCCCCCTGCGCGCCGTAGCTGGGTGGGTGGGGGGTGGAGGGGGAGGAGCGGGGGAGGGGGAAAGGGAAGGGAATAGAGAGTCGATACACACAGCGTCTCACAGGCAGTGCCCCTAGCCCAAGGCAAGGCAGGCAGAGCGCTCCCCTGGCAGCAGAGGAAGAGGTCCTTGCACAGCACCTCGCTGCCCCTCCCCAGGGGCGCGCAGTACAGCTGCTCAAAGTAGCTCGGGAACTTCCTGGACGCAGCTGGTAGGTGGTCGTCCTCCTCTGCCTCTGCCACTCCCACTGCCCCCTGAGCCCCGTAGCTGGGTGGAAAGGTGGGGGGGGGTTGGGAGGGGGGAAGGGAAGCGCAGTACAGCTGCTCAAAGTAGCTCGGGAACTTTCTAGAAGCTGGGAGGTGGTCGTCCTCCTCTGCCTCTGCCACTGCTGCTGCCCCCTGCGCGCCGTAGCTGTCAGGGGGGAAGGGGGGAAGAGGAAGCGCAGTACAGCTGCTCAAAGTAGCTCGGGAACTTCCTGGACGCAGCTGGTAGGTGGTCGTCCTCCTCTGCCTCTGCCACTCCCACTGCCCCCTGAGCCCCGTAGCTGGGTGGAAAGGTGGGGGGGGGTTGGGAGGGGGGAAGGGAAGCGCATTACAGCTGCTCAAAGTAGCTCGGGAACTTTCTAGAAGCTGGGAGGTCGTCGTCCTCCTCTACCTCTGCCACTGCTGCTGCCCCCTGCGCGCCGTAGCTGTCAGGGGGGAAGGGGGGAAGAGGAAGCGCAGTACAGCTGCTCAAAGTAGCTCGGGAACTTTCTTGAAGCTGGAGGTAGGTGGTCGTCCTCCTCTGCCTCTGCCACTGCCACTGCCCCCTGCGCCCCATAGCTGGGTGGGGGGGAGGGAGAGCAGCAGGGTAGGAGGGCCGCGGAGGGGAAAGTGGGGAACAGTTAGGACAAGGGGGAGAGCAGAGGCGAGGTGAAAAGAGGTAGTCGTCCTTCTCTGCCTGTTATGAGTTGAGACTCACTCACTTGAACCAGTGGAAGCGGTAGACGATGAGCTCAAGGCCGTTGCGGGAGAAGCAGATGAGGTACTGCCCATCGTGGCTGAGCTATTACACTATGTACTGAGCTCACCCAGGGAAGGACCACACCTGCTTTGAGACTCACTGGAACGAAATTCACTCACCTGAACCAGTGGAAGCGGTACACGATGAGCTCAAGGCCGTTGCGGGAGAAGCAGATGAGGTACTGCCCACTCCCCACTGTGGTTGAACCTGCTAACCAGTGCTGAACTGGCACGTTGCATGCCGCACTCTCCCAACGTCCACAATGACAGACAAAAGCCACTCACTTGAACCAGTTGAAGCGGTAGACGATGAGCTCAAGGCCGTTGCGGGAGATGAGAAGCAGATGAGGCACTGCTGCCTATCCTGGTTGAACATTGCACTCTGTACTCAGCTCATCCAGAGACCATTACTGATCCGGGACTCACTTGAACCAGTGGAAGCAGTAGACGATGAGCTCAAGGCCGTTGCGGGAGAAGCAGATGAGGTACTGCCCATCGTGGCAGCACGCTTGCACTGCGGACCCAGCTCATCCAGGAACCAGAGCTCACTTGAACCAGAGTCACTCACTTGAACCAGTGGAAGCGGTACACAATGAGCTCAAGGCCGTTGCGCGAGAAGCAGATGAGGTACTGCCCATCGTGGCTGAACCGGCGAATCACGTGCTCCGGTGACTCGACGTCGTACACCGTATGGGACGGTACGATGTTCTCGTATAAGCGGCGCACCGAGTGTAGCTGCAGGAGGGTTGAAAATGTTACAGGGTTGCACGCACAGCACATGGGTAAAAATATAATTTTAAGGTGCACTGAGAATGCATAGGTGAGCTTAGTGTTGTACACCGTACGGGACGGCATGATGTTCTCGTATAAGCGGCGCACCGAGTGTAGCTGCAGGAGGGTTACAGCGTTACAACTTCACGTTAAAGCAGGAGACGGGAAAAGGGATATGGGAAGGGCGACCGGAGAAGGGAGGAGGGAGAAGGAAGAAAGGAAAATGAAGCTCGAAACTCCAAGTGTAGCTGAAGAAGAATTCAGAGCAAAGCGGACGGAGTCAAGCAGGAGAAACGGGAGAAGGGAGACGGGGAGAAGCGAGACGGGGAGAAGGGAGACGGGGAGAAGGGAGATGGGGAGAAGGGAGATGGGGAGAAGGGAGACGGGGAGAAGCGAGACGGGGAGAAGGGAGACGGGGAGAAGGGAGATGGGGAGAAGGGAGATAAGAGAAAGGGGGAGGGCGGAGGGAGGAAGTAGAAGGGAGAAGGGAGGAAGTAGAAGGGAGAAGGGAGGAAGTAGAAGGGAGAAGGGAGGAAGTAGAAGGGAGAAGGGAGGAAGTAGAAGGGAGAAGGGAGGAAGTAGAAGGGAGAAGGGAGGAAGTAGAAGGGAGAAGGGAGGAAGTAGAAGGGAGAAGGGAGGAAGTAGAAGGGAGAAGGGAGGAGGGAGAAAAGGAAAGGCATGTTTCCAGTCAACGCAAAACACATGAGGATGGTACGACGAGGGTTAGCCATGACTGGAAAGGAGAGATATGGAGGGCGAAAGGAGACAGCAAAAAGGAGGAATACGAGACTTCTCAAGCTCAAAATGGAGTTTTGGAATATGCAACCTAGGGAAACAGACTCAAAAGGGTGAGAAACCAGATTGACAGGTTGACAGGAATAATTTAGTGGAATGGGGGGGGGAACGAGGGGGGAGGGAAGGGAGGGGAGGGTTGGGGGGAGGGGAGGTTGGGGGAGGGATATGAGAGGAGAGAGAGAGAGCAGCTGAGGATGGGAGAGGGAGAGAAAGAACAGGTGAAAGAGAGGCTGAGAAAGACGAGAAAGACGAAGAGAATGAAGGTATCCCGCCTCCGAGCAGTGATGCAAGAGCGGATCATCTCTTGATGCTGCAATCACATGCGACCCGGCTGCACTAATGCGAAACTCGTGAACCTGGAGAACTGCGAGATTACTAGACTGCTAAGTGCGAAGCTGCGACATTGCGCATTAAGAAGATGCGAAGCTGCAGAACAAGCGGTTGATTGCGAAACGAAACTCGCCTGCGCGCGCGGCGGTGAGCGGAACGTCTCGCGGTGCTGCAAGCGCTGCAAGCTACGAGACTGCGAAACTACAGACTGAAGACTACTGAAAGCAAGTGCTGCAAAACTACTGAAGCTACAAAGCTGTAAAACAAAGCTGCTGATCAAACTCGCCTGCGCGCAAGGCGGCGAGCGGAACGTCTCGCGGTGCTGCAAGAGACCAGTGATACCAGAGACTGGGACCTACGAACTGGGAACCTGCGAAACGGCTGCACTCGAAACTCGCCTGCGCGCACGGCGGCGAGCGGAACGTCTCGCGGTGCTGCAAGCGCTGCAAGAGGTTGTCGCTGCGCTCCCTCCGCCGCGTGCCTGGCATCGTGCACCAACGGCTTCTGTTTAGATTGACGCCGCCTTCTGTGAGCTAGTCGCCGACTGGAAGCTACTGAGAGAATTTCAAGCCTCTGGCGGGCCTTCTATTTGCCTCTCACAAGAGCTAGCCACCCGTTCACACCATTTCACTCAGCAAGAGTAGCAAAAGATTAAGAGGTAACAATTAGTTTTTGATAGCTTTCAGAACACGCGTGACGTCAGTGTTAGTAAGCGATCTGACAATAACCAGACATTCCCTGAGTTTTGCGTGTGGCTGGGTGTTGTCCACGCTTCTCCAGAAACGGAACCGTTCCCGCCAAACCTAGAAAACTCTGACCACGTGTATAAACGGCCAGGATTTCGTATTGCCTTGATTTGAACCCTACACTGATCACGATTTGACACGACTTTAGGGGAGGATGTCACAGATCGGTGGAGAACGTTCCATATAGCTTTCAAAGTGTTGCGGCAGAGATGTCTTCGGTGCAGGTATGTATGATCAGCACACCAACTTTTTGCTTCAACTGCTGGGGCAACGTGGCGGCCCTCTGTCCCTTCATTTAGAGCACTTCCGGTCACAAAATGTCTGCAATCTCTTGAGATTTATGGGCAATATACAAGCTTCAGTATCTAACTGGGCCCGTTCAGGAGCAGAACATTTGTTTCTCAACACAGCTAATATAGAAGATCTACACCGTAACAGATACAGCCTGGCCAGGTACAATCTGCAAAACCTCCACATTAACTCCATCCTTTGATTGAAGAATTTCCTGCAAAACATAACAATTTGGGGTTACAGTAATGAGAAGGCGGTGCTTCCTTTGAGCCCTTAACAAGTGGCTCAGAAAAAGAGTGGGGCGTACCTTGAATGAATCGAGTGTGCCAATAGGAGTTACAAGAGCACTCAAAATCCCAGACGCGTCCACGTCAGCATTAGCCATAGGCGCCACGTATCTGCACATCACAATGACAACCATGCATACAGCCAATACTGGGTCAGGCCAATGTGATCAGTGCACGAACTGTTAGTTAACTCAATCAAATGTAAAAAAAAGTGCATTAAATCACATAGCCCAGCACGTTGCTTACCTAGCGCCCACTACCTGAGCCAGCCTCACAGCATCCTCCTGCCCTGACACGAGGGTGAAAGCCGGTAACTCCTGTTTCACCACCGGCGTCACCAGCACATCCACTCGTTCGCCACCCTCCTTAAGAGCTGCCTCGTTAAACACACAATGTGGCTCGATATAAATAGAGGCACCTGACACTCCCCCTCGAACAATGTACCTGAGGCAGAAGCACAAGGCGCGGGAATGGGGAGTTGAGGAAAGGGGGAGTTGGGTGGAGAAATTTCACACGCCATAGAGCAGAGAGCATTGAACAGTGGAACATCAATTTCGAAGTGAAGAGAGAGGGAGAGGGACATGGGCATGGCTTGTACGTTGTTTTTGAAAATACGTGTGGTAGATGTTGCATACATACACCTAAGCCACTCGTCTGTTCTTTGGCTGGCCCCAGGCCACTACCCAAGTGGTCCCACAGGGCCAGGCACGACCTTGAATGGCAAGCCTGGCTTCCTTGAAAGTATCAGGATTTCAACAATTTATAATCAGAAGCCTCCTCCCCACTCACCCGTTCTTCGGCTGGCCCCAGGCCACTACCCAAGTGGTTCCAGCACATACCCAAGCACTGCCTCGAAGCAAGCCCGGCTCCCTTGAAAGTATCAGAATTTCAATAATCTATAATCAGAAGCCTCCTCCCCACTCACCCGTTCTCTGGTCGCTGCCAGGGAGGACCCAGAACAGGCCCAGGCTCGGCCTTGACAGACAAACTAGCTCCTTGGGAAGTATGAAATGGTGTACTAATCTTCAAATGGCCCCCTCGGCTACTCACCCATTCTCTGGTCGTTGCCAGGGTGGACCCAGCACAGGCCCAGGCACGGCCTTCACAGACAGCCGGGCTCCTTTGGACGAAGAAAAGGAGGTGGATGAGCCGGGCTCTAGGTATGTCACCTGAGAGGATGGAATAGAGAGTGTAAAGAGAGGGTTGGGTTGGGGTGGCAGGGACTCTTTGAGGCGCTTTGACTGACAACCTGGCTCCTTTGGAAGAAGAAAAGGAGGTGGATGAGCCGGGCTCTAGGTATGTCACCTGGGAGGACATGTGGGGAGCGGGGGGTGTGTGAAATGGCAGGAATGCCCATACTACAACATGTAAACATGTGATTTCCTCTTGCTGTTATTTTTCCGTCACATTCATATACGAGTGCAGAAGTTCAAAAAATGAGTGTCCATTCTGTGAGCGAGAAAATACTCTCTCTTAAAGTCAACTCAGTACTTTCTAAACATCTGAGGGCATGTACCATTCTGACCGGATTTCCTTACTCTCACTCACACACTCACATTGGAGAACAGGGAGACCAGAAACGCCTGTCCGTTGGGAGTGGCGATCACAGGGACGTCCGGCCGTCTGGCTGCCAGGGCCGTCCAATGGTCCAACCCAATCCCCATCACACACTCTCACCCCATGCTCGCACTCATGCACTCACATTGGAGAACAGGGAGTCCAGAAACGCCTGTCCGTTGGGAGTGGCGATCACAGGGACATCCGGCCGCCTAGCTGCCAGGGCCTTGAGCGTCCTCACGTGCATGTGATTCAAGCCAATCCCCCATCACACACCACTCACATCAACCTCCATGCACTCACATTGGAGAACAGGGAGTCCAGAAACGCCTGTCCGTTGGGAGTGGCGATCACAGGGACGTCCGGCCGCCTAGCTGCCAGCGCCTTGAGCGTCCTCACGTGCATGTGATCGTCTAGTGATTGGGTTATGAGAACCACGTCAGTATCGATAACGTCATCCAGCTGAGGATAGGAGAGGGATGGTTTGGTGAGGAGAGGAGGGAAGCGGGGAAGGGGAAATGGGGGATTAGGAGGAGGGGAGGTGGTGTGGGGGAGTCCTATACTTGGAAGTCTATTCAGCTCTGGTACTTGTTCTACAGCCATAGGTTACGAGGGTAAAGGTATGGGCTTCTATATGACTGGCATTTCTTACAGAGAGCGACTTCAGCGCTTTCCTCTATCCAGTATAGAGCCACGGGCTACCAGATTACACGTGTGGGTTCATAAGTAGCTTTGAAAGACAGCAAGTCTTACCGAGAGCGACTTCAGGACTTTCTTGTACCCGGTATAGAGCCACGGGATCCCAAAGTCCAGAGGACCCTCGATGATCGGGTCGACGAGTACTTTCACACCGTCCACCGACCACAGCCAGCTGTTGCCCTGCCAGGTTGATAAAAGGTTGGAGAGAAAAAGAAGGGAGATTGACGTTGAAGGAATTTGTACCCTCGATGATTGGATCGACCAGCACTTTCACACCGTCCACTGACCACAGCCAATTGATGCCCTGCCAGGTTGATGCGAGGTTGAAGGAGGAGGAAGGAGAGACTTATCGCAACATAAGGTGACGCGTTCATGGCATTCGTACCCTCCATGATATGACCGCCTACACGTTTCACGCCATCCATATACAAAAGGTGAAATCAGTACTCGACACATTTGTTCGGGACCGTTGACATTTTGCACATAAAGCCAAACGTCACCTTTAACTGGAAAGTGAAAACGAGCGAAAGCCGTAAAGAACTTACTTCAAGGTATGTAAGAGAAATCGGAGCGGAACCATCAGCGACAGGCACGGAGGGCAAGGATGCACGTGGAGTCACGCGATTGGATCGACAGCGAGACACGTCAGCAACACGGTATCCGGAAGAACGAGACGAAGGTGCTCTAGACGTTAACGCATTCGACTTGCTTGAGTTTCTGCCCTTGCAGGCTAATCCTGATAGTTCTTGATGAGAAAATACACGAGGGGAACTAGCATGATGTAGCGAGGCGTGACGCGTCGCGGCTGACAATCGATAAACTGCGAGAGAGCTCATGGCTGTGAATGCACAACGGAATCCGAAATACCGTCGCGCCGCTCAGCCTTGTGTTCAAACGGAATCTGTTCTGCTGTGCTTGTTGACAGTACGCTACTTCACCTCAAGGAATTGTCGTGGAGATTCTCTGGGCTAATCCTTATTGGATTGTAGTTCGATTGTCGCTACAATGCCCCTGCAGCGAGTGGTGGGGGGTTGGGGCTATGTGGCCTTACCTCGATGAAACACGTGGACTGGTTCTTCCTCTGAACTGGGACGGGGACGACCAGTGAAAACTGTTTATTAGGCTCACGTGTAGTCAGTTTCTTCCTTTACACAGAAAATTGTGATAAGTTGCCCTTCCAGTAGTGTAGTCGGAAATGAGACCGTCGATACATATATTGCGTTCAAATTACAAATTTGGTGCTAGGTAATTTGGCAACCCAGCTTCATCCACCAGTAGCCAAGGTGAAAAACGCGACCGTGACGAAACCCTACGAAATATTACACCCAAGAAGCAGATCACTTTCATCCTTCGCCAACCAAGCAGAATGTCGCACATACCTGCAGATTCATTCTCCGCCCCTTCAAGGAATCACGAACGAGAGAATTTCTCCAGTGGCCATTCGGGTGATTCATCCTCTCTCGGGGGGCCTCGAATTACTCGAGTGGCCACGAAATTGGGTGATAATTACTCGAGTGGCCACGCCAGGGGATTCCTGCTCGCTTTTTTTTCACCGGCGCATTACCCTATGGGTCTTTGTAGCCCCGAAATTCCTTATTCGTGCGAGTGGTATCCCTAGGTGGTGTTCCGTACCTTAAAATTTCGCCAGGATCACGGACGCGAAAGTGGCCCGCCCACTGTACAAGAAACCGACCAGCAGTACATTGACCGGTCAGTTTCGGCCAAATGCGCGACCAATGAGCGCGCGGTCTATCTAATTAACATCCAATCAGCGATCGAGTATATGACTTCGCGATCATATACTGCATTTCACCCGAAACGAACCGGCACAGCAAAACGACCGCGCTCGATTGGTCAGGAGATAGAGTGGTGCATTTGTTGCCACTGCGCGTCTAATCAGGCGCAAGATTTACCGATTGCCGATCATATTTGAATGCGTTCATTAAACACAATTTACTATATGGCTGTATGGGATTTAAGAGTATGTTTTATATGCACCCTAAGCACACAAACTTGGACAAATCATATGCGCACTAATATTTGTTAGTGCGCGGTCCTATTTTATATATGGTTGCCATTTCATTTGGACGGGGATAATTGGACGCTCAATGGCAAAGCATATCCTGAGATTAAAACAAACCAATCACGAGCGGTAATTTAGTTTATCGCGAATTTATGGCCGATCATTTCGGTATATGATGGGGAATTCAATGATGGCGCCTGATTGGACGCTCAATGGCAACATATGCACCGCGCATGTTTTTTACGAATCATGCGCGTGCATTAGGGGTGTGGCTGTTCGCTTCGGGTCTTTAGGATTATATGATCGAGAAGTTATATGCTCGATCGCTGATTCGTTCGGAATTAGATGGACCGTACGCTCATTGGTCGCGCATTTGGCCGAAACTGACCGGTCAATGTACTGTTGGTCAGTTTCTTGTACAGTGGGCGGGCCACTTTCGCGTCCGTGAGCCTGGCGAAATTTTAAGTTGCGGAACAGAACGGAACACTACCTAGGAATACCACTCGCACGAATAAGGAATTTCAGGGCTACAAATCCCCATAGGGTAATTCGCCGGTGAAAAAAAAGCGAGCAGGAATCCCCTGGCGTGGCCACTCGAGTAATTATCACCCAATTTCGTGGCCACTCGAGTAAATCGAGGCCCCCCGAGAGAGAATGAATCACCCGATTGGCCACTGGAGAAATTCTCTCAATCACGAACTCCAGTAAATTCTCTAGCGCTTTTTGCCACCTCTCCATGTAGTCACCTCAAAGGCCCCGATACTATCACGAAATACTCCTGGTTTAAGAATCACGGAGAGTTATGGCTCCCGCAGTGGATCAACGGCGACCCACTGGCGGGCGGGGGATCCTGGGCCTTGGGACCGTCGGATTAGCTTACGTGGCGATGGAATACGTGAGAGGCCGAACCAACTGGCTTCCGCAAAGTCTCGCGTCGCAGCTGCAACCCGGTCTGTGGGGCGTCTTGGCGATCCTCGCGCTCTTCGAGGCCCCGCGTTTTCGCCATTTCGCGGAAGAATTTCGCGCGGCTCCCAAGTTCTTCGCAAGCGTGCTTTTCATGGTGGCGATGTTCGCCGTGGAAGTCGTGCTGGTGCAGTTCGTTACAGTAGTGGTCGGCATTGACTGGCACAAGTACGTATCCTCGCTATTAGGTGAATCCGTTACAATACAATGTAGGGTCCCTCGGATTGGGAAACGAATCATCTTGCTGCCGTGTTGGCCATTATCCCCCCAGCCCCCGATCCTTCCCCAACCCTCCGCCTCTCCTCCTCCGAACCTCTCCCATTTTCCCGCTTCCTGAATTCCTCATGTTCATTATGCTTCTCAGTGCTCCGCGCACCTCTCTTTCCTCCCCTCTCCCCCCTTGCCTTTCCTGTTCGACTCACTATCTGCTGCCCGCACTCCTATCTACTCCCATCTTCCCCCAAACCCACATTCCCGTTTCCCCCTCCCCTAATTCCTTGCCCCTCAATCCATTCCTTCCCCTTCCCCCATGCAGTGGCACCCCCCCTCTCCCCGACACAGGCCAGTGGCTGCTCCTCGCCCTCAACAGCCACCTCCCCGCACCCCTCCCCGCGCCCCTCACCACCTATTCCTTCCCCCGTCCCCCTCATCTCCCTCACCCCCCCACCCTTCCCCCAGTGGCACCCCTCCTCTCCCCGACACCGGCCAGTGGCTCCTTCTCGCCCTCAACAACCACCTCCCTGCGCCCCTCGCCCCTCCCTTCCCCCCTTCCCCATTCATCCCTCCCTCCCCATACAGTGGCACCCCTCCTCTACCCGACACGGGCCAGTGGCTCCTCCTCGCCCTCAACAACCACCTTCCTACTCCCCGTGCCCCGTCCCCTCTCTCTTCCCCTCCCCCCCGCCTCCTCCCTCCCCATACAGTGGCACCCCTCCTCTCCCCGACACAGGCCAGTGGCTCCTGCTCGCTCTCAACGACCACCTCCCCGCGCCCCTCACCGCGCTCCTCCGCGCGCGCCTCGTCGAGTTGCACGATTTCCTCATGCTCTTCATGCTGCTCGCCTTCTCCGTGCTCTTCAACTGCATCCCCCCTTCGGGAATCGGCCTCGGCGCGCGCTACTGCTTCACCATCGGGCTCAGCCGCTTGCTCCGGTTCCTAACCTTCGCTTCGACAATCCTCCCGGCGGTTCGGCCGTGGTGCGCTGCGGCTAGGTTCGGTAGCACGAGTCCGAGGCACCCACACCCGTGGGCTCAGAAGTATTTTGTGCCGTATGCCACGAATCACGACATGCTACACGAAGTTATTTCCACTGACGTCGCCTTTGGTGAGTCCCTTAGCCTTTGGTGAGTCCCTTAGCCTTTGGTGAGTCCCTTAGCCTTTGGTGAGTCCCTTAGCCTTTGGTGAGTCCCTTAGCCTTTGGTGAGTCCCTGAGCATTTGGTGAGTCCCTGAGCATTTGGTATTATCAGAGAAGCATTAGAGATGAACCTGCATCCCTGGGCTCAGAAGCATTTTGTGCTGTATGCCAGGAACCACGACATGCTTCACCAAGTTCTCCACTGACGTGGCATTTGGTGAGTGCATGTGTTATGCACCTTTGGGATTACCCGCACACCACCACTGGATTCAGAAACACCCTTCAGTAGCACCCGCACCCCTGGGCTCACAGCATTTTGTGCCGTATGCCAGGAATCACAATTTGCTTCACCAGGTTGTCTCCCTAAACCTTTGGTGAGTGGATGTGTGCCTTTAGAATCACCCGCACCAGATTTACCCACACACCACCACTGGACTGATAGGTACACTTCAGTAGCACCCACTCGCTTGCACCCCTGGGCTCAGAAATACTTTGTGCCGTATGCCAGGAATCACGATCTGCTTCACCAGGTTATCTCCACTCCACTGACGTGGCCTTTGGTGAGTGGACGTGTTAAGGCTCGTACAGAACTACCCGCGCACCACCACTGCTCCATGGACTCAATTCTCAACTCAGTTCCCAACGCCCAACTCTGCCTGCTTTCCCCTTCATTCCTCCCCAGCCCCCCAGGTGCACTACCCACCAGAATATCAACCTGACTGGGGCGCTTTCCAATTCCTGGTGGACTTCCTGCGCCCAATGAACGCCCGCGCTCACCACGGCGCCGCCGCCTCCTCTGGCGCCTTCAGCAGCTTCGTCATCCGCCCCTACGGCGGCTGCAACGACCTTGCCTTCAGCGGCCACATTATCGTTGCAGCGCTCACTGCCTGCGCATGGCAGGTAGGTTTCGTCGCTTGAGGTGCCTCAAAAACGCTTCAAAAGTCATCCGCCCCTACGGCGGCTGCAACGACCTTGCCTTCAGCGGCCACATTATCGTTGCAGCGCTCACTGCCTGCGCATGGCAGGTAGGTTTCGTCGCTTGAGGTGCCTCAAAAACGCTTCAAAAGTCATCCGCCCCTACGGCGGCTGCAACGACCTCGCCTTCAGCGGCCACATTATCGTCGCAGCGCTCACTGCCTGCGCCTGGCAGGTGGGTTTTGTCTCTTGAAACGCTTCAAAGGTCATCCGCCCCTATGGTGGCTGGCTGCAACGATCGTGCCGATGGTCATCTCACATGATTGTTGCATCCCTCACTGCTTGCGCCTGGCAGGAGGCTTTCCCCGGCTGGGCTTCTGCCATGGTATGGGGCCTTGTGTTTCACTCCGCGCAGAGGGAGGTTCGGGAGCGGCAGCATTATTCGGTAGATGTGGTGATCGCTCTTTATCTCGCGCCGCTGCTGTGGCGCACCACCAGGTTTCTCTGGTCGCACCCGCCGGCGCCGCCTACGAGGAGGGAGGCTTTTGGGGCAGCGCTTAGTGAGCGGGAAGCGGCGCTTATGAAAGCGCTGAAGGATGGGGATTTGGGTGCGGTGAGGGAGGCGATTGGGGATGCGGTGGAGGAAGCGGAAGGAGTTGTTTCGGGCGGTGTCAAGGGGAAGACAGCTGGTGATAAAGCTGGGAAGGATGCGCAGACTAACAGATTGCTGTTGCCGTTTGGTATCGGTATGATTTTGTTGCTGTTTGTGGTGGTTTTGACGGCCTTCAACATGGCAGACGAAGGCGGAGGCTTCTTTAAGTGGCAAAAATAAAGGATGTTATTGAACATTTTGTTAAGTTCTTTTGTGTATTGGTGGTTGGTCGTTACGTTTTTTGTACCAGCTTAAGTATGTGCTAAAATAATATGTAACGGCATGTATGCTGCAGTTTCCGTAGTTACAGGATGCATTTCTGGTGTTACAATTATGGTCGTAAACATGACCTCACATCCGAACGTCAAGCCCCATGTGCACAGTTGACGTATGATATCGCGATCTGTGTTTATCAGGGACAGTTCCCATTGGCAGATGAACACTGTTTGCAGGATAACCTCCTTTCATTTCCACCTCACACCCGGAATGCTTTTTGAGGTTCTGACAGCAGCCCATTCCACGGCAGGAATAAACGCGGCAAATCACACGTTTCACAGCCACAAATGCAACCAACCAGGCAAGAGCAGGCCTGTCGAAGTTTCTGGGGCTCGTACTTGCGCTCCCCAGCTCCTCCGCATCTGACCCTTGGTTGGGTGTAGGTGTACGGTTTGGCGCACTTAACGGTCACGGGCGCACCCCAAAGTGAAAACTTGAAATCAGGGCATGTTTGAAGTTTGCACTTACAATGTATTTTACTAAGGGAATGTTCGGGTGCTCCAAGGCTGACTGAGACACACTACACACACGAGGTTGGCTAGAAAACGCTAAGGGAAAAATCCCCTTGGCGCTCTCTAATGCAGGCTAAGGAGAAAGGGAGGGGGGGGGGGGGGGGGGGGGCGTGGCTCGCTCGGGCACCCTGGGGTGGGGGGGTCCTACGAGCGGAAACCAAAACTTAGATAAAGGGGAAGGACTGGTTTCGTCCCTTAACGCATCCGGGGAAGGATCGAACGAAGCACTTAGTGGCACGGGTGAGGTACGAATCCGGAACTTGCCGCATCGGAGCTGGAGCATAACTAGCCCTTAATGTTCAGGGCATTAAGGGCATATGCCCTTGAATCGACAGGCCTGGGCAAGAGGAAGAAGATAGCAGGGCGATGCCCGTGATTTTCTGTTGTTTTGTTCCCCCAAACAGTTGGTCTGATTATTTGGAGATCGAGTTGTTTCTGTCTATTTTGACGTTTCTTTTCATTTTTTTATCGCCTCCGAGATCCCCGCTGCTCCGAAATCGCCGCCGCTTGTTGCTGGACGGGATACAGACAGGGGGCACCAAGTAACTACAGTACAGAAGGTGGGGTTCCCCCAAGGGGCACCCAGATCTGGTTCGATAAGCTCGCCGAGGTATCACGCGTCTTAGTAAGATGCAAAAACATTTTGCGTGGGTCAATTGCGGTGACATCACGATTGTGTCATCAAGCCTCGAGATTGCCAACCAAGGCTTCCTCCCGAGAGAGCACTCACACAAGGCTTTCAGGAAGCTAGACCATGGGAGCTAACGCGAGGTGGCAGCGTCCCTCCTAAGCTCCTCCTAAGCACCATGGAAGCTAGACCACGCGAGCTAATAGATTATTACGCTGTCCCTCCTTAGCTCCTGCTTATTCATTAGCTTCTGCTGCCTTCGCTGATTGCTTGAAACTTCGCCTCCATTGAACAGCACGGCGCAGTCGCTTGTGGATTGTCAGGGTACTACCCTGACTATCGAAGGCTTTGACTATCGAAGGCGTCTGTATATGGAGCGGACGGACAGTTAACTCCTCCTGCTGCTCGAACGTTCGTCTTCGGCTTACTTACGTTAGACATAATTCGAACTTGAACGATCTTCTCCAATCTGGCTTCTTCACTGCCTGTCACCTCGAGGCTCCCCGCTTCCGCCTATACCACGATGACCGCTTCTTCCGCTTCCCAAGGCTTTCCGCTGCTGCGCGTCGCGCGGAAGGTCCTAAACCTAGGAACCATCGGTCTAGCCTACGTTCTGATAGAGTTCGTCTGCACGCGCACGGACTGGCTTCCCCCGCATGTCGCGGCGAAATTCCCGCTGGCTCTATGGGCCTTCCTCGGGATTCTCGGCGTCGTGCAGAGCCAGCGGTACCGCCATTTTGCGGACGAGTTTCGGAACGTGCCCAAGTTTCTGGCGTGCGTTGGGTTCATGCTGCTTGCTTTCGTCGTGGAGGTTATTGCCGTGCAGTTTGTCACCGTCGTTCTCGGCCTCGACTGGCACAAGTAAGTTTCAGCGCGGGTGAGTGTAAAATCGGCATAATCTATTATTAAAATGAGGTTAGATCGAGTTGTTTTAGAAGTCACCGTGGAGGTTATTGCGGTGCAGTTCGTCACAGTCGTTGTCGGCCTCGACCGGCACAAGTGAGTCTCGATTGGCGCGAGTCTGAGTTGCCGCAAGCACAATTCAGTGGATATCCTCCGCGCCCTCATCAATCGCCTTCCGCGCTCATCGTCCTTCCTCTCCCCCCTCCCCCTTCCCCTCCCCCTCCCCCTCCCCCTCCCCCTCCCCCTCCCCCCCTTCCCGCCCAGAACCGTCACGCCTCTCCCTGACACGGGCCAGTGGATTCTCCTCGGTCTGAACGACCGCCTCCCCGCGCCCCTCACGGCGCTTCTCCGCGCGCCCATCGTGGAAATGCACGATTTCATTATGCTCTTTATGCTCCTCGCCTTCTCCGTTCTCGTCGGCGCGATTCCCGGCCCGGGCATGGCGCTCGGCTCACGCTACGTCTTCAGCATTGGGCTGAGCCGAATCCTGCGGGTTGCCACGTTTTCGTCCACGATTCTGCCCGCGCCGCGGCCGTGGTGTGCGGAGTCGCGGTTTGGTGACACGTGCCCCCGGCACCCGCATCCCTGGGCGGCCAAGTACCTGACGCCGTATAGCGACAATCCCGACCTGTTGCATCAGCTGATTTCCACGGATACTGCGTTTGGTAAGCCCCACTCCCTCTCCCCCCCAAACACCCCCCCCCCCCCCCGCCCACACACACACGCACGCACACGCACATGCACATGCACACACGCACACGCACACACACATGCACACGCACGCACACACACATGCACACACGCACACGCACACATGCACACGCACAAATGGTTAGCTTACGTGCTAAGTTTGAAATACGAGCAGATGTGAGAATGACCAGTCCTCAGGTAATACCTTGCCTGAACCGTAAAACCTGAACAAAACGGGAATGGAAACACGATTGAAGAAACCACTTAACCAGCTAATACCTCGCCAAGAGTCAAACCATGGTCTGAACAGATGGGGCATGGCAGCCAAGGTGCAAAAAAACGACGTTTTTTTAAAATTTTGATAGTAAAATATCGTATCGTAAGAAACGATCGTAAAAAACGATAAAAAACGGTTTTTGAAAATAAATACTTTTGGTGCAAAAAAACCTTCGTTTTTTCAGTAAAAAGACCAAAACTGCTGCTGAAACAAGGGGATTGATTGGTGAGAAGAACAAGGGGGCCGTTAGAAGTGCTGATGATGCAGCGGAAGATTGGTAGAAGTGCTTTTGTGATCAGAACAGCATCTTTGAAGTTGAAGAGTTTTTATGGTCTAACAAAAAAACGACGTTTTTTTCCCAAAAGGTACCGTAAAAAACCATCGAAAAAAACAATCGTATTTTTGGACAATCGTTTTTTTCTACCTTGATGGCAGCACAAGTCCCCCCCAGTCGTTCTCGTTCAAATTCTGCTCGGAATTTTGGTGTGCTTGAGGGGCTGATGGCCTTCCCGTGTGCTCCTCCTCCCGTCATTCCTTCTCTGTAATGCCCCCAGCGGCCTCCCCAGTCGTTTCGCCCAAGTTCTACTCAGTTTCTGCTCGGACTTTGGGTGTGCTGGAGGGGCTGGTGGCCCTCCTGCCTCCCATGGACCCAGCTATCCCTGTTGCCCCTTTCTCTCTTGTTTCTTCCTCCTTATACTCTCCCAAGCGCACGTCCAGTCCTTTCCACCTGAATCTCGCCCTGACTGGGGTGTTTTGCACTGCGGTCCCATGGACTTAACTACCTCCCTTGCGCCCTTTCTCCTGCCTTTTTTTTTTCTCCTGCCCTTCTTTTCTTTCCCAGCCCCCACCCAGTTCTTCCCCGCAGAATTTCGCCCTGATTGGGGCTCGCTGCAGTTCCTGGTGGCCTTCCTGTGTTCCATGAAACGGACTCAAATTTTCCAGTTGTGCCACTTTTCCCCATCATTCTTCCCCAGCCCCTCAGATGAGCTATCCGCCCGAGTTCCGCCCTGACTGGGGCTCGCTGCAATTTCTGGTGGACTTCTTGCGTCCCATGGACGCCCGCGTTCATGACGGCGCTGCTGCCTCCTCTGGAGCTTTCAGCAGCTTCGTCGTCCGCCCCTACGGTGGCTGCAACGACCTTGCCTTCAGTGGTCATATCGTTGTTGCAGCGCTCACGGCTTGCGCCTGGCAGGTGGGTTAAAGGGAAAAGGAGAAAAAAAAAGGCATAGGGCACCAAAAATAATTTAAAATGAAAAATCATGATAGGCGAATACGTTTATTTTGCTGATTCTATAACCTGCCCTTTCTCCTTTACACAATACCCAGTTTACCCAAGCCATTCCCCTCTTTTCTATGCATGGTGATTCTAAACCACAGGAGGCTCACCCAGGGTGGGGGTCTGCCATGGTGTGGGTGCTGGTGATGCACGCCGCTCAAAGGGACATCCGAGAGAGATCGCACTACTCGGTTGATGTCATTATCGCTCTCTACCTCGCTCCACTCCTCTGGCAAATCACCCGGTTCCTTTGGTCCCGGCCCGCTCCCCCTCCGTCCCGAAAAAAGCTTATGGGATTGGCTCTTGCTGATAGAGAGGCTGAGCTGGTTAAGGCTGTTAAGGAGGGGGATCTTGATAGGGTGAAATGGACGGTTGAGATGGCTCGGCGTGAGGCGGATGCGAAGGAAAAGGGGGGAGAGGTGGAGGGAGGTGTGGAAGCGGGGAACGCGGAGAGGCGTACCGTTACGCAGCGGTATTTGGCTCACCTCGGAACTGTGCTGATTTTGACCATGTTGGGGGTGGTTCTGGTGGCGATTCTGGTGTCGGATGAAGGGCATAAGGCTGTTCTTGAAAAGAAGTAGGTGCTGGACAGGGGTTTTTTTATCAGAGTAAATTACTCTGTTTCTCTGAAAATCAGAGTGGTTTTTAGGGGGTCACTCTGACGTGTCTGGGTAATTTTTTTGGAGGATAAGTTTTCTCTGATTTGTCAGGGTTCTGATTTTAGCTACTCTGAGAGACCAGTGTATATTTGTGACAGATATAATTTTCTCTGTACAGGGTATAGGCATTTCACCGTGTCAGAACCCCTCCCCCCGCCCTTTTCTGCCCCCCCAATTGTTGGAAGATGAGATGTGCAAATTGTATGTATATAACTCAGTAACCCTAAACTGATGAGCGCGTAGCACAACGCTTAATTCTTTTGGTAGGAGTGCAGAGGGCCTGGGTTCACTACTTGAGAGGACACTCAGAGTTGGAAAAGTAGGTACACTGGGTGCCCAGAGTAGATTTTTCAGAAGTTAAGTTTTCTCTGACAAACCAGAGTAACGCTCACAATGAACCCTGAATTTCAGAGTTCTCTAGAAAACAGCTCTGGAAATCCGAGTAGTGAAAATCCAAAAAAAAGCCCTGGTGCTGGACAATCCACTACATGTGCTGGTTTTGATAGAGTAGGCTAACTGGACAACGCTTGGACTGCATTTCTTGTGCTGCCTGACATTGGCGTGTAGCCTATCCTGTCCAATCCAATACTGTTCGAATACGATTAAGTGCTAGTTGTCTCGGCATCTATCAGACACTGTCATTGGCTTGCTGGCTCATCCAGTATGTCATCGTCGTTGACACTATCTTATACCGTACCCTAGCTGTGAGCACTATACTGCATTGGTCTGAAATATATGAAAAACTGCACTGCTCTTCCTGTGGATGGATCTCAACACAAGTCCTCTCCAAGTCCAGGTTTCTGGTTGCCTTGCAACTCGATGCCTTCAACCAATCTCTTCAGCTCGTCGAGGTCCACAAGCGGAACCATGGTTGGCCTTCCATGTGCACACTGCATCACACATGGCAATGCACCCATACATCAGCACATCATCTTCAGCACCCAAAAACAGCAGCATCTAACAATGTACGTGCTCACCTGGAAGGGCAGCTGTGTGTGCTTCAAACACTCAATGAGCTGGGAAGTCTCAGATGGCTTCAGCATGTCTCCAAACATGATGGCACCTGCATAACAAAGCAGACAACTGTGAAACCACCAGAACAACAACATGCGCAGGAAGCACGAAAAAAATAAGCTCACCTCTACAAGCTTTTGATGCCAGCAATTGCACAACTGCCCGTGGTGGTGTAGATGCAAGGCCACCAGTTTCTTGAAGCTGCAAGCTCACATAAGGCATGGATAATCATTGGGCATTAAAGATGTGGACAAAAGCATATAAAACTAGAGGAAATCTTGATTGGAGTCTGCATGAGCTGTGAGTACGTTCAGTACCTGCAGCAAGTAGTCGAGAAGGTCTTCTGCACGTAGAGAGGTGCCCAGCAAGTGTGGAACCTGCAGTTTCAAGTGAGTGGATTTTTGGAACGAAACGAGGATTTTCATAAGGAAATGGACAAACAGGGATACATTTGCACACTACATCCATACCGCGAGTACAATAAGTCGAGATGGAGTGCACTGAGATTTGCCTGGACGTCTGAGAGGGGGACATGGGGACATTGGAAGTGGTTGCAGGAGCAAGCGTGCACAGGCTAGTTTCCTACAAAACAATGGCAAGCAAAATGTTCAGGAACCTGGGACTTGCCTTGATTGGCTAAGCATAGCCATAGCATCAGCTCCCATTTGAGTCGAACGATGTGTGCTGAAAGATTTTTCTGCGTTGCCACTTGTAGAGAGCTTAAAACGCCATCCCCATCGTTCTATTTGCCTTTGATATGACCTCAGACACCCTTCTTGCCCTGCTGTGATTGGCTGGAAAATGAAAACACAAGAAATAAATCTGATGAATGGTAGGGTGGGACGTTCAAGGTCTACATTGCTGACACATGGTGTCTCACCAAGTCAGAGGGTGTATCAAGGAGTAGTGGCACTACGGCTGACTGATTCTCCAAAACCTGCAACACCATCAAAGAGACTCAGAATTGCACAATATGGAACCTTACTTATTCAACCAGACAGGCAACTTCACTCACCTCCTTGCGGAGCTCCTCAAGACAAACCCTTTCATCTGCCGCATGCTGCACACATATACACACATATATGTAGGTGGTCAGAAGAACTACACTGCTGACAGAACACACTCATCAGAATCTTTTGACTGCTTACCTGATCAATGGCGACCACGGTTGAGCCAGAAGTGGCAATCAGGAACTTCCCATCCACCTGCTTCAAGCACTTTGCCTGAAGCAGAGTCTCTCTGGTAACAGAGGTTGGAATCAGAGGGCGATGCTGCCTTCTGTGACTATCAAACTGCATGGATCTGGAAGCCAATGTCTGTAAGTCAAGAATTTCTGGCTCCACCTCTTCCTTCTCGCCAAGGCTGGTCTTGCACCAATGCTGCATAAAAGATAACACAGATTTAACAGCAAGCAAAGGCTTCGAATAGGAAAGTGAATGATTTATATCTTCATATAAGCTTTGAAGACCTTACCTGGTACATTTCCTTCACAGACTTTGTCAACCCTAGATCGTTCTTATCGGTGCATGCAGGCGCATGCCCATCTCTCCACTTGGATGAGCAGCAACAGCCTGCCACTTCATCAGCGTGATGAGCTTCTACAATAGCCAGATGCGCTGGTGCTGGAACAGATTCTTCTCTGCATTCAACTGGTCCAGCAGTCTTTTCAGCCATAGGCAGTGCACATGCATGCTTCTGCTCGTTGCCTGTTTCCTCTGCAATCACCAAAGATGAAGAAGCCAGAGCTCCAGGGGTCAAGCCGTGCTCTTGAAAACTTTCCTTTGCTGATTTTGCTGTCTCAGATGCACCTGCAACTTTGTCAGCAACATGCTGATTCAGCCGAAATTGTATTTTCAGAACTGGAAAACTTATAATATATTCAATCTGCTTACCTCCACAGGCAACCAGACCCCATGCCTTCTGCTTGTTACATTGCTCCAGATTGCTTGATGGGTCAACTTGGGTTTCAGTAAGCGGATCAATGAACTCGACTGCTTGTTGAAACTCAAGCGAGCCAACAGCAGGAAAATCAGGCGCAGTCTTCAAGGAGGCTGATTTGCTGGTCCTGTACTCATTCATCGGCCTCTGTAGCTGAATGTCCTGGAGGTGCTCCATACCAGCCAGCATCAAGTCATCTGAAACAACTTCTGGATTGATCATCGACGACCAGTGTGAAGGTCCATCGCCTTCAGAAAGACGTTTCTCTTCCAGTGATGCTTTTTTTCTTCGCTTGGGCATGGGCTCCAGAGGCTGTTGATCACCGTGTCCTATTTCTCCAAAGAGGCATCGGGAGGTCTCGAGGTCCATCCCACCTGGCTCCAGCTGCAAAAGAAGTCGTCAGCTACCAAATACAAAACATACACTCAAACAGTACATCACCAGCTTTGTTACCTACCTGTAGATCCATGGTCCAGTCAAGCTGATTGGATGCAGGCAAGTCCGTGGCATGATCTTCTGTGGGCCTACTCCCTTTCGCTACTGTAGGCGGAAGACATGAGTCTCTTGCCGACGCGAATGGGGAGAGTTCTCGATACGAATCGTGCTGAGAAAAGGGCCGAGGAGTGCACTCGCTTGAGTTGTCGAGATCCACATGCAAAGTGGACGCCCTAGCTTGGCCAGTATTCCCTTCACGTCTGCTCTGTCTCTTTGTGCTTTTGGTTTGAAATGCCTTGGAACCCAGATTGATGGGAGATTGTAACCGATCAGCTTTGTACGCTGAACCGGGACATTCTTCGAATGAGGTTTCGCCTGATTCTTCAAGCAGAAGCAGGTGGCTGGTTCCATGTATGTGCTTGCTTAATCTGCTGGATAGCGCAATCGGATGGCTTGGCCGGTAACTGGGATCAGTTTTCTGCCATGACTTCTGAATTTTCTTCTTCCTGGATTGCACCATCAGGCCTGACAACATGAGGGCCACATGAACAAATGAATGTCAGTCAGACTGCCATTCTAGTAATCTTTAACATGCATTTTCGCCACCAACCAACCTGATTCAGCCAAAGGCGATTTGCTGGAAGGCCACACGTCACGCAAGACCTCTTGAAAAAACTCCAAAACAGTCTTCCAGTTCTGCAATCCAGGCATCCAGCCAATAGAACATGATCCGACAAAAATAACAAAATCTAGTGAAGGAACAACATTGCGTACCTTAAACTCCACATATGTCTTTGTAGGCTCAAACGTGATGTCGTAAGAGGACCGTGGACATGACAGGTTAACAACAAACATCAAGTCTTGGAAACCAGTTAACCCGGCGCCTGTTTCAGCTTCTGAGTGCAAGCTGAGCGATGTGGTGAAGCTGGAATTCATTAACTTGTGAAATCGAGTGTTCTTCACCAAACGCTTGTTTATGTCTGCCAGAATTAACCACCAAGCATACATTAACAAAGGCAGTGTATATGTATTGGGATTGAAAAAGAGAAGAAGATTACATAGGTATTGTATATCTCTTGAGGACTCGTGTTGCACCAGCCGTGAGATGAAGCCAGACAGCCTCAAGTCACCCTTCTGATAGCCAATCTCTTTCATTGACTCGAAAATGGCAGCTCCAAACACATCTTTTATGCTGGAGCCCACGGACCTTCCACCAGACAATGATAGCAGAGCCTTGCTCCTGTGCACATTCAACTAAAGATTGATAACGTCTGGTAGCTAATCCATCTACCAAGAATAAATTCACTTTCAAAATCTCACCTTGCAGCATCCGACACCAGAAATGAAACTTGTGGATACATGAACGCCAAATGACCAACTCTGTCCCTGATGCTCTGAATCTCCTTGGATAAGCTAGAGACAAAAAAAATCGAACGTGAGGTTAAGTAAACAACAAGCATGAGACATGTGCATAACAGGGTTAGTGTCCTGTTTTTATAAACAGCGAAGGTGATGGACAAAAGAAACACAGTCGGAGAAGCGTACTAACTTCTTCTCCACTAGCTGTCGCCTGACTGGTTGGTTGAAGAATATGTCTTGAACAATAACTGCAACCAGTTACATATTGTAGCCCAAACTTAATTCAATGTGATGCGACAATACTCACAGCAGCAAAAACCAGACAGTGCGCGCACCTGTCGTGCCAGTTGATCTCAGCTTCTTTGTCATGCCAACAGAAAGTGTTCTTCCACCCTGCATCAGGAGGCCGTAAGCCCAAATTTCATTCCATACACTAACAATGTAGAGAATAATGACTCACCTTACAAATCTTGCAGTACGTGCTGGCAGACCCCCTCGGACGAGTCACAATCTCGACCAGGGAGAGGCCCATGATTGAGAAGAGTGCTTCTCCACGAAATCCCAGTGTTGTGGGACCAGCTTCAAGCTCCGTAATTGATTGGAGCTTCGACGTCGCTGTTGATGGAAGCCTAAAGGTCAGAAGGTGGTCCTTGAGAGGAACGTGAACGACAAAAATTGTAGTATGATCTAACGTTTTCTTGACGCACCTTGACGCTCACCAAGCAGCACCAGGTCATTACGCGAGATGCCACAGCCTGTAAACGGAGGATAGCCGTAATGTAAAATCGCCTGTACACACCTAGTCGGTCAACGGAACAGCACACTCATTACCATCGTCATCCACTCTAATCGTCGCCGCTGATGAGTCGACCGTCACAGACACCTGAGCACAAAACGTAACGTGTATTATCGCTCTGCTTCAGAGCTAGAAATAAGTAGGCAGATATATAACAAGCCATGTCGCCGTTCACCTCTGTAGCTCCTGCGTCAAGGCTATTGCAAACTAGCTCTTCCGTAAGCTGCGATAGTGAAGGGACGACAACCGAAGACCTAACCTTCCTTGACACATGCCCTGGAAGCTCACGGATGAATGGCAAAGCCATGGCTTCTGCTTGAATGCGAAGTCGAAGCGACCATCTTCTTGAAGTCATCTGAGAACAGGCACTCTAAATTTCCGTTAGCATCCGATCCGTTCCAAACACAAATCGTGGCCCTTGGATTTACTGAAAGTTACAGGGTCTGAAATTTGGACAGTGTTGCAGGGCTTTGGTATTCACAAATTTGTAAAAACGTTTCTCTTGCCGTACGATCTTCATGAGCCAACACGACTATTGAGAAACACAACACATGGGATGGGAACATATGTATCAGGGGTGTAAGCTCTCCACTGCATTTCATAACATTGTCAAATTGATTAACATCTTTTCACCTTATTGAAACACAGTGCTGGATGGACCTGGGTCTACAAATTTACACCCAATATATGTCCCGGGTGCTGCATGAGCATGGATGTCACAATTAACCACATGCTAAGGGGATGAGGAGGTGAGGGGGAGACAAGCTACGGTATGTCAGGGACCAAAGACACACATCAAGTCATCTAAATCCGACGAATCCCTAGCTACGTTCCTGAGTTCTGCAGGAGCATGGACGCGACAATGAGGAACACCCCAAGGGATGAGGAGGCCAGGGAGAGCCAAGCCGTGCTGGGAACTGCATCCATTGCCGCCCCAACGGGGGACCTGTCTCTGCCCTCTGCCCACGCCCGCAGCCTCTGCGCCTCCGTTGCATACACGGCCTGCCCCTGCAGCAATGTGGGACACAGACAAAGGGAGGATTGATGCGAGGGAGAGCCAAGCTATGCTGGGCACGGCATCCATCGCTGCCCCGATGGCCGACCTGTCTCTGCCCTCCGCCCATGCCCGCAGCCTCTGCGCCTCCGTTGCATACACGGCCTGACCCTGGACAGAGAGGAGGTATGGAGAAGGGGAGGATTTTGATAAATGACTCAAGCTGCATAAACGCCTTGCTCCTCTCTCGGTCTGAGAGGTATGGACAAAGGCCCATCGCTCGAGCCAACAATAAATCAATAATTGTAACTTACAGAGAAGATTGGTACTGTAACTTACAGAGAAGATTGGTACTGTAACTTATAGCCAAGGCTTCCAGCCACTCTCCCATTCTCCTCACCTGTTGGTCAAACCAGCGGCCTCGGCGCATCCAGGCAGACAGGATGGCCAGGACTATGCGGGGCGGTGTGAGGTAGCTCACTGTGGACCCCGTACCCCTTACAGTGCGCATCTGATACAGGCAGAATAACACGGATGTGCAGGAAAAGAAGAAAAGAAATACATCATGTATGAAGCTCTAGAAAGATCCATCAGAGCAACTTGTCCGCACCTGAGGCAACAGTACCTGAAGCAGTACCTGAAGCAGTACCTGAAGCAACACCTGACGTGGCACCTGAGTAAAGCAGGCATATGCACTGAATGAAGCGTCTGCACGACCTGAGCTATCCATCAGTCAACACATCACCTTGTGGAACACTTAACGACAACACCTGAGCCACCTGAAGAACCACCTGACTCAGCACCTGGGGAACGAGCACTCGTGCGACAGACTCGGGGTGTTCCCCCACGATGTCGAATGCTTGCTTGTCGGCCACCGTTGCTCCACTCAGCAGCAGATCCGTCAGCACCAGCCATTTTAGACCCACCCGTCCGTCAGCACATCACCGCACATCACAGCACAGCACAGCACCGAAAATCACCTGGGGTACGAGCACGCGGGCAACGGTCTCGGGGTGTTCCCCCACAATGTTGAAGGCCTGCTTGTTGGCCACCGTCGCTCCACTCAGCAGCAGATCCGTCAGCACCAGCCCTGGGGACGCCGCATGAATACCCACTCTTCCCCTCCTCCCCCCTCCCTTTTCCACCCCTCCTCCACTTGCCCCCTCACTCCCACCCTCTCTCCTCGAATCGTTCCCCACCCCAGTCCCCACCTCCCTCCCCCTCTCACTCCCCTCCAGTCTCCCTTCTTCCACCAGTGACGCCCCCAGCTGCCGGAGCGCACACTTGGTGGCGCCGTATGCAGCATACTGTGGCGTGGCGCCCCCCCACGACCCTGCGCCTTCCAAATTGAACACGTGGCCGGTTGTTTGGTGTGGTAGGGAGGGTGGTTGCTGCTGCATGAGGCGCATTGCTGCCCGCGTGCATAGGAGCGAGCCCAGCAGATTGGTGGAAACCACCTGGAAGTAGGGGCAGACGAAGGACAGCAAGAGGCAGGGACTGAAGAGGTTGAACACACGCGTGGCTGGCTGTTTGGTCTGGTAGGGACGGCTGCTGCTGCTGTATGAGGCGCATGGACGGCTGCTGCTGCTGCATGAGGCGCATTGCTGCCCATGTGCATAGGAGCGATCCCAGCAGATTGGTGGAGACCACCTGGAGGAACAGGAACGGTGAGTCAAGAAGCAAGTGGGGTTGAACACATGGCTGGTTGTTTGGTCTGGGGGCACGGTTGCTGCTGCATGAGGTGCATTGCTGCGTGCATGCAGAGCAGGGAACTCAGCAAGAGTCTACACAAGTCAACGCATGGCAACACTCACCTGCTCCCACCTGCTCCAGCTCGTGGTCTTCAAAGTCAATGAAGTGACTACTGAGTCGACTCAAAAGAAGTGACTCAAAAGTTCTCACCTGCTCCACTTCTCCCCTGCCCTTCCTGAACCTCTCACCCTGCTCCAGCTCTCACCTGCTCCAGCTCTCACCTGCTCCAGCTCTCACCTGCTCCAGCTCGTGGTCTTCAAAGTCAGCGAAGGGCTTGGCCATGGGGTTGGTGCCTGCGTTGTTCACCTGGCATGGTCAACACAAGTCAACACCAGTGACAACAAGAAAACATCAATAAGCGCACTAGACACACGTCTAAAACAAGCAGCACAAACCGACAATGCAGCACAAATCGGTGCAAGTCAACACAAGTCAACGAGTGCCTCAGGCGCACAGGCATGTTCAGCAGTGCTAACGTGCATGTAAGGCGTCAAATGCCCCCAACAAAAAAGAAAAAGGATGGATGGGGTTGACTTGATTGGCATGACTGGAATGACTGCATGGCAGGTCATGTTGTTGAGCAAGTGGACTTCCAAGTCGACTCAAAGGTCATGTTGTTGAGCAAAGACCGTTTCTGGATAAACTTGTCAGCTCACTCACCCAGATGTTGACTCGTCCCAGCTCCTGCCGTGCCATGTCAGCAAGCATCTGGACGTCGCTTGCCGACCGCACGTCGCAGGCAATGCCAACCACTCTCTGCTGCTCATGGCGCTGCTTCTCCTGCTGCTGCACCCCATGAGCCTGGGGCAGCTCCCATACCTCCCTGCATACAAAAACACATGACACCAAGACATCATGAAATCTTTGAAACATGGAGTCATATTATCATGGCATCATGGCACGAAGTGACTTTTGAGCCGAGTCATAACTGACCTGCTTGACTGCGTTGACTCCATCCGATTGGACCCAGCCTTGACCAGCACAGCCACGGGGGCGCGCCCTGTGATGTGCCACGTGTCCTGCTGCAGTGCTCTCAGTGCCTCCTCCACCCCCTGCTCACTGCGGGATGCATGAAAGGGCACATGTTGAAAAAGGGGCGTGAAGGAACAGCCAGGGGGGAACACCCACGTGTCCTGCTGCAGTGCTCTCAGTGCCTCCTCCACCCCCTGCTCACTGGGATAAGGAAGGCCGAAGTTTCATGAGATGAGACAAGGGGGGTGGGTCAGGGTTTGGGGCACGTTGCTTGAAAATGGCGGTGCAGTCCAGTCAAGGGAGATGAGAAGCGGTGGGACCCTATTGGGCAGTGCAACATAAGGAAAAACGTGAGCGTGTAACGGATACTGTCCAATTTATGGCATATCCATGCTGACATGGAAGATCCATGTCAGCGCCACGTCATCACTTACCTCCTTGATGTCAGCAACACATCATCACCAGCCAATAGGAACTCTCGAGCCATGGCCTTGCCAAGGCCCCTGGAGCCTCCAGTCAGGACAACTCTTCTAGGCGGCAGGCGGGCGGCAGCGCGCCGCCTCTGGTGCTTCTGCATGACCTCGCCCACCCCGACCATGCACCCCAGGACAAGCCCTGCCGCCCAGCAGAACCACACCACGTCCCATCCTTGAACCCTCGATCCTGGTGGCGTTGATGGGAAAAATGGCAGGGTCTGGCATGAGGGATGGAGGAGTCAACAGTGGTTCATTTGAGGCTGTCAAGAATCGAAATAAGTTCAGACACAACAACTTCTCGTCTGCACATCGCCCATGCAACGAGCATGCAGCGACTTTTGAGTCGACATATAAATCAACTAGTGCAGCTTTCACAGCTTTCCCTTTCAGAGTGACCCACTGCTTTGAGAGTGCCCAGACCCACCTGAGAGCTCACGAAGGGTTTCCAAAACAACCCCAGGGATGGTGGTGAGGATGAGTGCTCGCCCCAGGTGCTGCGTGAACTGATGGGGGGAAGGCGAGGGGGGAAGGAGGGAAGGTGGAGTTGAGAAAACGAGACGTATCAAAACTGGAGGGCAGGAATCGGGGTCCAGTTCTGAGAGAGTGTGTGGTGGTGAGGATGAGCGCTCGCCCCAGGTGCTGAGTGAACCGATTAAACGGGGGGAGGGAGAGGAGGAGGAGAGGAAGGCACTGTTGAATAATGAGACGCATCGAACCTAGAGGGCGAAGAACGTGGTGCAGTGATGAGAAAGTGTGGCAGTTGGTGAGAATGATTACCCGTGCTACGTGCACGGATGGGGAAACAGAGGCTTCAAGGCTCACCTTTTGAGGCGCCTCAAAAATGATTACCCATCCCTGGTGCTACGTGAACGGATGGGGAAAGAGAGGCTTGAAGGCTCACCTGCAGGAAGCCCTCCCTCTGCCCTCTCCAAATAACCCCTCGCCTCCTCCCCACTGTCCTCGCCTCCTCCCCCCCAACTGACTTTTAAGACGTAACGTAACTTTTACAGCGTATCAGGCTCACCTGTAAAAAATCCTCCTCTGCCTTCTCCAGGTATCCCCTCGCCTCCTCCGCAACCGACTTAGTCACCCCGCGCGTGGACCGGGGATCAGTGGCAAGATACACAGTCCCATCCTCAGGCTTTCCATTTGCATCGGCACCAGCAGCGGTTTCAGTCGCACCATCCCCGTGGGCAGCACGAGGCATGCTCCGCAACACTTGAGGCATGCTGTTGCTTCCTCTTCCTGTCAGCACGCGAGGCACGCTGGTAACGGCTCTTCTTCCCGTTGGCACTCCAGTGCAGCGCCTAGCAGCGGGTTGAATCAGACGGTGCGGCTCGTGGCGTACGGCGCTCCAGAAGGGTGTGACTGTAGTGGATGTGAGTTGAACAGCACGGGGTTGTGACTTTGTAACGCGGGTGCACGTGGCAGGACGAGCTGATGACGCCATGGCCGCCAACCGCGGCGAGGCGGCGTGCAAGGAGGCCATGAGGAGTAGATGAGAAAGTGGTCAGATGCGCTAGTTGGGAGGGAGAGTCAACCTTAACGGTAACCTGGCACCCCAACGGCTATCTGTTGTTCAGAAGGACGTGTGCCGAGTGGCGAAGGGAACAGACCTCCCCAGCCGCGTGAATCGACCCCTCCAGGAAATTCAAAAATTACCAAGTCGGCCCGACCTCCTTTTGCTGGGTTGACTCAACAGCAAGCAATTTCCGTTCCGTGCAGCTTCACGAGCGCATCGGTGAGAATCGAATCGCGAAATCCGCGACGCGATCAGCTAGACGAGCCCGGGACTGCGAACCACGGGACTGAGAGAAGCCGGTGGGAGCCGACCTGGAACCCGACCAGCCGAGCACAACCGAGTCAAACCGGATTGAACAAACGAAACGGAGCCCGAAGGATAGTTCTCTCCCAATACGCACGGCGAGATGGTTTGGCCAACATTGCCTGTGACGCCAGGTGCGAGTGTGCGTGCACCTGGAATTAATATCCAAGGAACAGAGAAAAAGGTCCTGCTCGCTGAGTGATGCCATGGCGGTGGGCGCGTGCCTGACACTGGCTCGGACACTTGGCAGGCATGCTCAACAGAAAGGTTTTGCATGGATGCTTGATGACGGCGCATCTATGGTGTACGCTGGAACCATTTGAAGAATTTTTACGGCTAGCCGTCAATTATGAAAGCTGCTTTTTATCATCCTCTCGTGATCTGACACATTGTCTAGGAGGTAGAATCTAGGTGGACAGAATGACTGTGTCGGCGGGAAATGTCTGACACATTTGTGCAGCCGAAGGATAGTTGTGAGCCGTCGATACCATCTTCATCGAACTGCAATTTCGGTTCTCGTGCGGTCGAGGTATGGACTGGGCGACAAGTGGTGGAGGGAGAGGACGAAGCAAGCGACCCATTGTATTACGGCTACAGTTGTAGCTGCTCTCTGTTATAAGCTGCTAAAATACTGCTTACATCCAACTCTCACGTAATCAATCAAAGCTGCAACGTACAATGGAAATTAATGGAAGCCCTAAAGAACCGCATGATAGGAGCGACTAACAGCGTGAACTAAAGCTCAGGCTTGAGTGGCCCCACTTGATGTGTACAGCCACATGTTCTTTATTTCAGAATACAGCATGCTCCTGGCCTGCGGGAGCACCACGATAGTTGTCACTGGTTCCGTCTCGTGCCCAGAAGATAAGGCATCGTTGTTTTGTGAGTATGCGTGCAAAATTTCCACAGCTGGGGGGTGCTTTCGAGCCTGAATGCATTTTGAGATGCTATCGAGCCCTGATGCCGCGTGGAGCCTGCAAGAACGTGGAGTGTGAGTCCAATCCAACGGAGAGAGGGAGGGGGGGACACAAGGGCAATTAGAGGGGTTGCGAAAGGGTGTGAAAGGGGAACATGTCAAGTGCACCAGCTTGTGGGCCCAGAAGCTAGTTGTGAGAAACAAGAATCAAAACAAGTACATGGTGTATCTATACTACATGTAGACATATATATGAAGATGGTTTTTTGCATGTACACACCTTTCTGAAGTACTTGGTGCGGAGCTTGATGGCGAGATGGATGCAGGAAACCACATCTAATACGAGCTCCACATCGTTGAACATCTGATGGGTTGAGTGGGGCAGGGAGGGGTGAGAGAGAGCATGAATGTGAAAGGTAGAGAGGTTAGAAAGCAGCGCAGGTGGATGCAGGTGGTCCACATCCCCCACCCGAGCCTCCCCTCACTGAGACATCAAACTCCCCCCCCCCTCCCTCCACATCCTGTGCCGTCAGCTGCCCTGACCGCCACACAGAACAGAATGGATCAAGCGCCTCAGAATATAGATAATACCTTAGGCGCCTCAGAATATAGATAATACCTTAGGCGCCTCAGAATATAGATAATACCTTAGGCGCCTCAGAATATAGATAATACCTTAGGCGCCTCAGAATAGAGATAATACCTTAGGCGCCTCAGAATAGAGATAATACCTTAGGCGCCTCAGAATAGAGATAATACCTTAGGCGCCTCAGAATAGAGATAATACCTTAGGCGCCTCAGAATAGAGATAATACCTTAGGCGCCTCAGAATAGAGATAATACCTTAGGCGCCTCAGAATAGAGATAATACCTTAGGCGCCTCAGAATAGAGATAATACCTTAGGCGCCTCAGAATAGAGATAATACCTTAGGCGCCTCAGAATAGAGATAATACCTTAGGCGCCTCAGAATATAGATAATACCTTAGGCGCCTCAGAATATAGATAATACCTTAGGCGCCTCAGAATATAGATAATACCTTAGGCGCCTCAGAATAGAGATAATACCTTAGGCGCCTCAGAATAGAGATAATACCTTAGGCGCCTCAGAATAGAGATAATACCTTAGGCGCCTCAGAATAGAGATAATACCTTAGGCGCCTCAGAATAGAGATAATACCTTAGGCGCCTCAGAATAGAGATAATACCTTAGGCGCCTCAGAATAGAGATAATACCTTAGGCGCCTCAGAATAGAGATAATACCTTAGGCGCCTCAGAATAGAGATAATACCTTAGGCGCCTCAGAATAGAGATAATACCTTAGGCGCCTCAGAATAGAGATAATACCTTAGGCGCCTCAGAATAGAGATAATACCTTAGGCGCCTCAGAATAGAGATAATACCTTAGGCGCCTCAGAATAGAGATAATACCTTAGGCGCCTCAGAATAGAGATAATACCTTAGGCGCCTCAGAATAGAGATAATACCTTAGGCGCCTCAGAATAGAGATAATACCTTAGGCGCCTCAGAATAGAGATAATACCTTAGGCGCCTCAGAATAGAGATAATACCTTAGGCGCCTCAGAATAGAGATAATACCTTAGGCGCCTCAGAATAGAGATAATACCTTAGGCGCCTCAGAATATAGATAATACCTTAGGCGCCTCAGAATAGAGATAATACCTTAGGCGCCTCAGAATATAGATAATACCTTAGGCGCCTCAGAATAGAGATAATACCTTAGGCGCCTCAGAATAGAGATAATACCTTAGGCGCCTCAGAATAGAGATAATACCTTAGGCGCCTCAGAATATAGATAATACCTTAGGCGCCTCAGAATAGAGATAATACCTTAGGCGCCTCAGAATAGAGATAATACCTTAGGCGCCTCAGAATAGAGATAATACCTTAGGCGCCTCAGAATAGAGATAATACCTTAGGCGCCTCAGAATAGAGATAATACCTTAGGCGCCTCAGAATAGAGATAATACCTTAGGCGCCTCAGAATAGAGATAATACCTTAGGCGCCTCAGAATAGAGATAATACCTTAGGCGCCTCAGAATAGAGATAATACCTTAGGCGCCTCAGAATAGAGATAATACCTTAGGCGCCTCAGAATAGAGATAATACCTTAGGCGCCTCAGAATAGAGATAATACCTTAGGCGCCTCAGAATAGAGATAATACCTTAGGCGCCTCAGAATAGAGATAATACCTTAGGCGCCTCAGAATAGAGATAATACCTTAGGCGCCTCAGAATAGAGATAATACCTTAGGCGCCTCAGAATAGAGATAATACCTTAGGCGCCTCAGAATAGAGATAATACCTTAGGCGCCTCAGAATAGAGATAATACCTTAGGCGCCTCAGAATAGAGATAATACCTTAGGCGCCTCAGAATAGAGATAATACCTTAGGCGCCTCAGAATATAGATAATACCTTAGGCGCCTCAGAATATAGATAATACCTTAGGCGCCTCAGAATATAGATAATACCTTAGGCGCCTCAGAATAGAGATAATACCTTAGGCGCCTCAGAATAGAGATAATACCTTAGGCGCCTCAGAATAGAGATAATACCTTAGGCGCCTCAGAATAGAGATAATACCTTAGGCGCCTCAGAATAGAGATAATACCTTAGGCGCCTCAGAATAGAGATAATACCTTAGGCGCCTCAGAATAGAGATAATACCTTAGGCGCCTCAGAATAGAGATAATACCTTAGGCGCCTCAGAATAGAGATAATACCTTAGGCGCCTCAGAATAGAGATAATACCTTAGGCGCCTCAGAATAGAGATAATACCTTAGGCGCCTCAGAATAGAGATAATACCTTAGGCGCCTCAGAATAGAGATAATACCTTAGGCGCCTCAGAATAGAGATAATACCTTAGGCGCCTCAGAATAGAGATAATACCTTAGGCGCCTCAGAATAGAGATAATACCTTAGGCGCCTCAGAATAGAGATAATACCTTAGGCGCCTCAGAATAGAGATAATACCTTAGGCGCCTCAGAATAGAGATAATACCTTAGGCGCCTCAGAATAGAGATAATACCTTAGGCGCCTCAGAATAGAGATAATACCTTAGGCGCCTCAGAATATAGATAATACCTTAGGCGCCTCAGAATAGAGATAATACCTTAGGCGCCTCAGAATATAGATAATACCTTAGGCGCCTCAGAATAGAGATAATACCTTAGGCGCCTCAGAATAGAGATAATACCTTAGGCGCCTCAGAATAGAGATAATACCTTAGGCGCCTCAGAATATAGATAATACCTTAGGCGCCTCAGAATAGAGATAATACCTTAGGCGCCTCAGAATAGAGATAATACCTTAGGCGCCTCAGAATAGAGATAATACCTTAGGCGCCTCAGAATAGAGATAATACCTTAGGCGCCTCAGAATAGAGATAATACCTTAGGCGCCTCAGAATAGAGATAATACCTTAGGCGCCTCAGAATAGAGATAATACCTTAGGCGCCTCAGAATAGAGATAATACCTTAGGCGCCTCAGAATAGAGATAATACCTTAGGCGCCTCAGAATAGAGATAATACCTTAGGCGCCTCAGAATAGAGATAATACCTTAGGCGCCTCAGAATAGAGATAATACCTTAGGCGCCTCAGAATAGAGATAATACCTTAGGCGCCTCAGAATAGAGATAATACCTTAGGCGCCTCAGAATATAGATAATACCTTAGGCGCCTCAGAATAGAGATAATACCTTAGGCGCCTCAGAATAGAGATAATACCTTAGGCGCCTCAGAATAGAGATAATACCTTAGGCGCCTCAGAATAGAGATAATACCTTAGGCGCCTCAGAATAGAGATAATACCTTAGGTGCCTCAGAATAGAGATAATACCTTAGGCGCCTCAGAATAGAGATAATACCTTAGGCGCCTCAGAATAGAGATAATACCTTAGGCGCCTCAGAATAGAGATAATACCTTAGGCGCCTCAGAATAGAGATAATACCTTAGGCGCCTCAGAATAGAGATAATACCTTAGGCGCCTCAGAATAGAGATAATACCTTAGGCGCCTCAGAATAGAGATAATACCTTAGGCGCCTCAGAATAGAGATAATACCTTAGGCGCCTCAGAATAGAGATAATACCTTAGGCGCCTCAGAATATAGATAATACCTTAGGCGCCTCAGAATAGAGATAATACCTTAGGCGCCTCAGAATAGAGATAATACCTTAGGCGCCTCAGAATAGAGATAATACCTTAGGCGCCTCAGAATAGAGATAATACCTTAGGCGCCTCAGAATAGAGATAATACCTTAGGCGCCTCAGAATAGAGATAATACCTTAGGCGCCTCAGAATAGAGATAATACCTTAGGCGCCTCAGAATAGAGATAATACCTTAGGCGCCTCAGAATAGAGATAATACCTTAGGCGCCTCAGAATAGAGATAATACCTTAGGCGCCTCAGAATAGAGATAATACCTTAGGCGCCTCAGAATAGAGATAATACCTTAGGCGCCTCAGAAGGCAAGTCCCACCTTGATGGCTTCGTCAGACCCTTCAACCACCAGCAGTCTCTTCCGGTTGACCCTCAGAATGGCCGCCACACCGAACATCGCCAGGTCCTCATCTCCCACCCACGCCTCCCCCCACTGCGACATCAAACTCGGCCCCCCCTCCACATGGCCTTTTCAGACGTTCCGAACATAGACCCACCTTGATTGCTTCATCAGACCCTTCAACCAGCAGCAGTCTCTTCCGGTTGACCCTCAGAATGGCCGCCACACAGAACATGGCCAGGTCCCGTTTCTGAGGCGGTTCATTTGTTTTTGTAACATCTGGGCCGCTTCAAGAGCCAGGACCCACCTTAATAGCTTCGTCAGAACCTTCCACAAGCAGCAGTCTCTTCCGGTTGACCCTCAGAATGGCCGCCACACAGAACACCGCCAAATCCTCATCTCCCACTCGCGCCTCTCCCCACTGAGACATCAAACTCGCCCCTCCCTCCACATCCTGTGCCGTCAGCTGCCCGGACCGCCATATCCCCCCTCTCCTCCCCCCGCCCAGCCCCATCACGTCAAACCCCCCTAGAGACGACCCCGAGCCTTGGTTGGAAGCGGTGGAGAACGGTACGGGGGTGGTGGCGGCGTCGTTGGTGGGGGAGTCGAGGGGGGGGAGGGGACCGGTGGACCAGGTGTGCGGCTCGGCGACCAGGTTGAGACCCTCAGGGGGGTGATGGAGGAGCACTGATGCCATTCGCGAGTCAAAATCCGCCGCCCACATCATCTGGGGAAACAGAGCATGGGGAACAGTGGGGAATGGGGGACGGGGGAAGGGGGAGGGCACAGTGGGGAATGGGGGAAGGGGGGGGGCACAGTGGGGAATGGGGGAATGGGGGAAGGGGGAAGGTGGAAACAGAGGATGGGGAACAGTGGAGAACGGGGGAAGGGGGAAGGGAAACATGAATTTATCCGCGCCCAGCTCCTCCAGGTGGGAGGCGAGCTCGGGGTCCACGAGAGCCACCACCCAACCCAACCCACCTTCCCCCCCTGTAGCCCAGCTCCCCAGGTAACCCTGATTGTACCCCAACGCACCTCCCACATCACAATGACGTCAACGAGGGGGAGTTCTCTTCTAAAGAGCACGAGCAGCATGCGGAAGGCGAACATCAAGTTATCCCTCTGCCCTGTGACCCACCATCTAGCCAACGCACCTCTTCCCTTTCACCCACCTCCCACATGACGATCACGTCCACGAGGGGCAGTTCTCTTCTAAAGAGAACCAGCAGCATGCGGAAGGCGAACATGAAGCTGTCCGCTCCCAGCTCCTCCAGATGCGTCAGGTACCTACACAACCCACCTCCTCCCCTGCACCCACCTCCCACATGACGATCACATCACCAGCAGCATGCGGAAGGCGAACATGAAGTTGTCCGCGCCCAGCTCCTCCAGGTGGGAGGCGAGCTCGGGGTCCACCAGCGCCACCACCCAACCCAACTTCCCCCCCTGTAACTACCAGCTCAGTAGCCCAAATTCTTCCTTACAAACAAGCACCCACCTCCCACATGACGATCACGTCCACAAGTGGCAGCTCTCTCCTAAAGAGCACGAGCAGCATGCGGAAGGCGAACATGAAGTTGTCGGCTCCCAGCTCCTCCAGGTGCGAGGCCAGCTCGGGGTCCACCAGCGCCACCACGTCCCGCAGCACCGCTAGCTGCCGCAGGATGCCCACCGGCCCCTCTAATACAAAGTTGTGGCGCTGGTGGGAGTGGGGGGGAGGGGGAGAGTGGGGTTGGAGGAGGGAACGGAGAACGGAAGTGTGTGGGGGACCAGCGCCACCACGTCTCTCAGCACCGCTAGCTGCCGCAGGAAGCCCACCGGCCCCTCCAGCACAAAGTTGTGGCGCTGGGGGAGGGGCGGGGCGGGGGGAGATGCACGATCGGTTGATGCTAAGGTGGGTTTCACAATTTAGGAGAAGCGAGAGTCGAAGCACCAGCTTGAGACGTGGTAAACCAAGGCCAGTGAAGCACCAGCTTGAGACGTGGTGAACCAAGGCCAGTGAAGCATGGCATGGCATGGCATGGGATGGGATGGGATGGGATGGGATGGGATGGGATGGGATGGGATGGGATGGGATGGGATGGGATGGGATGGGATGGGATGGGATGGGATGGGATGGGATGGGATGGGATGGGATGGGATGGGATGGGATGGGATGGGATGGGATGGGATGGAATGGGATGGGATGGGATGGGTGGCAGGCAGGGCTTACAACGCGGGAGAAGAGGCACTCAAAATACCAGCTTTGAGTCGTTGTGAGACAGGGGCAGTCAAGCGTGGGACGGGTGGCAGTCACAGGGCTTACAATGCGGGAGAAGAGGCACTCAAAACACCAGAAGGCGTCAGCAGGATGGGCGTAGAGCATGATGAATGGCGAGAGGATGTCGCACATGCCTGGTGAAGGGAGGGGAAGGGGAAGGGGAAGGGGAAGGGGAAGGGGAAGGGGAAGGGGAAGGGGAAGGGGAAGGGGAAGGATTGAAGCGTTTAGCAGTGGATAGGCTGAGACGTAGCAAGGCATCGGCAGGATGGCTGTAGAGCATGATGCACGGGGAGAGGATGTCGCACACGCCTGGTGGTTGAGGTAGGGAAGAGGGAGAAAGGGAAGCTGATGCAGGAGGGAAGCTGATGCAGGAGGGATGCATTGAGGCGCCATAGGGTTCATTGGCAGGATAGAGCATGATGCACGGGGAGAGGATGTCGCACATGCGTGGTGGTTGAGGTAGGGGGAAGGGATGGAAAAGGGAGAAGATGCAGGGTTTAGGCATGGAGAGAGGTGATGGGCAGGATGGTCGTAGAGCATGATGAAAGGGGAGAGGATGTCATGGCATGCTGCTGCTATTAGGACGCACCTTGGCAGGAGCCAGTAGCGGGGTCGATCCACGCGTGCACGGCCAGGATGTCACACATGGTGGCGCTGCTCCTCTCTGCTCCGTGTGGTGGACTGCACCCTACAGCCTTACAGCCTGGGCAGCTGCATCTTACAGCTTCTTGTGCCTCACACATGCTGCTATGGCCATCACAAGCACACCACACCTTGACAGAAGCCAGTAGCAGGGTCGATCCAGGCGTGCACGGCCAGGATGTCACACATGCCTGGTTGCCCCCATGACATCGTCCATACTGGTACCACAGCGCACCTTGACAGAAGCCAGTGGCGGGGTCGATCCAGGCGTGCACGGCCAGGATGTCACACATGGTGGCGCGATTCCTCTCTGCTTGATAGAACGCCATGTGTGTGTCTGTGCGCTCCACATCCACCGCTGAGGATTTCAGGTGGGAGAGGAGAGGACAGAGAGTCTCGGGCTTTAACTGTAGGGATGTGACACATAGTGCCATGATTCCTCTCCGCCTGGTGGAACGCCATGTGCCTATCAGTGCGCTCCTCTATTAGCAGCTGTTGAAGGAAGCAAGGAGAGACACAATGACATGACAACAAACAACCGAATCAATTTCTCTCCGCTTGCTAAAACGCCATGTGCCTGTCCGTGCGCCCCACATCCACGGCTGAGGAGAGGGGAGAGGAGAGAGGAGGTAGGGGCAGGTTGTGTGGGCTCTGGGAGGGCACAGGAGAGGGGACGCAGCAAGCAACCATATTAGTTCCTCTCCGCCTGGTAGAACGCCATGGTGAGACGGGCAAGGAGATACATTAGCAGCAGATGACATCGCAAACTAGGGTTTCGAGTTTTGAGGTTTAGCTAAGGCAACAGGTGACTGCAATGGTCGCGACTCGACTCACACATCTTGTGCAGCGTCCACAGCCAGTCTTCAACGCGCTCCACTGTGACGCCCAGCCTGAGGTGACACCCGAGTCGACTCAAAACTCAACTCTCTCTGCTGCACTCACAGATCCTGCTCTGCTGTGCCACTCGACTCACATATCTTGTGCAGCGTCCACAGCCGGTCAGCAAGACGCTCCACTGTCACACCCAGCCTGAGGTGACACAGAAGTCATCTCCCTCTGCCGAAATCACACATCTTGTGGGGCTCTACTGACGAATCTCCCTCCACGCAACACTACTCACACATCTCCCTCTGCTCCACTCACATATCTTATGCAGCGTCCACAGCCAATCAGCAACACGCTCCACCGTGACACCCAGCCTTGCAGCCACCACCGGATCAACCGTCAACTGCGCCTTCTGCCCTCCCTCCTCCTCCCCTCCCCCTTCGCCCCCTCGCATACCTGGATTTGGGACGTGCCAAGGCTACTCACATATCTTATGCAGCGTCCACAGCCAGTCAGCAACGCGCTCCACCGTGACACCCAGCCGGGCCGCCACCACCGGATCAACCGTCAACTGCGCCTTCTGCCCTCCTTCCTCCTCTCCCCCTTCTGCCCCTTCGCCCCCCTTGCCCTCCTCCTCCTTCCCACTCTCCTCCACCCCATCTCCTCCCTCTCCTCCCTCTCCCCTCCCCACCCCCCCCCCCCTCCACCCTCCTCCCCATCCCTCTCCACCCCTCCGCTGCTCCCCCTACTCCCCCTGCTCCCCCTGCTCCCTCTGCTCCCCTTCTCACTCCCACCACCTGCGCCTCCCCTCGCCTCCGCTCCTCCCTCTCCTCTCCCATCCACCCCCCCCTCCCCCTCCTCCTCATCATCATGGCCTAGAATCCAAGCCCACACCTGCTCAGCTGTAGGATTCTTTCCATTGAAGCTTTTCCTCTGCATGTAAGCCTGCAGAATGCTCTGCCTCTGCTCTGCTGCTTGGCTGCCCCCTCCTGTGCTTGCACTCGTGTGAATGCCCTCTAGAACACTCTCCTCCACGCCTATACCTGCCCCTCCTTCTCCTCCTCCCCCTCCTGCTCCTCCTGCTCCTCCTGCTCCTGCTGCTCCTGCTCCTTGCTCCATGCTGCCCTGTCCCTCCCCATCGCCCTTCTCACCACTCACCCCTCCCGATTCTTCCCCTCTGCTCGCCCCTCTTTGCGCAGTTACTCTGCTCTTCCCTGCTCGCGCTGTTGCCCTGCCCTCCCCCATTCCTTTGGGTGTGCTCGGTCCCTCAACCTCTTCTCGTGATTGCTCCTGCTCTGTTCCCCCCACTGCGCCTCTAGCATCTGTCCCCACTCGCTCTGCTGTTCCTGCTGCTCCTACCCCTCCTAAAACACCTGCGCCAGCAGCAGCATCAGCAACAGCAGCGGTTGCTGGTAGCGGTGACGGCCCCACTACTGCCCCTGCTCCTCTATCCTCCCCCACCCTCCCTTCTCGAACCCCTTCCAGCCTACCTGCCCCATCAGGTGCCCGTTCCGCTCCCCTACCCTCCGCCCTCCCCTCCCCCCCACTGTACCACACACGCAGTGACGCCTCCCCTGGTGCCCCCCTTCCCCCCACACTGCGGCCAATGGCGCACCCTGCAGCTATAGGAGCAGGATCAGCATCTTCCGCGCTCTCACGCTCACCACCAGCAGCACCAGCAGTAAAATCGTCAACACCACTAACACCAACACTAACAGCACCAGCAGCAGCAGGGCCATCACCACCAGCAGCACCACTGGCAGCAGTACCACCACTCAATGAACTGCGTGCCTGCAGCGCTTCCCACACATCACGCTCATCCTTTCCTTCCCTCTCCCCCTCCCGCTCCCCCTCTCCCTCCCTCCCCTTGTCTCTCTCCCGCCCATCCACAATATCCCCACCTCCCCCAAAGCTCATCCGCTCCCTGCTCCCCAGCGCACTCTCCCGCCCATGCTGCCCCAACCCCTGGCTACCACTCCGCACCATCCCCCACACCTCTCCCCCCTCCATAGACCCCGCTACAGGCCCCGCTAAAGCCCCTGCCACCGGCCCCGCTACAGCCCCCGCTACAGGCTCAGGCGAAGGCGCAGTGATTCCTGCAAAGTCAACCAGGGTCATGCCAGCACTGCGGGAGCGGCGCGAGGAGGAGGAGGAGCCGGCACTGTCAGGGCGGTGGGAGAGGATGGAGGAGGAGGAGGGCGGGAGGAGCGCGGAGGAGGGGGACGGGGAGGCTGCAGCAGAGGAAGTGGACCGGGGAGGGGTGGAGGAGTGAGAGTGAGTGGAAAGGTGGCCAGGGATAGGAGTACCAGAGCTAGCTAGACCAGCAGCGTTGCCAGCAGCATTGCCACCAGCGTTGCCAGCAGTGCTGCCAGCAGCAGTGGACGGACGGGTTGGTTGGCTAGACGATGACGAAAGGTTGGTGCTCGCGCTAGCAGCCAAGCCCTTGCCGCCCAGCAGCTCGTCCAATGACGTGCTCCCCCAATCCGCACTCAGCACCTTCCGGAGCCGTCTCCTTGCGCCCGCCCTCCCTCCCCCTGCTCCTCCCCCTCCGCCGCCCAGCACTCCCCCTTCATGCCCCTCTCCCCCTAGCTTCCCCACAACCTTTCCCCCGCCCAGCACTCCCCCTCCTCCTCCGTCTCCCTGTCCCCCTCCTCCTGTCCCCACGCCCACTCCTCCCCCCGCCCCAACCCCTTCCCTCCCCCCGAAGCTGTCTGATGCGCCAAGGTATCCTATCAGCTTCTTATGCGCCTTCTTCATCCCCCTCACCCACGCTGCGCCCGCTCCCCCTTCTCCCCCTCCTTTGTGCGCCCCCTGCGCCGCCCCCACTCCCCCCAACTCCCCCGCTGGCGGCCGCCCCTCCTTCCCCAGCCTCCTCCCCCCCGCTCCCCCATCCGTCGCCCCTCCCGCCCCACCCTCCCTGCCCTCCCACCCGCCCTCCCCTGCCCCCTCCTCCACCCCCTCATCCTCTCCCCCTTCCCCTCCCTGCCCCATCCCCCCGCCTCCACCACCCACTCCGCCACTCACAGCGTGCCACCTGTCAGCACCAGATACGGCATGCATAGGCGAACCCACATCCCCCTCCCCACCCACAGCCGGCAGGCTACTACTAAAACTCTTTGCTAGAGGCACATCTGAATACTGTTGCTTCTGGGATTCAGACGACCTGTAGTGGTCCTGAACCGGTGCCCTGTGGTGCAGAGCGGTACCTGCAGACGGGTGGGAGGACGAGGTGGAAAACCCAGAAGCACTGAAAGCACCACCGGATGAGCCTGAGGAAGCAGAAGGCCCGGAGGGACTGTCCAGAATTGAACTCGAGGTGGGCAGTTTGCTTTCCTTCTTCTTTATATCCTTCACCACTCCCTGCAGCAGCCTAGTCCACCGCACTTTCTGCTGCTTGCGCTTCTCCCCCCCCTCGTGCTCCCCCCCTTCCTCCATCCCACTGCCCTCCCCCCCTTCTTCCCCACCCTCACTCTCTCTACTCCCCTCCATCATCCCATCCCCGAACCAGCCCCTGCCTGACTGACCGCTCTCCTCTCCCTCCGCCTCCCGTCTCTCCCTCCGCCCTATCCTCTCAGGCTGGGCGCTCATAGATCGAGAGAAGCTCCGGTTCTCCGCCCTCCTCCTGTTCCGCACGCCCTCTCCACTCTGATCCTCCCCCCTCTCCCCCCCTTCCCCCGGCCTCCTCCCCGTTTCCTGCCCCCCTGCCCCTGAACGCGCGCCTTGTGCCCCTGTAGGCGCATCCTCTTCCCCATGCGCCCCTGCCCTTGCCCCCCCCCCTGCCCCTGCTCCTCCCCCACCCCCTGCTGCTGCTGCTGCGGCTGCTACAGCCGCTGCTGCTAGTCCCCCTGCTGCTGCCCCATCCGCATCCTCTCCCCCAGGCCCTTCTCCCGCGCTAGCAGCAATACCTGGCGCGCCAGCCTCAGCTTTCCCCATTGCGCGCGTCCCAGCCCCCACACCAGCAACCCCACTGCTCGCTCCGCCTGCCACCCCTACCCCTGCGCCTCCTGCGCCCCCCCCCTCCTGCGCCTCCCCCTGCGGCCCCTCCCCCTGGCAAGGCGTCCTGAGCGCGGAGCTTATCCAGATTATCCACCCGCCGCTGCCTCTCCCGTGCCCACTTTGCCCTCATCTCCTCCATCCCCTCCCCTGGTCCCGCTTGCCCGCCCCCCTGCGCCCCCCCCTGTCCCCCTCCCCCTCCGCCTTTCCCCCCTCTACTCGACTCAGCAGCACTCCCCCCAGGCTTCCTATCCCCGTCCTCACTCCTCCGCCGCATCTCCCCCTTCTTCCTCTCTCTTGCCTCCCTTCCGCCCGCCGCTTCCCCTTTTCCCACCCCCACCTCCTCTTTCCTCGCCCTCTTTTCCCTAGGACTATCCTTTGCGCCACCACCGCCCCCTTTGTCCCCCTCCGCACCCTCCCCTTTCCCCCCTCTCTCCCCCTTCCCTCCCCCAGCCCCTCCTCCGCCGCCCTGCCTCCCTTTCTCCCCCTCTCTCCCCCCTTCCCCTCCCCCTTCCCCACCCTCCTCCTCCTCTTCCTCCTCGTCCGTATCCCTCATCCCCTCCTGCCCCTCACCCTCCCACTCCTCCTCCAAATCCTCCTCGTCCTCCTCCTCTCCTCCTGGCCGAACAAACAACCCCCTCGGGTCATCTAAGTCAAAAATATCCACATCGCAACTGAACGAGAACGACGAGAAAGAACTCAGTCGAGGCCCACCCTCCTCTATAAGCTGATCCAGTCTAAGCTGAGTGGAACTCCCAGCAGATCCCCTCTCAGAGTACTGTCTAGAAGGGGGATATCGCAAGTCGCTGCTTCCCCCACTGGCTGAGCTTCTGGCCCCTGCACCCCCTAGCACGCTTCGATCGGGGGGAGTGTTGCTCCTGCTGCTGCTCCCGCCCCCCGCTCTTCCTCCCCCCCCGCTCCCCCCTGCTTCTCCGCTAGGAGACGTGGTGGCTGGGGACGGGATGTTGGCGGTGCTGCTTCCGGGGGTAGTTCCTGAGTTGCCCGGGGTGTTTCCGGGGTGGATAATGCGCACGTCCATGATACGCGTTCCCACAGCAAAGGCCAGGTGACCCGAGCCCACGTTGCTGTGCATCTGCTGGCACTGCAGCAGCAGCTGCTGGTAACGCTCTCTGCAAGGGAGCACGAGAGGGGGGGTGGGGGAGCAAAGGGGTAGTGGGAGGGGGTGCGAGAGGGGAGAAAGGGAAGACAGACAAGTGGTTAGCGGCCAAACCCCACGTTGCTGTGCATCTGTTGGCACTGCAGTAACAGCTGCAGTGGCGCTCCTTGCAAAGAAGCGCAATTACCTCCTCTATCCCCCTCACCTCCTCCCTCCCCAAGCTATTCTGCGATGCAACAGAATACGCCTTCCCTAAGGCTCCCCATCACCATCCCCCTGGCCATTTCCCTAGCCTTTCCTTTAAAGTGGACTCAAAAGTCAGACTTTTGAGTCGCCTCGAAAGTCACTTAGTCAAAACACGCCTTTCCTAAGGCTCCCTGTAACCATCCCCCTGGCCATTCCCCTAGCCTTTCCTTTAGCCGTTCCCTTACCCCTGGAGCCTATATAACGAATCTCCTGGCCTCGCGCATGTAGCTCCTCTCCTCCGCAGTAGACTCGAGGGAGAAACACATCTGTGCTACCACCGACCTTCCCCCTAACCTTCCAAAGAATCATTTTATGACCAAGCGCTTGCGTGGTGCCACTGCTTACCTCCTGGCCTCGCGCACGTAGTTCCTCTCCTCCGCAGTAGACTCGAGGGAGAAGCAGCCGAGCAGGAACTCCCACACCTCGCCCCGTATCGACTTGTCCACTCCCTGCGCGCGCACACGGAGAGGAAGAGGAACAGGGAGTTACAGTACAGATACTGTAAGAGACAGTACTTGAGCTGCCAGCAGCCGAGCAGGAACTCCCACACCTCGCCCCGTATCGACTTGTCCACTCCCTGCGCGCCGAGTCCACAGGGGGAAATAAAGGTGAGAGGGAAACAATTTTAAAGAAGCAGCCGCACCTCGCCGCGTATGGACGTGTCCACTGCCTGCGCGCGCACAGGGGAGCGAGAGCGCGAAGGGGACAAGAAGCGAAGGAGAAGAGAGGAGAGGAGAGGAGAGGAGAGAAGTGACAGGATAGACTCTATCCGATACAGGAGTTTCAAGACACGTGAATGAAGAATTGCAGTAGGTGGGGCATAGAAACAGCATAAGCGGAGTGTGGGGCGTCAAGAGTGCGAGGGCGAGAAGGATATTGTCAATGAATAGCGCATCCGCGTTACAAGGCTGGTGGCTGTCTCACTCGTTAAGTATTGCCTTGAGCACTTGCGGCATGCACACCAGAGGCCCCTGGTGATTCAAACATCACCTCTAGCGAACAAGGCCTTAAGTCGACCTTAAACTCACCCCTTCGAGAATCGCTTTCAGCACTTGAGGCATGCGCACCAGACGCCCCTCCGCGTCGAACGCGCTCTTCCACATGCGCGGCTTCAAACGCTTCGCGCGCCCCATCTGGCGCAGGGGAAAGGGGGGACGGAGTGGGGGGGATGCGCAACACTTGAGAAATAGGTGCGTTATTCCACATGCGCGGCTTCAGCCGCTTCGCGCGGCCCATCTGGCGCAGGGGGAAGTAGGGGAAAAAGGGGGGAAGGGGAGGGGGAAGGCGGGATCGAGGCGAGGGGACGGGGAGATTGGGTGCGGGAGCTGGCAGAAATGCGAGGGCAGTTGAGAAAGCGCCTGGCTCTTTCACATGAAAACGCGAGGCAGTTGCTTCAGGCGCTTTGGTCGCCCCATCTGACAGAGGAAAACGCAAGGGATTGGAAGTCGAACCGCCATCTGCTAAGCGCCATTGAAGGAGTAGAGCTTGTCATATGTCGTTAGGACGGCACACTGACAAAAAAAACGGCTCACTATTTCTGTCTCTACATCGATATTTCTTACTAACATTTTGAGGCTGCAATGGAAAACCTTCGCCGCATCGAGCTCACGTTGGATGGCTAAATAGACGGAATGTGCGCAGCTTAGCCGCATTGAGCTCACAGTGGAACGGCTAGACAGAATTTGCGAAGCCGTGAGAAGAATTTCGTTACGTCGCAAAAGCACGGCACGGGACGACTCGAATGCGGAACTTGCGCGGCCATGAGACCCGAAATATGGAAGTAGCAAGAAAAATCATACAGCAATGTGGTCTAACGTTGACTCGTCTCAAAAAGAGAAAACTGCCTAGTAATATGGTCAAATGTTTAAACGCATCAGTACAGTAAGCGGTTTTTAAAACGTTTAGGCTATGGATGTTCTTATAAGGGCTGTCAACGCGAAGACCGACGAACCTGCGATGCCCAGCCAGTCGGTCGATTCCGAGCGTCAGCAGATATCCAGCTGCCGTCCTTTATTCGCGGAGGGCCGTCCGGCCGACCCGGACCCCCCCGTGACTCGCCGGTGCCGCCTTGCCGGAACGCCATTGGGAACTAACCGGCTGAAAGAACACGTTGATCTAGCCGGCTAAAAGTAACCGGTCGAAGCAGCCGGCTGAAAGTAGCTGGCCGAACGACCATAGACTATGGGGAACGGCGCAAGAGGGTGCTTGCACATGGGAAACTTATTACTTGAGTTACGCTCGTATCGCATTCGGAACCCCAATGGGGGAAGATGTCGACAAAGAAGCCCCAGAAATGCCTACCCTAGAACAGGTAAACCTAGCGCATTTAGCACAGTGCGGAGAAAGGAAAACCAGAAAGAATCTTGGTGATGCGTTTCTGTTGAATAAAATCAAGGCGAGAAAGGAGCAGTGAGGAAAGAGAAGAGAAAGAGGGAAGAGAGAAGAGAAAGAAAAGGACAGCAATGGAGGAAGTTGGATTTTTGGTGAGAAGTAACGGCAATCTCGAGAGTCGAGAAACGTGGATGCGGCGACGAGGGGAGGGGAGGAGGCGAGAGAAAGGGAGCGCGGGACTTGGATTGGGAGGGGGGAAGAAGGGGAAAACGAGGAAGCGAGGGAGGGATGCCTCGAGAATACAGGCGAACCGACGACCAGTCAGCACTCAGCACCAGCAGCAGACCACTTGTCGCCAGAGGGGTGGTGCCTGTCGGGTACGGGGATTGCCAACAGGCGGACGCGGCCTTTCGCGATAGCAGCACTTCGCGAAGACATGGATGTAACTTTTTAGTACCTATGAGCATCAAGAATTATCTCAGGGTAAATCTAGGAACAATTGTGGGTCTTGTGATTGTGGCTCCCTTCTTCACCCAACACGCCAGGATTATATGCTGAACATTTACTCTGACTGTATTTCTTTTGAACAGGTGTGGTGGAAAAAACCCTCAATGGCACCATCACAAAATGTACAATCATCAAAAGTCTTCAACACACGTTCGTGCACACAGTCGCTGCAAAAACGGCAAAATCTCAACCAGCAATGCCTTCAAATCACTCCCTCCAATCCCAACCTTCGCTCCTGGCAACGCCTCTGCTACCCCCGACCCCGAACCCATGATTGCCCTTTTCCCCAACCTTTCCCCTCCTTCACCCATGTCTCCACGGGGCTCCACAATATCACCATCGCACTGCTGCATGTGTTGGTTACAATCCACCACCAGCACCGGCACGCCATCGAGTGCACTGTGTGTCAAGGCTCCGTCCAAAGTGGCACGGAAGGAAGGGGCTGCTGGAAGAGAGTGAGTGCACACACAGAGTGCACACACAGAGAGTGCACACACAGAGACAACACGTGAAGCATTTATGGGGATAATGCAGCAGAACATGTGGAGAGAATCACACGGAAAGACAATGCCAGGGAGATTTGAAATCTAGGGAGACAATGGAGAGAATTACACGGAACATTCTGAGGAGACCCCGGGAATGAATATGGAGCGCGTTTGGAAAAGCTACCGACAGCAGCATGCCAGCCCCCCCCACCTGCCGCATGTTCCGGATCTGTCCGGTGAGAGCCTTCCAGGAACCAGCGGTCGTACAACTCGTGCAGGCGCTGCAGGTACGGCAAGTCAACGGAGGTCTCTTCTGAGCGAGAGCTGCATGGGAAGAGGCGTGGGGTTAGAGGGAAAAAGAAGGACTTTGGAAGCACCGCAAAAGCAGTACAGCTTCTAGAGGCGCTGAAGGTGTGGCAAGTCAACACCGGTCTCTTTGGTGTGGCAAGTCAACACCGGTCTCTTTGGTGTGGCAAGTCAACACCGGTCTCTTTGGTGTGGCAAGTCAACACCGGTCTCTTTGGTGTGGCAAGTCAACACCGGTCTCTTTGGTGTGGCAAGTCAACACCGGTCTCTTTGGTGTGGCAAGTCAACACCGGTCTCTTTGGTGTGGCAAGTCAACACCGGTCTCTTTGGTGTGGCAAGTCAACACCGGTCTCTTTGGTGTGGCAAGTCAACACCGGTCTCTTTGGTGTGGCAAGTCAACACCGGTCTCTTTGGTGTGGCAAGTCAACACCGGTCTCTTTGGTGTGGCAAGTCAACACCGGTCTCTTTGGTGTGGCAAGTCAACACCGGTCTCTTTGGTGTGGCAAGTCAACACCGCAAGTCAACACCGGTCTCTTTGGTGCGGCAAGTCAACACCGGTCTCTTTGGTGTGGCAAGTCAACACCGGTCTCTTTGGTGTGGCAAGTCAACACCGGTCTCTTTGGTGTGGCAAGTCAACACCGGTCTCTTTGGTGCAGCAAGTCAACACCGGTCTCTTTGGTGCGGCAAGTCAACACCGGTCTCTTTGGTGCGGCAAGTCAACACCGGTCTCTTTGGTGTGGCAAGTCAACACCGGTCTCTTTGGTGTGGCAAGTCAACACCGGTCTCTTTGGTGCGGCAAGTCAACACCCGTCTCTTTGGTGCCTGTGGGGGAAGAGGTGATGTGGGCGGGGAGAGGGATGAGAACGGCGTCTGTTGAGTCGACTCAAGACGCTGCTCGTGCAAACGCTGCAGATACGGCAAGCCAACGGAGGTCTTTTCGGAGCGAGAGCTGTGGGGGTGGGGTGATGTGGGATTAGGACGGAAAGATATTCGCAGCGCCTTAGAAGCAATACAAGTCGTCCAGGCGCTGAAGGTGTGGCAAGTCAACGGAGGTCTCTTCAGAGCGAGAGCTGTGGGGGCGAGAAGTGATGTGGGCGGTCAGAGGGATGAGAACGGTTGAAAGGAGGAAAGTGTGACACACGAATGGGAGATGCGTGTGGGTGAGTGGGTGGATGGTCATGGCGAGGGAAAATTTGAGCAACAGAGTGACAGAGGCAGAAACAGACAGACAGGAACAGAGACTGCGAGGAAAGGAGTCTGCTTTTGAGTCAAATCAAAAGCAGACTTTGAGCAACATAGTGACTGCGAGGCAGTCACTGTCAAGAAAAGGAGTCTACCAAGACTGAGACAGAGACAAAGGCAGACAGACAGGCACAAAGACTGTGAGGGAAGGAGGGAGGGAGTGTGAGGGAAGGAGGGAGGGAGTGTGAGGGAAGGAGGGAGGGAGTGTGAGGGAAGGAGGGAGGGAGAGACTTAGGAGGGAGGAATTGCAGAGGTGGGGGTAGAGAGGTGAGGGGGTAGAGAGGTGAGGGGGTAGAGATGTGAGGGGGTAGAGAGGTGAGGGGGTAGAGAGCACACCGTTGCTTCAGGCGCTGCAGGCAGACAGAGGGATCGGCTCTCTGGTAGATGAAGGCATCGGGTACCTGATGGGATGAGAGAGCAGTGGGGAGTGGGGAGTGGGGAGTGGGGAGTGGGGAGTGGGGAGCACACACCGTTGCTTCAGGCGCTGCAGACACACAGGGGGGTCCGCTCTCTGGTAGATGAAGGCATCGGGTACCTGATGGGGGGGAGACGGCAACACAAATAGTGGCAGAGCACACCGTTGCTTGAGGTGCTGCAGGCACACAGAGGGGTCAGCTCTGAGGTAGATGAACGCATCGGGCATCTGATGGGAGGGGAGAGTGGTGTACGGTGGGAGCATAGGGAAGATCACACCGTTGCTTTAGATGCTGCAGACACACAGAGGGGTGTGCTCGGAGGTAGATGAGTGTACTGGGTACCTGTTGGGAGAGGGGTGGTAGGAGGGAAATTGTGAGGGGTACTACCACAGCAGGGAGCATGGACAGCACGGATCGACCCACAAGTCATATAGTGCTTGATCTAGTGGCACGAACAGCCTTTCCACCACTGCTGCCGGTGCAAATAGGCAGTCACAGAAGAATATATAACTTACTCAGGACAGGTATCCACGAGCCAGGTACTCACCACCCCAGGAAGCATGGGCAGCATAGAATCGACCCACACGAGCCAGTCATAAAGAGCATCTTCTAGTGAGGGGAGGGACTGCGGTGGGACTCACGCAATTCAAGCTACTCACGCCAGGTTATTACCACCCTAGGCAGCATGGGCAGCACGGCATCGACCCAGGAACAGTGGAGTGGTAATGGTAATGGTAATGGTAGTGGTAGTAGTAATAGTAATAATAGTGGTAATGGTAATGGTAGTGGTAGTGGTAATGGTAATGGTGGTAGTAATGGTAATGGTAATAGTAGTGGTAGTGGTAATGGTAGTGGTAATAGTAATGATAGTGGTAATGGTGTTAGTAATGGTACTAGTAATGGTAATAGTTATAGTAATGATAATAGTAATGATAGTGGTAGTGGTAGTAGTAATGGTAATGTGTAATAACGGTAATGGTAATGGTAGTGGTAGTGGTAGTGGTAGTTGTGATGATAATGATAATGGTAATGGTAATGGTAATGGTATTGATAATGATAATGGTACTGGTAGTGGTAATGGTAACGGTAATGGTAGCGGTAGCGGTAGTGGCAATGGTAATGGTAATGGTAGTGGTAATGGTATCGGTAATTGGAATGGTAATGGTAATCGTAATGATAACGGTAATCGTAATGGTAATGGTAGTGGTAGTGGTCATGATAATGGTACTGGTAATGGTAACTCACCACGCCTGGGAGCATGGGCAGCACGGCATCGACCCAGGAATCGTAGAGCGCCTCCTCAAGCGGTGTAAACAGCCCCCCCGCCACTGCTGCTGGTGCAAACACGAGGCGATCACAGAAGAGGGAGCGCTCGCAGAGGCGCAGAGCAGAGGGGTGTTGTTGCAAGCCGTGGCGGTACTGGGAGGCCCGGGAGATGAAGACCAGGCTCTGAAAGGTGTAGGCAAACCTGGGTGGAGAAAGGGATTTGGGAGGCAAAAAGAGTGGGAAAAGAGAAGGGGAGAGATAGGATTTTGGGTGGCAAGGGAAGAGGCGGGGTGGAGAGAGAGGGGGAGACACGAGGCGGTCACAGAAGAGGGAGATAAAGAGGGCGCTCGCAGAGGCGCAGAGCAGAGGGGTTTTGCTGCAAGCCGTGGCGGTACTGAGAGGCCCGGGAGATAAAGACCAGACTCTGAAAGGTGTAGGCAAACCTGGGTGGAGAAAGGGATTTGGGAGGCAAAAAGAGTGGGAAAAGAGAAGGGGAGAGATAGGATTTTGGGTGGCAAGGGAAGAGGCGGGGTGGAGAGAGAGGGGGAGACACGAGGCGGTCACAGAAGAGGGAGATAAAGAGGGCGCTCGCAGAGGCGCAGAGCAGAGGGGTTTTGCTGCAAGCCGTGGCGGTACTGAGAGGCCCGGGAGATAAAGACCAGACTCTGAAAGGTGTAGGCGAATCTGAGAGGAGGGGGAAACGAAAGGGTGGGAGGGAGTAAGAAAAGGGATTGCTCGCAGAGGCGGAGGGCAGATGGGTGGTGACGGTGGGCTTGGCTTGGCCTGGCGGTTTTGAGAAGCCCGGGAGACGAACACCAGGCTCTTGATGGAAGGTGTAGGCGAACCTGAGAGGGGAAGAGCGGGACAGAGGACAAGAGAGTGGGAGAGAGAGCAGAGGGGTGGTGGCGGTGTGCTTGGCGGTATTGAGAGGCCCGGGAGACGAACACCAGGCTTTGGAAGATGTAGGCGAACCTAACGAAAGGTTTGATAGGGGGGGGGAAGGGAAGGGGAAGGGAGAGAGGGAGTGGGAAGGGGGTCAGAAAGAAGGGAGAGAATCGGAAAGGGTGGTGGCGGTGGCGGTGGCGGTGGGATTAGAGGTATTGTGTCGCACGGGAGATAAACACCAGGTTCTGAAAGGTGTAGGCTAACCTGGGGAGGGAAGGGGAGGAGGGGGGAAAGGCCAGAGGAAGGGGAGGGAGAAGGCAGAGGGGTGGTGAGGTGATGGTGGTATGGGACGGTACTGGGAGATGCAGGACGTGAAGAAAAGCCTCTGAAAGCTCTAAGCAACCCTGAAACATGCAGTACTCTTCCCCTCCTCCCTTTCTCCCCGCCCCCACCTCTTGGGGTCTTTGTAGAACGCCCCCAGCGCGTTTGCCCCACACGTTGCGCCACTCACCCGCACGTTGCGCCACTCACCCGCACGTTGCGCCACTCACCCGCACGTTGCCCCACTCACCCGCACGTTGCCCCACTCACCCGCACGTTGCCCCACTTACCCGCACGTTGCCCCACTCACAGCCTCCTTTTTATCCCCATCCCCCCTTTCTTCCCCCACCTCTTGTGGCTCTCCCCCAGTCCCCCCCCCTTCCCCCACCTCTTGGGGTCTTTATAAAACGCGTCCAGTGCATTTTCCCCGCTGCCCCGCACGTTGCGCCACTCCCGCAGCGGCTCGGGCTGAAGCGCCACGTCAGCACCGCCAGTGACAGCTCTCCGCAATGCCACGTCACTGCAGGGAGAGAGAGGGGGGGGGGGAGGAGGAGGAAGCGGAGGGGAGGAGACGGGGGAGAAGGGGGGAGGGAGAGGGAGGCGGGGGAGAGTTGGGAGGGGAGAAATTGGGGTGCGGTAGGGGGTTGGGGTTGAAAGGGGAGCAAAACGGGAGAGACCTGGGAAAAGGAGTTGGGATCCTGATTTGTGAGAGGGGAGGAGAGTGAGGGAGAGAGGGTGTGGGTAAGCAATAAGAGGGCAATAAGCCCAAAGCACAGAGAAATAAGAGGGTGAGGGCGACCTTACCCACCTGTTTAATCGTGCGCCCAGAGCACTCAGAACCGTTGATTTCCCCACTCCGATGTTTCCCTCCACAGCCACCGTCCATCCGCGCGTCTTCTCCGCCGATTCTGCACTCTCCGCCGCCCCGCGCCGACCTTGAGACGCGGGCTCTCTAGACGCCTCGCTACAAGACTGTTCGCTATAAGACGCCCCGCGCGCAGCCGCGCTCGCCACGGCAGCGCCATATGTATCGCATTCAGAGGCAATTGTGCTGGCGCTCGATCGCTCGCATACGCGAGTGGCTTCGAAAGCCACCTGGCATGCTGTAGAAGCGCCACGTGTCCTGAAATCTGCTCTGAGTGCACTGACCAATCGGTGTGGCGCCTCGAGTGTGGATGGGAGCGCGGCACTTGCGGGCGATCCGAAGACGCGTAGAAGGGAAGCGAGCGGGCGGTGCGGGCGCATGGGGAGAGACGCGGCGCGGAGGAAAGGAGATTAGCTGGCTAAAGTAGAGGCGTGGTGGACACGATACTTCCTGTGGGCGATCATGAAAAGGGCGCGAAATACGAATGGCGCGAAATACCAACACCTTGAGGGTTGGGCCCATACGCGCTAATGTTTCTCGAGCTTGTGGAATCAGCACATGTAGCAACTGAATCTTGGAACGATACACCGAATAATGTCAACAATTTTTCAGTAACCACCTTTCTCAGTGTCAGAACTTGGTCATTGTCTAGAAACTAAACAAATGACTAGGACGACAACTTCAATGCCTTTCTGCCATTCAACAGGATTGGAACGTATCACCACAGCACCGCCATTTCTAGCCCTCTGTGCAAATCAAACTGAACCGGCCATACAATACTCTGTAAAAATGTGCTCCAATATCAGCCTGGCTAATTTCGTCACAGGGGGGAACAGAAATATCTTGGTAAGTAGCATTTCTGTGTCCGAAAAGAGTTCTGGTTATGCTACTGCTGTTTTTGCTGCTGCTTATGCCCAAGCTAAGTTGGTTCTTGAGAATTCTCAGAAACCAGAGCTTGCCATCCATCCCATCTTTCCCAAACTTCTCCTTTCCGCTTGCTCCCTCCCTCACTCCCTCTCGCTCCCTGACAGTGCATCTGGGCGGCTGAGTCTCAGCCTGAGCGTTTCAAAATGCAGAGAAAGCTGTGTGGCAGCGACCCCTCCTCTCCCTGTGCCCAGTGCCTGCCTCCTCAGCTCTGCCTCCTCAGCTCTGGCTCACTCCTTCCTCCCCCCTCACCCTCCCTCACTCCCTCTCGCTCTCTGACATCGCATCTGGGCGGCTGAGTCTCAGCCTGAGCGGTTCAGTGTGCAGAGACAGCTGTGTGGCAGCGTCCGCTCCCCCACTTATGCCCAGCGCCTGCCTCCTCAACTCTGCCTGCGCCTCACTTCTCTCCCTCTTCCTCCTCTGCCTCCTCCTCTCCACCTGCCCGACAAACACATGGGACATGGCACATTACACTGGTGAGAATGGAATATGGCGGCAACGGAGAAAACACAATGAAGAGAAACCATAGTTAGAGGAGAGAGCAGAAAGAGCGGAGGGAGCAGAGGGAGTGGGCAATGTGAAAACTCGCCCGTGTCACCTCGCCCATATCAACTCGCCCATATCAACTCGCCCATATCAGCTCGCCCATATCAACTCGCCCATATCAGCTCGCCCATATCAACTCGCCCATATCACCTCGCTCATATCACCTCGCACAAATCAACTCGCCCATATCAACTCGCCCATATCAGCTCGCCCATATCAGCTCGCCCATATCAACTCGCCCATATCAACTCGCCCATATCAACTCGCCCATATCAACTCGCCCATATCAACTCGCCCATATCAACTCGCCCATATCAACTCGCCCATATCAGCTCGCCCATATCAGCTCGCCCATATCAACTCGCCCATATCAACTCGCACAAATCAGCTCGCCCATATCAACTCGCCCATATCAACTCGCCCATATCAACTCGCCCATATCAACTCGCCCATATCAACTCGCCCATATCAGCTCGCCCTTATCAACTCGCCCATATCAGCTCGCCCATATCACCTCGCACAAATCAACTCGCCCATATCAACTCGCCCATATCAGCTCGCCCATATCAGCTCGCCCATATCAGCTCGCCCATATCAACTCGCCCATATCAGCTCGCCCATATCAACTCGCCCATATCACCTCGCTCATATCACCTCGCACAAATCAACTCGCCCATATCAACTCGCCCATATCAGCTCGCCCATATCAGCTCGCCCATATCAACTCGCCCATATCAACTCGCCCATATCAACTCGCCCATATCAACTCGCCCATATCAGCTCGCCCATATCAGCTCGCCCATATCAACTCGCCCATATCAACTCGCCCATATCAGCTCGCCCATATCAACTCGCCCATATCAACTCGCCCATATCAACTCGCCCATATCAACTCGCCCATATCAACTCGCCCATATCAACTCGCCCATATCAACTCGCCCATATCAACTCGCCCATATCAGCTCGCCCATATCAACTCGCCCATATCAACTCGCCCATATCAACTCGCCCATATCAACTCGCCCATATCAACTCGCCCATATCAGCTCGCCCATATCAACTCGCCCATATCAACTCGCCCATATCAACTCGCCCATATCAACTCGCCCATATCAACTCGCCCATATCAGCTCGCCCATATCAACTCGCCCATATCAGCTCGCCCATATCAACTCGCCCATATCAACTCGCCCATATCAACTCGCCCATATCAACTCGCCCATATCAGCTCGCCCATATCAACTCGCCCATATCAACTCGCCCATATCAACTCGCCCATATCAACTCGCCCATATCAACTCGCCCATATCAGCTCGCCCATATCAACTCGCCCATATCAACTCGCCCATATCAACTCGCCCATATCAACTCGCCCATATCAACTCGCCCATATCAACTCGCCCATATCAACTCGCCCATATCAGCTCGCCCATATCAGCTCGCCCATATCAACTCGCCCATATCAACTCGCACAAATCAGCTCGCCCATATCAACTCGCCCATATCAACTCGCCCATATCAACTCGCTCATATCAGCTCGCCCATATCAACTCGCCCATATCAGCTCGCCCATATCACCTCGCACAAATCAACTCGCCCATATCAGCTCGCCCATATCAGCTCGCCCATATCAGCTCGCCCATATCAGCTCGCCCATATCAGCTCGCCCATATCAACTCGCACAAATCAACTCGCCCATATCAACTCGCCCATATCAACTCGCCCATATCAGCTCGCCCATATCAACTCGCCCATATCAACTCGCCCATATCAACTCGCACAAATCAGCTCGCCCATATCAACTCGCCCATATCAACTCGCCCATATCAACTCGCCCATATCAGCTCGCCCATATCAACTCGCCCATATCAGCTCGCCCATATCACCTCGCACAAATCAACTCGCCCATATCAACTCGCCCATATCAGCTCGCCCATATCAGCTCGCCCATATCAGCTCGCCCATATCAACTCGCCCATATCAGCTCGCCCATATCAACTCGCCCATATCACCTCGCTCATATCACCTCGCACAAATCAACTCGCCCATATCAACTCGCCCATATCAGCTCGCCCATATCAGCTCGCCCATATCAACTCGCCCATATCAACTCGCCCATATCAACTCGCCCATATCAACTCGCCCATATCAACTCGCCCATATCAACTCGCCCATATGAACTCGCCCATATGAACTCGCCCATATCAACTCGCCCATATCAACTCGCCCATATCAACTCGCCCATATCAACTCGCCCATATCAACTCGCCCATATCAACTCGCCCATATCAGCTCGCCCATATCAGCTCGCCCATATCACCTCGCACAAATCAACTCGCCCATATCAACTCGCCCATATCAACTAGCCTGTGCTACCTCCCAGCCCCTCTGCAAGCAGCCGCCAACCCTCACCTGCTTCTCCTTCTCCTCCCACCGGTCGTACTGCTCCTGAGCCATCGCCACACCCTCAAACTCCCTCACTCCCCCGCCTCCTCCTCCCGTGCCCCCCTCCAGCCCCACATGACCATCAGACCCTGAGCTGTAATCTGATTCTTCCTCCTCCTCCTCAGTTCGCCACGTCACCGCCTCCTCCCGCCACGCCACCCCTCGCACCAAGCTGCTGCCGTTGCTGCTGCCTGGCGAATCACTCCCTCCTACCATGCCTCCAGTTGTGATCATGCTGCTGCTGCTGCTGCTGCTGCTGACCATGACGCTGCTGCAGCTGCTCGTGCTGTAGCTGGTAGTCATACCAGCACCTGCCGGCCCATGCTCCAACCCTGAGCCCTCATTCCCTGTTGCTGCTGCCTGCTGCTGTGCCGGCTGCAACTGCTGCTGCTGCTGCGAGTGTTGCTGCTGCAACTGCAGCTGCTGCTGCTGCTGCTGCTCTTCCTGCTCCTGGTAAAGCCCGCCCCTGGACTGCCCCCTCCTCCTCCCCTCTCCGTCCCCGTCTGACTCCTCTCCATCCGAACCCTCCTCATCCTCCTCCTCCTCTCCTCCAACCCCGTCATTCCTCACACCATCAAAAGTACCTCCCTCTCCTCTTCTCACGAGCCCACCCTCAGTCTCCTTCCCACTCCCCCTCTCACTCCCACTTTCCCCCACACCGTCCCTCTCACCGTCCCTCTCCCCCATATCAGAGTCTGTATACAACACACCCTCAGAATACCCCCCCTCCTCCCCGTCTCCACCTGTCAACCACCCTCCACCCATCAGCACCTCCCCCTCCTCCCCCTCACTCTCACTATCCAGTAACACCCCCCTCCCCCCCCGCTTTCCCCCTCCCCAGCTTCATCTGCTCACACGTCTCGCACTTACTCTCCCCCTCGCCCGTCCCTTCCCCCTCCCCTCTCCCCACTTCCCCCAACCCCCTCGACCTCACTTCCTGGCTGATCCTCTCCTTCCTCCTCCCCTCCCTCCTCTTCTCACTCTCCCACTCCTCCACCAATGCTCGCTCCCTATCCTTCTCTCTCTTCCTCTCTGTCTCCTTCTCTATATCCTCCTCTTCCTTCCCTGCACCAAGCTTTCCCTTTACACCGCCCCCACTGGCCCCTTCCGTCTCTTTCAGCTCTTCGAATCGCACTGCCACCACCTTCCTTGCATTACCGGACAAAATCTGTCACCCAGGCGAGAGGCAGAGGAAAAGGACAAAGGTATATTTTGAGCTAGATATCAATGTATGCAGGTGGAAAAGGGTAACTTATAAGGTAACTCACAACAAGTAAACGTGGAAAGAGGGGCTCAATCAAGAATTTGTCAACAAAAGGCGGCTAGTTCACCACAAATATGCGCCACCCCACTGCACCACCCCACTGCGCCACCCCACTGCGCCACCCCACTGCGCCACCCAAGCCCATGCCTGCCACATCACCCCGGTTACCTCGAGCTGGAATCGCAGCAGCTGCTTACGCGTCCCCTTATCCCCACCGTCCCTCTCCCGCCCCTTCCCTCCCTTCCCGCCCGCTCCCCCCTCCTCCGCCCCGTCGCCCTCCTCCTCCTCCTCGCTCTCCTTCCGCTGCAGCCTGATTATCTTGGTGTCCCCCGTGCGGGGAATGTATCCAAACGCCTCGCACACGAAACCAGACACCGTCTCGTAAAAGGAAGCTCTCTGCAAAAAATACATGTGCCGAGAAAGCAGGAAAAATGCAGCCTGATGATCTTGGTGTCACCCGTCTCGTAGAAGGAGGCTCTCTGATGGGGAGAGAGAAACAGAGGAGGTTGTGGGCGTGGGGAGAGTGGACATAAGGAGGAGACACACATCTGTCTGTGTCTCCCGTGCGGGTATCTACCCAAACGCCCCGCACACAAACCCCGACACCGTCTCGTAGAAGGAACACCACAAGAGTGACTCACCACAAGAACGACTCACAGGCACAAGAGTGACTCACGGTTGGCAGCAGCACGACTCACTGGCGAGCAGAACAGGTATGACTCACGGGCGGCAGCACGACTTGCAGGATGTCAGCAAGGTCATCCACGGTGGTGTTGGCATCCACATCATACACGCCCAGGCGCACGGAAGGACACACATAAGCACGGGAAGAGGGGCTGCAGCACAAGAGTGACTCACTGGCAGGCAACACAAGCAGCACTCACAGGGGGCAGCACGACTTGGAGAATGTCAGCCAGGTCATCGACGGTGGTGTTGGCATCCACATCATACACGCCCTCCGCCCTCCGGCCTCTTCTGAACCACGTGCGGGGAATGTGACTCACGGAGTGACTCACAGGCAGCAGCACGACTCACAGGCGACAGCACAAGCACGACTCACGGGGGGTAGCAGCACTCACGGGAGGCAGCACGACTTGGAGAATGTCAGCAAGGTCATCAATGGTGGTGTTGGCATCCACATCATACACGCCCTCCGCCCTCTGGATGATGTATCCCGTCTTGCGCCGAATCTCCTCCTGTTGGCACACACGCATAGGGAGGGAGAGAGGCACACAAATGGTGCGTTTCTAGAGTCTGGGTTCCCACCGTACACGCCCTCCGCCCTCTGGATGATGTATCCCGTCTTGCGCCGAATCTCCTCCTGTCCGCACACGCACATGCACACAGAAGGCCCATCCACACACAGGCAGAGGCGGAGGCAGGGGCACACACATGAGGGGTTGGTGGCATCCACATCATTCAGGCCATCCGCCCTCTGAATGGTGTATCCCGTCTTGCGCCGAATCTCCTCCTGTTGGCACACACGCATAGGGAGGGAGAGAGGCACACAAATGGTGCGTTTCTAGAGTCTGGGTTCACATCATACACGCCCTCCGCCCTCTGGATGATGTATCCCGTCTTGCGCCGAATCTCCTCCTGTTGGCACACACGCATAGGGAGGGAGAGAGGCACACAAATGGTGCGTTTCTAGAGTCTGGGTTCCCACCGTACACGCCCTCCGCCCTCTGGATGATGTATCCCGTCTTGCGCCGAATCTCCTCCTGTCCGCACACGCACATGCACACAGAAGGCCCATCCACACACAGGCAGAGGCGGAGGCAGGGGCACACACATGAGGGGTTGGTGGCATCCACATCATTCAGGCCATCCGCCCTCTGAATGATGTATCCCGTCTTGCGCCGAATCTCCTCCTGTTGGCACACACGCATAGGGAGGGAGAGAGGCACACAAATGGTGCGTTTCTAGAGTCTGGGTTCACATCATACACGCCCTCCGCCCTCTGGATGATGTATCCCGTCTTGCGCCGAATCTCCTCCTGTTGGCACACACGCATAGGGAGGGAGAGAGGCACACAAATGGTGCGTTTCTAGAGTCTGGGTTCCCACCGTACACGCCCTCCGCCCTCTGGATGATGTATCCCGTCTTGCGCCGAATCTCCTCCTGTCCGCACACGCACATGCACACAGAAGGCCCATCCACACACAGGCAGAGGCGGAGGCAGGGGCACACACATGAGGGGTTGGTGGCATCCACATCATTCAGGCCATCCGCCCTCTGAATGATGTATCCCGTCTTGCGCCGAATCTCCTCCTGTCCGCACACGCACATGCACACAGAAGGCCCATCCACACACAGGCAGAGGCGGAGGCAGGGGCACACACATGAGGGGTTGGTGGCATCCACATCATTCAGGCCATCCGCCCTCTGAATGGTGTATCCCGTCTTGCGCCGAATCTCCTCCTGTTGGCACACACGCATAGGGAGGGAGAGAGGCACACAAATGGTGCGTTTCTAGAGTCTGGGTTCACATCATACACGCCCTCCGCCCTCTGGATGATGTATCCCGTCTTGCGCCGAATCTCCTCCTGTCCGCACACGCACATGCACACAGAAGGCCCATCCACACACAGGCAGAGGCGGAGGCAGGGGCACACACATGAGGGGTTGGTGGCATCCACATCATTCAGGCCATCCGCCCTCTGAATGATGTATCCCGTCTTGCGCCGAATCTCCTCCTGTTGGCACACACGCATAGGGAGGGAGAGAGGCACACAAATGGTGCGTTTCTAGAGTCTGGGTTCACATCATACACGCCCTCCGCCCTCTGGATGATGTATCCCGTCTTGCGCCGAATCTCCTCCTGTTGGCACACACGCATAGGGAGGGAGAGAGGCACACAAATGGTGCGTTTCTAGAGTCTGGGTTCACATCATACACGCCCTCCGCCCTCTGGATGATGTATCCCGTCTTGCGCCGAATCTCCTCCTGTTGGCACACACGCATAGGGAGGGAGAGAGGCACACAAATGGTGCGTTTCTAGAGTCTGGGTTCCCACCGTACACGCCCTCCGCCCTCTGGATGATGTATCCCGTCTTGCGCCGAATCTCCTCCTGTCCGCACACGCACATGCACACAGAAGGCCCATCCACACACAGGCAGAGGCGGAGGCAGGGGCACACACATGAGGGGTTGGTGGCATCCACATCATTCAGGCCATCCGCCCTCTGAATGGTGTATCCCGTCTTGCGCCGAATCTCCTCCTGTTGGCACACACGCATAGGGAGGGAGAGAGGCACACAAATGGTGCGTTTCTAGAGTCTGGGTTCCCACCGTACACGCCCTCCGCCCTCTGGATGATGTATCCCGTCTTGCGCCGAATCTCCTCCTGTCCGCACACGCACATGCACACAGAAGGCCCATCCACACACAGGCAGAGGCGGAGGCAGGGGCACACACATGAGGGGTTGGTGGCATCCACATCATTCAGGCCATCCGCCCTCTGAATGGTGTATCCCGTCTTGCGCCGAATGTCCTCCTGTTGGCACACACGCATAGGGAGGGAGAGAGGCACACAAATGGTGCGTTTCTAGAGTCTGGGTTCACATCATACACGCCTTCCGCCCTCTGGATGATGTATCCCGTCTTGCGCCGAATCTCCTCCTGTTGGCAGGTAAGCAAAAAGGCACAAGCACAAGCACAGCACACGCCCACGCACACGCACACGCACAGGCAGGCGCAGAGGCAGAAGCAGAGGCAGACGCAGAGGCAGACGCAGACGCAGAGGCAGACGCAGAGGCAGAGGCAGAGGCAGACGCAGAGGCAGAGGCAGACGCAGAGGCAGACGCAGACGCAGACGCAGACGCAGACGCAGAGGCAGAGGCAGAGGCAGAGGCAGAGGCAGATGCAGAGGCAGAGGTAGACGCAGACGCAGACGCAGACGCAGACGCAGAGGCAGACGCAGAGGCAGAGGCAGAGGCAGAGGCAGAGGCAGATGCAGATGCAGATGCAGAGGTAGAGGTAGACGCAGACGCAGACGCAGAGGCAGAGGCAGAGGCAGAGGCAGAGGCAGAGGCAGAGGCAGAGGCAGAGGCAGATGCAGATGCAGAATAGGAGTTACAGTGAGCTTGCACGGCAACAGACAAGGCACGGGAAGAGAGAGGGCACTACCCCAAACTCTTCACCACACCATCCCCACAGCATCTTTAGAGTTACACGCTTCGTCTGGTGATCTCAGCCTCAGGTCGCCTTCATTCCCACACAACCCCCACTCTCCTATCCCCCCAAAGGTACCTTGGAGTCATTCTCGTCGAATATCTCCCCCACGATCTCCTCTACAGCATCCTCCAGTGTCACCAGCTGGAGGGAGGAAGGACGGGTCATGCAACATAAGAGGGCATGGAAACCAGTTACAGCACCACAGAAACACAAGAGCGCGCATGTGGGGGTTGTTTTTGAGGCGCCTAAAAAATCGTACCAGTTAGAGCATCACAGAAACACAAGAGCGTGCATGTGGGGGTTGACGTGCACTACACACAAGTAAGTGGGGAAAGAGAGATGCGTGACGGAGTGAGCAAGAGGGGGAGAGAAAAGAACGGGCAGAGCTGCCCCTGGTGCTGCCGTACTCGTTGAGAACAATGGCCATGTGCACTTCGCGAATGCGGGCTGTGAAAGATAGAGGACAGCTACTCACCCCCACGGTGCCACCGTATTCGTTCAGCACGATGGCCATGTGCACTTTGCGGATGCGGAACTCTCTCAGAAGGTTCCACACCGACATGGAGTCTGCAGCACATGTCAACGTGCAAACAGGTAGTGGAAAGGAGATGGGACAAGGGTCGGGGTGGGGGATGGATTGGGGTCAGGGGGGGAGAGGTTCGGGGTTGGGAATGGGGGTAAGGGAAGAGGAGGCAAAAAGAGGGGAGAGAAAGCGTCGGGGTGGGGGATGGGGGAGGGGGAGCGGAAGGGGGAAGGCATGGGTGTGGATTTTTTGTGTGGCTGTCTGCGTGCTCCAGAGGCTGCATGCGATAAGTCGAGTTTTGAGTACACACACAGTTTTGAGTCAGCCTCTGGAGTACTCAAAACTCGACTTATCACACACAGCGTGGCTGCCTGCGTGCTCCAGAGGCTGCATACTGGAACGAGGAGATGCGGCTGGCAGCGCAAGGAGAGCAGAGCAAGATTGGTGATGAAATGGGAACGAGGTGACTTTTGAGTCGACTCAAATGTCGCCGATAAGGGTGCAGGGCAGGGCAGGGCAGAAAAGAAGTGGCAGAGACAAGTCGGAGTCGGGGTGTGCTTTCTCACCAGGGACGAAGTATGCCGGCCGGTGTGCAATCCTGCCCACACTCAGGCAGTGCAGCAGCTCCGGCTGGCCGTGACAGCGAGAGGGAGGGAGGGGTGGGAAAGGGGCGTTGGGAAGGAAGCGGTAGAAGAAGGGGTTGAGATGGGGCAGTGAGAAGAGGCAGTGAGAGGTGGGGAGTGAGAGGGAGTGAGAGAGAGCAGTGAGAGGGAGTCAGATTGGTTGGGCAGGTTTGGGGAAGACAGGGAAAGGGAGGGGGAGGGGAGGATGGGAGGGGTGGAGTGGAGGGGGGGCGATGGGGTAAAGCATGACTCAGCTGTGGACAGCAGTGGCAGAGAGGCAGGTTGATGATATGTAGACAGGTGGAAATATGAGCCAAGGCAGCGCAACCAACACACACACAGAGCTGCCGCCCCCAGATACCACCCGCGCTTCATGAATACGCCCTTTCTGCACCACACAGCCAGACCCCTAGCCACTTGCCCCACACAGATCCCACCTACCCCACACAGATACTTCCTGCCCCAGACAGACCCCCACCCATCTGCTCCACATAATCGAGCATGTCCATGGCATACGCGACCCCACAATGTTGCCCACCCAGATACCACCTGCCCTGCGCTGCCACAGATACCACCTTCCCCACACAGATCCCACCTGCTCCACGTAGTCGAGCATGTCCATGGCATGCGCAATCCCCACGATGTTGTCCACCCTCCTCTCGTAGACAGGAACATGCGAGTACTGGTGGCGCACCCACAGCGCACACACAGACAGATCCCACCTGCCCAGATCCTACCTGCCCCACACAAGTCTCACCTGCTCCACGTAGTCGAGCATGTCCATGGCATACGCAATGCCAACAATGTTATCAACCCTCCTCTCGTAGACAGGTACACGCGAGTACTGGTGGCGCACCCACAGCGCCCGCAGCTCCATGAGCGACGCAGACGAGCCCACCGCCACCACGTCGACCAGAGGGGTCATCACCTCACGCACGTAGGTATCCTTGATCTCGAGAACATTTTCAATCATATCCTGTGATGTGGGGGAGAGGAGGAGCGGAAAGGGCACGAGCAGCTCCATGAGGGACGCGGAGGAGCTCACCGCCATCACGTCGACTAGAGGGGCCATCACCTCACGCACATAGGTATCCTTGATCTCCAACACATTTTCGATCATGTCCTGTGAGGGACAGGGGGTGTGGGAGGTGGGGAATGGGAGGTGGGCGGTGGGAAATGGGGGTTGGGAGGTGGGGGAGTGAGTACTACTACTGGTGGCGCACCCACAGCGCACGCAGCTCCATGAGGGACGCGGACGAGCTCACAGCCACCACGTCAACCAGACCAAGGGGGTCATGACTTCACGGACATAGGTGCCTGCCTTTGATTTCCAGCAAGTTCTCTATTTTGTCCTGGTAGGGAGAGGGAGGTGGGGAACTGGAGGTGGGGGAATGGGAGGTGGGGGAACGGGAGGTGCGGAACTGGAGGTGGGGGAATGGGAGGTGGGGGAATGGGAGGTGGGGGAATGGGAGGTGGGGGAATGGGAGGTGGGGGAATGGGAGGTGGGAGAATGGGAGGTGCAGAACTGGAGGTGGGGGAATGGGAAATAGGGGTTGGCTTGCTGTGTATCGTACCATACCCTCTTTGTCCACACCGCCCAGCCTTGCACTCCTCACTTGCCATTTCAAATCCCCCCTGCCCCGCTCGCCTTCTCCTTCTCGATGGCGCCACCTCATCTCCGCCCCCCTCAGCATGAGCTTATGGCGCTTCTCCCTATTCCGCATATTCTGCCACCCACCATATTCTGCCATGCTTACTGCAACACACCCCCTTTCCCCCCTCACCTGCTCCTCCTCCTCAATAGCGCCACTCATCTCCGCCCCCCTCAGCATGAGCGTATGGCACTACTCCCTGATCCGCCTAATCCCCCACACTTGTTCCCCAACCCTTGTCCCTTGCCCTTGTTCCGCCACTCTTATTCCACAGCCCTCCCCTCTACTCCCCCTCACCTGCTCCTCCTCCTCAATAGCGCCACTCATCTCCGCCCCCCTCAGCATGAGCTTCAGCTCCTCTTCTGTCACGAACGGTTCTCTGATGATAAAGCACACACATGGTGATGCATCATACAAGACGAGACACGTGGCAGTACAACACGCACAGGAAAGCACAGATGGGTGAGACCGTGAGACGTCTCAGAGTCACACCCTCAGCACCAGCTTCAGCTCCTTCTGCTTCACGAACGGCTCCCTCCCTGGCAGGCAGAAATGAACGGACAATTCAAGGCACACAGGGGAGCAGCGACACACGCAGACGCGCTTTGGCTTTCCTGAGTCGGTGCTGAAAGCATTGCCATAACGTGGACTGACTGACCCGCTGGTCTTGAGGCCGAGGAGGCGGAAGAGGCCCGTGGAAGCATAGGTGCAGAGGCGACCCACGGGGTAGAGCACGACTGACAGCCACGCCACTGGACGCAGCTGGTGCGAGGGTGGGCGGGAGGAAGAGGGAGAAAAGGTTGACAGGATGGACTGAGAATGAGCGAGTGAAGAGAAGAGACAAGAGGGGAGGGAGGGAGAGAGGGAGAATAGGGCGGGAGTGGGGGAGGCGTGAGGGAGAGGGGGGGGAGGGGGCGGGAGGGGGCGAGAGGGGGCAGGAGGGAAAGCGGGGGAACGGGGTAGGAACTGGTAGAGAAATGCATAGCACGACAGTTGGAGGGCATACCACCAAGTATAAAGTGCATACCACGACACGGACGACTTGTGTGGCGTTGTGCACGGCGATGGACTTGGGGGCAATCTCTGTAAAGACGAGCAGCAGGATCTGATGGGCGCGGGGGCAGGCAGGGGGTGCAGCAATGGCATAGGGGCCAAGGGGGGACAGTAAGGGCGACAATTGAGATGCCTCAAACGTTGTGCACGGCGATGGACTTGGGGGCAATCTCTGTGAAGACAAGCAGCAGGATCTGATGCGGGGGCACGGGCAGAAGCAGGGGCACGGGGGTGCAGGGAGGACAGAAAGGGTGCACGGGGAGGTAGGGAGGGCAAAAAGGGTGTAGGGGGAAAGGCGATGGACTTGGGGGCAATTTCTGTGAAGACCAGCAGCAGGATCTGATGACGCAGTAAGGGTGCGGGGGCAAGGGCAAAGCGGGGAGGGGTCGGGGGAGGTGAGAATGCGAAGAGACATAAATCAGAGAGTGCGGATGTGAACGGGTCAAGAGGGAAGCGAGAAGGCGGGATGAACACGTGGGTCGGCAAGGTTTGAAGCATCACGGCTGTGGCAGCACCACAGCACGTACCGTCATCACGCCTGTAGCAGCGCTGACCCCTGCCTCCCCAAAGAGCGCTGTAGCGGCGTCTGTGACCAAAGCCGTTGCCCAAATGTTCACCAAGCTGGCGGCAGGGCAAGAGAAGGTAGGGGTTGAGGGGAGAAGAGGAAGCGAGAAGAGGGGAGAGGAGGTGTATGAGGGTTGAACGAACAGATGGCAGATGGCAGGCAAACGCGGATACCTTCAAATGCCAGTGGTGATGAAGTAGGAAGGAGAGATGTGCGGGTGGCATGGGGGGTGCAGAGGTGCTACGAGTCAGCAGCAACAGCGTGTGAGGGTTGAAAGAGTGGTATGGGGGGCGCAAAGGTGCTACGACTGAACGGCAGAAGCAGGTTGCAGACAGTGTTCGGGTGGAAATGACAGAAAGGAGACGACAAAGGGCGGAACGTGGTGTGGATGAGGATGGTGGTGAGGCAGGAAGAAGAGAGTATGTGTGAGGAAGAAGAGAGGTATGCGTGAGGAAGAAGAGAGTATGTGTGAGGAATAAGAGGGCGAGGAAAGGGAGAAAGTGGCATTACGTGGTGCCGATGAGGATGGTGGTGAGGAAGCGAGTCACGTCCCGCCGCAGCAGCTGGAACACACTGCCCTCCTTCTCCTTCTCCGCCAGCTCGCGCACCTGGCGAGAGGAGGGAGGGAAGGGAACAGGGATGCGGAGGGAGAGAACACGGGTGCGCGCAGAGGGAACAGCAATTGCGAACAAAGGGAGAGCGTGTGGATCAGGCCAAGGGGAGCATGGCCCCACGCAGCAGCTCGAATACACTGCCCTCCTTTTACTTCTCCGCCAGCTCGCGCACCTGACCAGGGGTGCGAAGGGAACAGCAATTGCGAACAAAGGGAGGGCATGTGGATCAGGCCAAGGGGGGAAGGACCCCACGCAGCAGCTGGAACACACTGCCTTCCTTCTCCGCCAACTCGCGCACCTGATGAGAGGAGGGAGCGGAGGGGAGGGAGTGCGGATCAGGCAAACTGGTGGCGCGGAGGGAGGGAATGTGGGTCACGCACAGAGCGGCATGATCTTAGCGGCATGATCTGAGCGGCATGATCTGAGCGGCATGATCTGAGCGGCATGATCTGAGCGGCATGATCTGAGCGGCATGATCTGAGCGGCATGATCTGAGCGGCATGATCTGAGTGGCATGATCTGAGTGCTCGTACCTTCCACGACCAGAGCGTGGTGATGGTCGTTTCCGCCATGGAGAAGAAAGCGGTTAGCCCTAGAAGCAACAAAAATCAACCCCTTATTACCGTACCCCACCCTTCCCATCCCAGCTCCCACCTTCCACGGCCAGAGCGTGGTGATAGATGTTTCTGCCATGGAGAAAAAAGCGGAGAGGCTCAGCAGAACCGCCAGCAGCACGCCTTGCTCCCGCAGCACCTTGAGCAGCTGTATCATCGACGGCTTCGCTCCCACGCTCCATACCCGAGCCCGCTGCGTCAGATCCGACACCAGAGCTCCGGCCGAGGCAGGGAGGATCGGCGATGCGGATGCCGAGGCTGATTCCGCTGCTAGAACTGGCCGGCAGGCTAGAACGGCTGTCAGGCACACTGCAGCGGAAACCACAAGGACGGCCACTCGCCTTGCAATGATACCCCATGCAACGGTCCCGTCTGGTGCTGCTACAGGCGCCGACCCTTCGTTCGGAATATTCCTAAAGGTAGAGCCATCGCTGCTGATGCTGCAGCTGCTGCTGTTGCTGCTGCTGTCTCTTAAAGCTGCCCCATCATCATCGTCACCTGACCTCGTTTCTCCTACGGCTGAGTTTACGCATGAAGCTACATGAGTCCCGATCCTTGCATACGTCTTCGAAAATTGAGTCGAACTCCGCCGTCGATTGTCAAGATTTGTTACAGCAGGTCGGAACACGCCTCCGTCTTTCTGTTGATGACGTAACCCTCCCCCAATGACACGTGTCAACGGGGAGAAATCTCCGCCACTGCATTGTCGACTGCTACAAATCAGACGGTACGACCTGGCGGATCGAGGGTATTGAGTGGATGAATCGGCGGTTTGGATAGCGATAGGGTTAGATGCAAGGCCACCTGGGTTACGATTGCAAGTAGTGCTTATCTGTTTCGAAAATCCTCCGATCAACGAAGGGGACCCAGACGGGACTACTTGGTAAGGTCCTTTGCAGCTTGGCCGAAGAAGCATTGTGGCGAAGCGCAAAACCACTATCGGTTATAGTACAATATCGCGGATGCTGTAATCATCAAACGTGTTTGCTAATCTTCGTCATGTCAGAAATTCGCTGGACGTCGCAGTGAAAGAAAGGGGTCCACGCGATGCTTCTATACCCGGAAATCACGACAATAAACGCATGGCCTAGTCTCTCGCATGGATGCCTGGTCAACCAGAGATGGATCAAATGCAACAACCACGCAAGAGATCTAGAAACACAATAGCTTCACAGCAGACGATCAGAATCTCCAAAATCGAAGCGGAAGCTTCACGAGGAATTATGGCCTGACATAACCAACGATCAGGCCAAGATACCTACGGAACGCAGGCCGAGAGAGCACAGAAATAAAGGCAAGGGAGCATTGGGAATGGCGGGAGAGGGGTGAGTACAAAAAGGGCAGAGTGAAGAGAGAGAAAGGTGACAACATCGAAGGAAGGTGGGCCAAGCTAGGCGGCGCCAAGGAAGGTGTGTGCTGTGTTGCGCCCAGAGGGTGGAGGACACGAAGCGCTCGTTGATTGGCTAAACGGTGATGGTGGAAGAGACCGCCTGATGACGTGTCTTGGCAGATCTCAAGGAGAGGAGCTTTGCGCTTTTTGCTGTCAGAGCGTTCACAAATGGAGGGAATCTTTGCACACGTGGCTGACCTCGATGTTGTCCATCAATTCGTTGAACAGAAAGAATCAGCAGTACACCAAGAAGGAACCCTTCATTTCATTAACGAAGCAAGAACAAGAGAAACTACCAACCCTCTCCATCATAAAGCTCGTCCAAACTACCAGAAACACTCGATGATGGGCTAATACAACGCAAAATCTCGTCCAATTGTTCGCATGAGTGCTGTCCTGAGCTTCCAAGTGAATCCGTCAACCCACAAGTCGCCAAAAAAACAAGCTGGACATGTTCACCAACATCCAATGGCGCCTTGGAAAAACCTTGGCAGCCAGACAAAGGTTCACAAACGGGACGCGCAGCAACTTGAATTGCTCCACGCGCATCTTCACAAATCACAAGCTGCTGCTGGCTTGCAGTCGTAAGCTGTTCGTCCACCACCGTATCAGCCGGTAGAGTGTCACTGGAATTTTGGCATGGGAACAAAGAAGGCGCTTTAATCTGCGCCACAGAATCCAAGGTGAGCAGTTGACAGGCATCAGGCGAATCACTGGGCCATGTGAGTGCATCCCCAAGCAGGTCTCCTTCAACGTCGCATGACTTCTCCCAATTCACCATGTGTAATTCAGCAGCAGCAGCAAGAGTATCAGCGGCAGCAGCGCCACCACCAGGGCTCATCTCCTGAAAGTAACCAGCGTCGTCCAGGTTTTCTGATCTACAGAAACTCCGCGGAGGGCAACTCGTGGGATTCTGGAAGGCCGGCGTCAGGGGAGCGGCTGGAAAGAGGCAGTCTGTGTCTTCCAATCCTGGTAACTCCTCCTCCTCCTCCTCCTGCTGCTGCTGCTGCTGCTGTGGCGTGCCTTCAGCCGGAACAGACTCAGATTCTTCTGCCCCCACGTGCCCTCCTTCCGCCAGTGCGGACTGCACCAGCAGCGTCAACGCTGTAATCACCTCAGCTGGTAACTGGTGCGACTGAGGGTGCAAGGGAGCAGCAGCGGCCGCACGACTCCCCAAAGGAGACACCATACTCTCCCGCGCATGCGCAGGCTTATCAGAGGAGGCAGGAGCAGGCGAGGGAGCAGCAGCGGCCGCACGACTCCCCAAAGGAGACACCGTACTCTCCCTCGCATGCACAGGCTTATCAGAGGAAGCAGGAGTAGGCGTGGGAGCGACAGCAGGCACAGGTGATCCACTGAGCAGTGCCTCCAGTGCCGCCCGCAAATCTGCCACAGCCGAGGCGGGAGCGTGCCCGGACGAAGACGATGCATTGGAAGAAGGGCGGGAGGGTGCACGATCGGAGTTATCCTTCCAAGTGGCACCGCTGACTGGGATGGAAGCGAGGGCTGGCAGGAACGACGGCGGGCATCGCAGCGGTCTGCCAATAGTCCCATTTGCCGCGATTGCTTCCTCCTTAACAGCCGCTCGCTTGCTCGCCATGCTGTTGTCGGCACCATCTGCAGCAGCAGTTGCAGCAGCAGCAGCGGTAGCACCAGCAGGCACAGCAGCAGAACCCCTCGTTCTAACTGAGCGGACTTTGACTGAGCGGTCCTTGGGCAGAGGCGCAGGAGAGGTAGTAGCAGCACCAACGACGTGGTAGTGCGGCAAGTGGTTGTGCGTGCAGTGGTAGTTGAGCACCAGAGGCGCGGAGGGGTCCCAGCAGCTGAGGTCCACCGTGCGGCGTGCGGGGCAGGCGTGGGACGTGCGCAGGCCGCACTGGAAGTAGAGCCTACAGGCATCATGGGTGGGAGGGAGAGAGGAGAGCAGGAAGCGCAGGGAGGAGCGTGGTGGACGCATGAGTGGAAGGAATCAGCATACAGGGGAGAAGCAGCAAATGGCAGCACTGCTAAACTTCTTAAAGTGGGCGATTGACCCGAGAGGGGACGAGCGGCACAGTGCGGTTCAAAAGACAGGCAAGACAAAGACCAAAAGAGGATCGGAGCCGCACCTGATCATGTTGTCGCCCGTGGTGAGTTTCTTCTACCCGTACTTGACCCAGCTGAACCCGTCCCGTGGCAGCAGCGGTTTATACGGATACTGCACCACGCGCACTTTCTTGCCGTCAACGTGACGGTCCGCTCCACCGCTGCCACTGCCAGGTCGATTCGCAGGTGTCTCATGCCGATTCGCAGGTGTCTCATGCTGACTCTCAGGTGTCTCATGCCGACTCTCAGGTGTCTCATGCCGACTCTCAGGTGTCTCATGCCGACACTTAGGTGTCTCATGCTGACTCTCAGGTGTCTCATGCCGGCTCTCAGGTGTCTCATGCCGACTCTCAGGTGTCTCATGCCGACTCTCAGGTGTCTCGGGTCGATTTCCTTAAGATCCCGAGCCTCCTTTTCTCGGGTGAAGTTGAGAGCCGGTCCATGCGAGGTCCATGCTCTGGTGCGGAGGTTGTTCGAGGTTTCCAGTTGCTTGAAGGTTCCCAGAAGCATCAAGCTGATCAGGATCTCGATCTTACATGTCCCGACGGCCCTTGGAGCTCGGGATTTGCAGGATTTGCGGCTGAATGCAACATGATTTGCACAGGAAGGAGTCATTTGTAGTGACCACGGAACGGTGTGGGAATCAGAGGTTTTTTATTGAGATTCATACAGGAGTTACATCACAAGAATCGCGCGGCACGGCCTCCACAGAGTGTGTCGTACAAGCGAAATCCTAGAACTAACTTTTGCCGCTGCACCACTCTCCTCTCTCCTTCCCCTTCACACCGCCCCATTCTCGCCCTTCCGTTACTCAGGTATGCATCCAGTGGAGCCTACCTTTCTGCAAACACCATCCTGGCGTGTCCTGAACCGCGTTTTGCGGTGCTTGAAAATCCCCCGTGCCGCAGCTCATGGTCTTGATCTCGCGATCGCTTGCGCGACCCGCGGAAAGAATCAGCTCGGCAGTGCTCCATGCTACCGTCGAAGGGTGATGGAGAAAGGTCTACTTCGAAGGGTGACAGCGATTATCGCCTCAGGACTCGGTACTCCGGACTCGTCAGTATGTCACAAATACAAAGAGCAGGAGCGTCAGCGTATTTCTATCGCATTTTCTCGCAAGGGTGTGATTCTGGTAAGCTTGTAATGAGCAATCTGCCAATCAGCTTTCCTGGGACGCTTACGACTTGGAGGAGCGGATTTGTCCGGACCAGGGCTACTTTTCCGTTTTTTGAGACCTCCGGGGCCCCCACGTAAACATCCGTAAATTTCCGGACCCGTGAAAATTCTACCCTTTTTCATCCGTAGTCCATCAAGGGTTACCCGAAGTCAGTATGTTTCTCATAACACCCTCTGGCCCATCGAGTCGCAACTGCAGCAAAATACAGCTGATGCTCGTTAGAGCCCCTCCCGGTTGCCTTGTCCACTGGGACTGTAAGCTGAAACTGCATTTCGTGGGTATTCGTGAATTTCGTCAGGCATCCAGCGTGCTTCTAAACTGATCATGGTAACCACCATGTTTGTCTCATTTGCAACAGTATGGGGTTGCAGCACTTGTCCATGTTGTGTGTTTGTGGTTACTAAACGAACGCTACAGTACCGAAAGAAGCATGTGCAACAATTGTTCTTCGTAGTACAAAACAGGTAAAACACGAACACCTTCCAATCAGCATCCTCCACCTGGGAGCTCATCTCCATTCAACACACAAAACGAAACACTCACAAATGTGCACAAGGAGTGAACACTTGAGCTCTCATCAAAATGCATTCGACACCTTGCGAAGTCTGCTCCACCCCCACCCTCACATACGCATCCACTCAGCCGTGTCCACATACCCGCCCATCACGGCGCCCACACCGGCGTCAAACAGCTCCTGACGGCGAGACGGGCGGGTCATCCAGTCGGGCAGCACCCGACCGCGCGGACGAGGGGTCTCGGGCGTGGGAGTTGCGCCCGGGGAGGGTACGGGCTGAGGCGCCACGTTGAGGTTCAACGACGGGCTAGCCCGCTCCATCCGCGCGATTATAAAGGGGTTGCGTATATCGAATAGATGGCACAGATCGCGCGGCGTGATGCGGGTGGCCCGAGCGTATCCTATAAGCATTTTGCATGCCGCCCGGGCTGTGCGGCGCGCTTCGCGGCACACTGGGTCGGCGTCGTCGTAGACGGCTGGAATGGTAGTCGGCGCCTGCCAGAGCTCGGCGTCTACGCCCGACTCCGGCTCGTTCGGAGGCTGTCCCTCAGCGCTGGTCGGCTCGCCGTCGTCGATGGCGACGTACTCTGCGGCCGTCATCGCCGCATTCCCGAGTGCGAGCCCGCTGATCAGAGTCCCGACATCATCGATGTCGTCGTCGAGCTCGATGTCGGGGTAGACGGCAGGGGTGGGCTCATCGTCGTGTACATGCGACAGCTCCAGGGACCATGACAGCGGCAGACACCCCGTGCGCCACCAGCACTGTTGAATGGTGCGCTCGCCGACAGACATCCACGCGTCTGACAGCCACGCGAGGACATCGCGCAAATTGGGGCGGAACCGGGCGACGGCGGTAGTCGCGCCCTCGCCGTTCCACAAGGCCGTGAAGGCCCGCAACCAATGCTGTCGGTAGCGGGCTTTTACGGTGGCTATGATACCCTGATCGAGCGGTTGTGTGAAGGCGGTGGTATTCGGCGGCAAGAAAACGAGCCGCAAGTTGCTCATGCAGGTCGTCCGCATCCCGCACACGATCTCGCTCCACGCGAGCTGTGAGCGGAGCATGTGGCTGCTCGCGTTGTCGAGCAGCACCAAAATCTTGCGATTTTCGGCGTACATGGCAGCATTGAGCTGCGATATGAAATGCGTGAATAACTGCATAAAGGGGAATTGGGGGGGAAGGCGGAATGTACAAGTGAATTTTAATCTGTTTAACACATTACAGTAAAGTGCGCTATTACTCGTAATACTTGCGAAGCATGCCCGAGTGCTTACCGGCGAGGTCATCCAGCCTTTGGTGTTGTGCCGCCAGTAGCAAAGGGACTCCGGGTCATAATCCGGGCGGAAGTCGTGCGGCCGCTTAGCCTTACTGATGACGAGCGGTCGGAAGACGTGGCTCCCGTCACCATTGACGAGGAATGCCACAGTGAGCCGCTCTTTCGACAGTTTGCGGCCCGGAATCCGACCGTTGCTGTACGTGCGCCGAGGGAGGACCGACAACCAGAGCGCCGTCTCGTCGATGTTGAACGTGTCCCGCGGGGTGACACCGAGATGCGTGAGGAGTTGCGGCAGCTTCTCACGTGTGTCCCGCACGGCGGCCATGTCCGCACTAGCCGCCTCGCCTTGTGCTGCCCGGCACCTCACTCCCTGACGCCTCAAAGCACGGCGCACCCAGCCTATGGAGCATCGGAATGTGGGCGGAATGCCCATGTTCCGTGCCATCGTGGCGACATGGCCGCGGATGGTCTGCAGCGTCAGAGGCACGCCAGCGGGCCCTGCGTTTGCGATCCACCGCGCCATGGCCTGCTCCAGCTCAGGCCATGCGCCACCTCGACGGCGCATCTGGTTGTCAATAGCGGCCGTAACATCCCAGAGCTCGGCGCTCTTCAAGATGCGGCCGACAGTGGAACGATCTGGCCGCAATCCGTACTGCGAGTAATGTGAAATTGAAGAACAGGAAAATGAAATGACTAAGGAAAGATTGGGTACAAATACAACCCTAGAAACCCTGTACCCCATATGTGCTACCCCACTATAGCCTACAGCAACTATGTCATATAAATCTGACACACCCCCATAGGCAAAGTGGGGGAGAACAAGGGGTCACAAGACCAGTCAAGCAAAGCAAAGCAAGCTCAGGGTGGATCACAAAGTCACCACACAGTCCGAGCACAAGAGTAGGGCCAGAGGCCAGTTCACATGCAGGAGTACAGACATATATATAAAACTAGACAAACAAGAGCAAGCATATATATATGTCACAGTACAAGTGAAGTCAAGAGGAGAGCAAGTGAGGCAAGACAGGCACAAGACCCAGCTGGGTGCAAAAGCGCTGATGGTCACAAGGCGCGAGTGCCTTGGTGAACACATCAGCAGTGTTGGCCTCAGAGGCCACGTACGCAAGTCGCAACTGACCACGCTGCTGCAGCTCACGAGCAAGGAAGTAGCGGAGAGCAATGTGCTTCGTTCTGTGCTCCAAGCGCTGCTCTCGACACAAGGCCAGCATAGCCTTGTTGTCTACGTACAGCACTGGAGGAGAACGAGGCGGCTCTCCAAGGTCCGTCAGCAGGTAGGTGAGCCAGCGAAGCTCCTGTGCAGCCATGGCCCCGGCGTAGATCTCAGCCTCACAACTGGAGCCGAGAACCGAAGACGAGCGAGTAGACCGCCACGAGACAGAGCCGGAACCAAGGCTGAAGGTGTAACCCTGTGACGACCGCTGCGTAGCCTGGTCGTCAGCCCAAGAAGCGTCCGCGTGGCCGGTAAGGACCACTGGACTCCGCCCTCCAAGCACTAGCCCCATGCCTGACGTACTGCACAGGTAGCGCAATACCCTCTTCGCTGCAGCCATGTGCTCCGGTCTGTGTCTCCCAGGAGCAACATAGCGTGCAAGAATGCTCAGAGGGTATGCAAGGTCAGGTCGTGTGCAGGTCATCAGGTACATGAGGCAGCCAACAAGCTCTGCATACGGACCACTCGACTCTACGGACTCATCCGAAGGCAGAGCTGAGAGTGAGTGGCGAGTAGGCAGAGGAGTGGCCTGAGGCGAGGAGTACGTGAAGCCGAAGCGCTGAAGGACCTGCTGCACCATGTGTGACTGAGTCAAGGTAATGGTGCGGCGTGCTCTGTCCCGAGTGATCTGCAAGCCAAGGTAGCTGCGCAGTTCACCCAGGTCTGTGCACGTGTGTCTCTTCAGCAGCTCGGACTTCACGTAGGCGAGTCCAGCAGTGTCCGCTGTGGCAAAGACCAAGTCGTCGACGTACACGAGGATGTAGAACGGCGGCAGGGAAGTGTCGGTGCGAAGAAACAGCGACGGGTCAGCAGTAGAAGGAGCAAACCCAAGAGCCGCAAGCGTAGTCCTCAGTGTGTCGTGCCACTCACGCGGTGCCTGGCGGAGACCGTAGACTGGCCGTCGGAGGCTCCACTGGGTGCCAGGAGGGAAAGTCCCAGTGAAGCCAGGTGGACGGCGAAGCCAGATCTCCTCGTGCAGGCTACCCTGCAAGAACGCAGTGCTGAAGTCGAGAGAGTGAAGCTCGTAGTCGCGCTGAGCGGCTATGTGCAGCAGCACCCGAAGAGTAGTCATCTTCGGGGTGGGAGAGAAGGTCTGAAAGTAGTCAACTCCCTGCCGCTGACTGAAGCCACGAGCAACGTACCGTGCCTTGAAGACAGGTGGAGAGCCCGGCGGCCGCTTCACCCTGAAGATCCACATGCCACTGACGATGTTCGCCCCAGGAGGGGGAACCGCGTCAACGTAGGTGCCTGTGGACTTCCAGGAAGCCATCTCTGCATCCATAGCTGCCTGCCATTGAGAGGAGTAGGGACCCTCTACGGCCTCCGCGTAAGAACGCGGAGTCGGGATGTCTAGTGCATCCGGGTCTCCCTCAGGGGCAAGCAGTACAGACGCGAGATGAGGTGAAGCAGCCGCTAGACACTGTAACTCCTCCTGCCTGTCCTCTAGGACGTCCGTGCCAAGAGCACACTCACCCCCGACGGACGGAGGACAGACAGACGCAGACTCAGCAACAAGACTAGCAGCGTAGTCAAGACGACAGCGAGCAGCAAAGTCAGCGAGCTCAGCGACTAGAGCAGACGCAGCAGTGGACTCAAAAGAGGGGTCAGTGACGACAGTAGCAAGCAAACGCGTGACAGTAGGACTCGCAGCGCGAAGAGAGTCCGACTCAGGGTCGGCAAGCGGAGGAAGAGAGGACTCAGGAGGAGAAGGCAAAGGGGCACGCAGAGGAGCAGTGGACGGACGCAGAGACATCCGGTGCGTGCCAGGGACAGGAGGAGGACGCTGACGCGAACTGCGACCACTAGCGCGAGCAGCACGAACAGGCGACGCGGGACGAGACGCAGGCTCACGACGCTCAGCAAGACCTCCAGTAGGACCAGTGTAAGGAGAGGGAGCAGGCAGGGGAGAGGAAGGCTCCAGCAGGGACTGCGACTGGACAGGTGGTGGACCCTCTACTGGAGGAGAAAGACCAAGAACCTGCTGCAGGAGCGGAACGAAGTACGGCCGAGGCCGCGCGGCAGCTCCAGACTCAGCAGGGACAGCACCAGCACCCTCAGCTACAGCACCAGCGCCACCCACACCTCCAGCGGCAGGACCAACAGCAGCAGGCTCAGCACGAACGCCCTCAGCAGCTCCAGCTCCAGGAGGACCCGCAGGTCCAGCAGCTCCGGGACCGGCAGCACCCGCACCCTCGACGGTCGAAGGAGCTCCAGCTCCAGCTCCAGCAGCTCCTCCAGACTCAGCAGCACGCCTCCAGCGGCAAGCGAACCACTCGCGCAGCTCCTGTGGAGAGAGGGGCTCCCGGCGAGACGCAGCAGCAGGAGAAACCCCAGGCTCAGCAGCTCCAGACGGAGCACCCCCAGGCTCAGCAGCGCCCAGCTCAGCACCCCCAGGCTCAGCAGCTCTCGACCCAGCACCCCCAGACTCAGCACCTCTAGGCACAGCACCCCCCGGCTCAGCACCCCCAGGCTCCGCACCCTCCGCAGTAGCACCCTCAGGCCCAGCACCCCCAGCAGTAGCACCCCCAGGCTCAGCACCCCCGCGCACAGCACCCCCAGAGTCAGCACCCCCAGGCTCAGCACCCGCAGCAGCACCAGAGTCACCAGTAACCTCGACCTGGTCAACGGCGTCTACCTGGGACACACCTGAGGGGGCATGAACCTGAGGGGGGAGGGGGTCTACCGGGGGGGGAACCGGCACAAGGAAGTCCGGGGGAGGGGGGAGGGAAGGAGTGCGGTAGGGGAAGAGACGGTAGAAGGGGACTGACTCGTCGAACGTGACGTCCTGGGAGGACAGAACACGACGAGAGGAGGGGTGGTAAAACTGCCACCCTGGGGCGTCAGTGGGGAAGCCAAGGAAGACACAGGGAGCAGCACGAGGGGACAGCTTGTCCGCAGACAAGTCGCGGACAAACGCCCGAGATCCCCAGACACGGAACACAGACGCATCGCCAACCTTCCCCGTCCACAGCAAGACTGGGGACATCGCAGGCCGAGAGACCCGGGGGTGAAGGTTGAGCTGATGCGCCGCGTACCTCACCGCAAACGGCCACAGAAAATGGGGGGCAGCCGCATGCATCATGGACGTACGAGCGACATCCATGACCATGCCAATGCGGCGCTCAGCAATCCCATTTTGCTGTGGGGAGTCCGGAAGCGTGAAGGTCTGGCGGATCCCCCGTGCACGACAGTAGTCTCGCAGAAGGCGAGAAGAGAACTCTCCGCCTCTGTCGGAGTGCAGACGCAGAACAGGAAAGTCCGAGCCGAAGCTCTTCCTGAGCTGGAGACGAGCCTCGCGGATCCAGTCGATCAGCACCTCAGTGACCGCACCCTTGCTGCGCAAGGGGAGGACTGTGGTGTAACGCGAGTAGTCGTCAACCACCAACAGGAAGTAGCGCTCGTAACCCTGCCCACGGACGGGGGCAGGGCCCCACACATCCATGTGAAGCGTCTGCAGGGGAGCCTCTGTCGGGGGGAAGTGGGAGGAGTGAGGAGTAGCCCTGAGGCGACCCTCGACACAGGGGACACAGGAAGGTCCTGGTCCGGAGGGGAGAGGAGGGAGAGACTGGGGAAGACCGGAGACAAGGACACGGGAAGCCATGCTCCGAAGACGGGGCAAGGAGGGGTGACCAAGACGGTGGTGCCACAGGAGAGTCTCGTGAGACAGGAGGCGACAAGAACAGGGGGCAGACTCAGGACCTGACCGGGACGCAGCAGCAAGTACCTGACCCGACGCAGCCACCTGACCAGACGCAGGGACAGGAGGAGACTCAACGGTCAGGGTGTAGAGACTCGACCCCGGCCGACGCGAGAACGTGGCCAGGTGTCGGCCTGTGCGTGCCTCCGTGCAGTGGGTCACCCGCTGACTCGCAGGAGTGAACTGGTGAACACCCCCATCCTGTAGGTCCGCTCCACTCACCAAGTTCGTAGAGAACGAGGGAAGGTACAGACCCGACAGGGTGCCCGAAGGGGCAGCCGGACACGGGAGGAAAGTGGAGAAGTGAGACAGGACAGGACCCCCAGAGGGGTCAGCAAGAGAGACTGCAACCGGCCGGCCGAGCGGCGTAAGGGTAGTGCGGTCTCGAAAGAAGGAGCGAGAAGCTCCGGAGTCAAGTGTGAAAGTGAGGGAGGACGAGGACGACTCAGTACCTGAGAGCGCAGTCTCACCAGTACCTGAGAGCGCAGACGCACTGGCACCTAGAGCAGCAGCCTCACAAGCACCTAGCGCAGCAGTACCAATGCCCGGGTCGGGCTGGAAACAGCGGTAACCCTCATACTCCTCACTATAATCCACAACATACATAGCAGTAAGGATAGCATCAAAATCAAGATCAAAGATCGCTACACCAGCCCTGAGAAGCTCATCCCAGCGAGGGATCTCACTAGCCCCAGGGAACTGCCGACGCCAGGCGTCCGTCAGGCGGCCAAAGCAGCGCTGAGTGGCGTGGGCACCCCCACACTGCTCACCCGCGCGGTCGCCGGAACGAAGAACGTAGGTGCAGGGACCAGTACCCCCACCCCTCTGACGCCCAGCGTACCACTCACGAAGCTGCTGAGGCGAAGGGATGTCCCGAGAGCGCTGCTGCTGCTGCTGCCGCTGCGAGCGCTGGCCACCACCACCGCCGCTACGCTGCTGGGTACCACCCCGACCAGCTCCACCCCCTCCACCACCACTGCCTCCTCCGCTGCCGCCTCCACCGCCACCACCTCCGCCGCCTCCACCTCCGCCGCTGCCTCCACCACCACCGCTGGCACCACCACCACCGTCTCCGCCGCTGCTGCCACCACCACCACCACCCCCGCCACTAGTCCCGCCGCCACCCCCACTCCCCCCGCCGCCACCGCCGCCACCGCCACCGCCCCCTCCAGCTCCACCCGCGCCCTTGCCCCCCTTGCCCTTGCTGGAGCGACGTCTCCCACTAGGGGCAGACGCCGCGCCGACCGACTCAAGACCAAGCAGGTCGGCAGCAGCAGCAGAGGCAACAGAGGGCAGCAAGGGGGAAGGAGAGCACCCCTCAAAGATGGGGGTGCGAGGGTCACCACGAGAAGCACCTACAGCGACTATGCTCTTCTCCGCTGCGAGGAGGGCCTTCTCGAGGAGGTCGACGGTGAGGGTGGTGGGACAGACTGCGAGAAAGTGGTCCCTGACGACACGAAGGGAGTCAGGGAGGCGCGCGACTACGTAGTAGAGAGCGATGTACATGGGGGGGGGGTTCTTAGCGCAAAACTCAGCAAGAAGGGCGGCGCGGTAGCGAGTGTCACTAGTGCGGAGGTGCGTAATGAGGTCAGCGACAGTGGGAAAGGCAGAGAGGTCAGGAAAGAGGTAGGGAAGCATGAGACGGCTCAGTGCAGCAGTGGCAGGGGAGGAGTAGCGCGCAACTACAGCGTCGTACAAGGTCTGAGCACTCTTGTACTGACTGAAGTGCGCACGCTCAGAGGTAGGGAGGTGGCGACGCACATCAAGACGTGCAGCAGCATCGCGGGTGGCCCACTTAGAGCGGACAGCGGGATCAGCATCAGCAGCAGGAGCAGGAGAGGCGTCAGAGGTGAGATCAAAGAGAGAAAGGTCGTCAGCCCTGTCGCACTGTAAGAACAGCTGCAGGTCGTCTAACCAGACCTCAAAATCAATGGCGCGACCCTCAGCGTCAAAAGCTAGGACACTAGGGGTAGCCATGGCGACGACAGCAACGCAGTGCAAGCAGCAGGGAAGGAGCTCGCAGTGTCAGTGGGACTGTGCTCACCAGGCAGGGCAGGTCGTGTAGATATGCAGAAAGGCGGCTCAGCGACTTGGCGGCTCGGGTGCTGGGCGGCTCGGCTGCTGGGCGGCTCGGGCGCAGGGCGGCTCGGCTCCCGGGCGGCTCGACGGCTGGGCGGTTCGGGTGCAGGGCGGGTCAGGCGCAGGGTCGGCTGCGGCTGGGCGGCTCGGCTGCGGCTGGGCGGCTCGGCTGCTCCTGGGCGGCTCGGCTGCTCCCGGGCGGCTCGGCGGCTCCGGGCGGTTCGGTTGCTCCGGGCGGCTCGGCTGCTGCTGGGGCCGTGGAGGTAGGGCGGCTGGGCCGCGAAGGTAGGGCGGCGGGCGGGCCGCTGATAGGGCGGCAGGTGGGCCGCAGGTAGGGCGGCGGCTGGCCGCAAGTAGGGCGGCGAAGGGCCGCGGGTAGGGCGGCGAAGGGCCGCGGGTAGGGCGGCGGGTGGGCCGCAGATGAGGCGGCGTAGGGCCGCAGGTAGGGCGGCGGGACGGCCGCTGGTAGGGCGGTGGTCGGGCCGCAGAAAGGCGGCGGGGCCGCGAAGGGATGGCGGGGCCGCGTCGAAGTGGCGGGGCCGCGACTGGGCGGCAGGGCCGCGACGAAGTGGCGGGGCCGCGACTGGGCGGTGGGGCCGCGATCAGAACGGGCGGCGGGGCCGCGACTGGGCGGCGGGGCCGCGACTGGGTGGCGGGGCCGTGACTGAGTGGCGGGGCCGCGCGAGGGGGTGGCGGGGCCGCGTCTGAAGGGCGGCGGGGCCGCAAGGGGACAGGGCGACTCGGAGGGTCGCAAAAAAAAAAGGAATCGCGCGCCTCGGGGCGCGCTTCGGTGGGCCCTAGGCGAAGTTCCCACAGGGAACCTGCTCTATACCATGTGAAATTGAAGAACAGGAAAATGAAATGACTAAGGAAAGATTGGGTACAAATACAACCCTAGAAACCCTGTACCCCATATGTGCTACCCCACTATAGCCTACAGCAACTATGTCATATAAATCTGACAAGTAACACCACCTAGCCAGGTCGACATGACGCAGGCGGGGGCTGTCTACGTGGTGAACGCAAATAGCGCGCTTGATATGCAGCGGGAGCTGCTCTCGTCGGTTAAAACGGGGCATTGTGTGCGACTGGGGTGTGAGAGACAGAGGTGACTTAGTGAATTAGTTGCACACATTTTATCATCACAGGTCGGGCGTGCTGGGCAAGACTGGGGCCTGTTCGTTGTTGAATGTCACATTTGTGTGGTTGGTGTTCGTTCCATGCACCTGGCTTGCATTTTTTAGCAACTGGTTTGGTAACCACACCCTCGGTTGTCTGACGTGGGTCGGGCGAACAACGCCTGGCTGGTAATGCGCGTGTACCGTGCAGGTCCCGATATACACGTGGCAGGGTTAATCTGACCAACTGCCTGTTACACGCACGATGATCCTTGCTCAGGTGGCGGCCCAGATGGGCGAATGCGTTCACGAAACCTGTGCTTTTTCGTCCTTTCTGTTCGCCTCTCTGACTCCTGGCCTAGAAACAAAGGGAAAGTGGGGTAGCGTGGCTTGTTCGGGAATGAACGTGCATTGATGGCTGAGTTTCGTGTACTGTTGCCAGCCATCCATGTGCTTGTACTGTGGGAGCAGCAAGCAGGGGTTTCCAGCTCGGGTGCAGCGTTTCCATCCGGTGCATGGCAATTTCGCGTGCATTGGTCGGGCATCATGTGTACAAGTGAAGAACACAGACAGGAAGAAGCGAGAGATTTTCTCCAGACCCGGAAACGGTGATTTGCCGTTGCACACGTAGGCTCAATTTGCTACCGTAGTCGGACAATTTGATGATAATTGCTCGAGTGGTCTTGCCAGAGGTTTCCTCTGGCTTTTTTTTTATCCGGCACATTACCCAAAACCGGTTTTTAGCCCTGCTTTTCTCACGTCGTTCGTAACTCTTCCCGCAAAAACGTGGTGTGTGTTTTTCCGCCCGATTTTTTCGGCTGGGTGACGTGCGCGAGAGCGGCCACATCATCGTTCGAATACACGACAATAATCGACGCGATCATGTTCGGCGAACAGTCGCGCTCATTTTCGGTCCAATGATTGACCAATCCGCGCATAGAGATATGAATCCGCGATCATATACTCAATTGCACGACTGTCCACACGCGCGACCAATTACAGAGCGCGTGTGATTGGTTGACTCTATGCGCAAAGTACTTTTTTACCTTGCGCGTCCAATCAGGCGCGGTCATGTAAGATCGCGCTCATATAAAACCGCGCATTTACCTATATGAGCGCGCATATGTGGTGCTCGAATGTGTGTGCGATCTGTTTTATTAATAAACAACTATATTAATAGAATCGGGAGACGTTCACTACCGGTGTTTTGCCATTGTATCTTTATAACACTGTGCGGTCCGTTCATTTAGCAATCATAGGGTTTATTGTATCTGTAGGCATGTCGACCTCTACGCATGGCTACAATGATATTACGTAGATTTGATGTGTACTGAGCACGCAATGTCATTGTTGACCATACGTCTCATCAGTTATTGTGCAGAAAGGCATCGATGATGTCGTCCGCCGCCCCTGCACAGGTTTAGCAAACAAGTTCATTAGATTAATGCAGAGTTTAGTGAAACTACAGCATATGAATAAGCACTAATATGACACAACCACACATCTCACCTGTTGCTGGCTCGCTTGCCAGTGCGGAGCCGTGGGACGTTGGGTTGGGATTGTTGGGAGAAGTCGACTGTGAATATGTCAGGCCATGTACCCTGACCTGTCCAGTTTGCCCTGCGGGTCGGACTGGTTGGGTTTGTGGGTCAGATACTGGATGTGCCGTACTGGGTGCAACGGATGGTGGTGTTGGTAGGACATGCGGATGGGGTGCTGTGTTCTGTGAAGCGGCATGGCCTGCAGGGTTGGGAGCAATGGGTAATGAAGGGGTTGGGTGTACGGGGATAGGGGCTTGCACCTGGCTGAATGGATGGTTTGGGATTTGGTTGAAAGCAAACTGCTTGGATGGAAAATGGAGGTTGGGAGGAGGGCGGTTCTGATTGTACGGCTGCCATGCACCAGGGTTAAGGGCTGCACCGGCGTGTCCCGCGAAGGCGGCGGCTGGCGGGTGGTAGTTGCCAAACGTGGCTCCAGGGTGCTGGTGGGAAAAGGGGGGTGGAGCCTGTGTGTGTACTCCTGCTGGCGTTGGGATGGAAGGCTCAGGGAGGCTGCCGAGCACTTCTCGCCAGTTCCTCCACTCTGCCCACCGCTTGGCCTCCACTATCCTTGCAACCCCTTGCGTCGTCAGTCCCTCCAAGCACCGCCTCTCCTCCACGCTCAACTCCACCATCGTTGAGCTGGAGAGGGACGGTCGGCAAATGTGGGCGGCTGCGGCATATGCTTTTGCGGCATCCAAGATCTCCGTATACCGTCCAAGCACTAAAAACTTACTCTTTGCGCTATCTACGCACAGTCGTGCCGCCCACCTTCCTTCCCGTTTGGTTACGCCAGTATAGCCAAAGCTAGGAGCTCGACCACGCGCAGTGTTGCGACTCGTTGTCTCAGTCCCTGTGCTGTGGGCGGACACTAAATCCACATCCGCGTTAAAGGCTGTCACACCATGCCCAGCACCCACGGCCTCTCTTGCACCTCTGTTACCATCCGTAGTACCCAACAACCCTTTGGCACCTTCATCACGCAACCCCAGTTCCTCATTGTCCCTCCTCGCACCGTCCGCCATATCACCATCTCCATCTTTTTCAAGCTTACTGTTAATCCCACCTACACCCGCCTCAACGTCAGCCTCAGGACCCTCGCCATGTGCACCTCTCATGCTGTCATGTGTGCCAGCGTTGTTCCCTCCCACATCCCCATGTCCCTCCCCTACAGCATCCCCTCCCGCATCCCCATGTCCCTGCCCTGTAGCTACCTGTCCCACATCAACATGTCCCTCTCCTGCAACGTCCCCTCCCACATCACCATGTCCCTCCCCTATATCCACACCGCCAATGCCCGGCTGTGGAGTACGGGACAGCATCAGCTCACGCAGTTGCCTCTCGAGCTTGGCAATAGCCACTGCCTGACTCTCATTTCGAACCTCCAGCCTATGCATCCGCTCTGCCATCTCCGCTCTCCACTCCCTATCCTCCACCTCATCGCCAATCACCTCAAACTCAGGTGGTTTCCTAATCTCATTGCCAGGAGGGATCTCATGCCCAGCTGCTATGAGCTCCCCGATCAGCCGTCCTTCTGCCAGGGCGCACACATCCTCCCGTATAACACGTCGGTATGCCAGTGGGCTCATGCTGAACCGGACCCCATGCTCAGCACCTTCGAAGCATGCCTCCACTAGCGCTTGAATGTACTGGCATACAAAGATGCCGCAGTCATATTCATTCTGCTGCAGAGGCATTTGCCACGCCTGCTAAACACCTATGCCACATGCAGCATAAATGAGAACAATAGAGTACACGAGCATCATTTGACAAGGGGTGGCATGTAGAATCATTTGACAACGGGATGTTGTAGCATGGTTGACGAGCGTTATTCAAGTCAACTCACCTCCATGACGTGTGGCTTGAAGCGCCCAAGCCTCGCCTTCATCTCTTGTACCGTGCGGTTGCCATGCTCCTTCTCGAAGGCCATGCCAAGCAAGCTGTCACCCGGTCGAATTTGTGATATAAAAAAGGCGGATTAGTGTGTGGTTTAGTGAGACATAAGCTAGCAGAGCTATGTTGGAGTGCTTGTGTGGGAATGGTCGTACGCACCCCAAAAAAAAACTTACTTGGTCATGTTCTTGAAAGCATTGCCCCCCACAGCATGCATCCCGAAAGAGTCGTATAGCAGCAACCACGCAGGCTCTGTGGTGCTGTCCTCGTCGAGCGTGAGAGTCACAACTCCAGGGTTGACGACAATCATGACACTGAAATGAAACCTGCATCGTTCGTTAATCCACAATATTTGTCAGTGCTTAGGCATTACAACGGCAGAAGACGTTAGAGAGTTGGAGAGACTAGCGAATCGTGATACTGCAAGTTACCCGCCATAGATTGGCATGGCTAGATAGTCGTAGCTGAAGATCGACGGTCCCGTGACACATTCGGCTATCTTGCCTCGAGAGCAGAAGTAGTCGTAACTCTGACTGTCCAACGCGAGCCACGTCTTGCCGTTGCTCAACTTGGGCTGGCGGATGTTCAGCACTCTGCGTTTACACAGCCATTAAATAGGTCAAAAGCAATAGGGAGTTGTTTGCGTTAGAATCAGAAGATGTGGGTATGGCAATAAGACCGGCCATCGTGATAATGGCCCCACAACTGCAGCAAATGATACAGCATGTCCGCGGTGTGACACTCACATGTTATGAAAATCTATCAACGGCTGCGTGATCGGCTGGTTGTCGGTGATGTGGAGAGCATCGGCCAACGAAATAATTGATGTCATTCCGTGATGATCACGAATCGCATTGGTGGGAAACAATGGATGCTTTAACTTGGCCGCAATAGTGCTAGTCTCCTCATGAGTATCTAGAAACGGGATTTGAACATCTGCCGTGATTTTTGCGATAAGGTCGTCCGGCGGAGAGTGTACCGACGGTGAGTCAAACGGGGGCTCCAGGCCGTAATCGTGAGGGGCTACCTTATTCAATACCACCGGCTCAAGATTCGTGGCGCCCTGCTCTTTAGTAGACGAGTAGTGTGCATGCGCCAACTTCAGCCTATCACTTCGACGATGCCCGTCATCCTCGCCAGACTCTACGTCGGGTTGTGACGCATTTTCCCGTTTTCGAGAGAGTTTCCCAGCCGGTGTGTCATCACGGGTGTTTTTCGCGGCCTTCCTACCTCTAGCGGCGCGACCTGTCATAGTAACGATATGCAACGCGCCGTCCGCAGCTGTGATATGTAATTACGAGGTGATGCTACGTGGAGCTGTCCCGGACTAAGACCTAGGAGCTATAGTAGCGTGACTACAACGAGAACCCTAATTTTCTGTGCTGTGTGACTCAGAGATAAGAACACGATCGGCTTGAAATTGATCGGGTGAAACACCGTGGTTCAGGTTAGCTAAATGGATGCGGATCATTTATGTAGCTCGCGATTGAATCGATGGTAACTCGATTTCGTGAGCGAAACTACTTTTTACGAACGTGTTATTTTAAACTCGCGAAACCACATGAGGCACGAAACTCATGGTTGCGCTGTTACGTGCGAGCCCAAATGTCACACTGTCGGACCCCGGCACAGAGTGAACACGCATCTCTTCAGAATTCCATACGAGGGTTGGATTGCCAACCATTTCCGACAGTATCTTCGACCAATGGAAATTCACCCAGTAATTGATCGGGCAATTAGACGTGCCATTCAACCTGTGCAATGCACGTTCCTGTATGACCGGTCTTATGCACGTCTTATATGGCCGGTCATAAAGCGCCATACGCTATTTGAAAAGGCGCGTCAGCGCGCCTTAAAAGGCCTGATAACGATACATAATTCTGTATGTATTGACAAAGTTTGAAGAAAGAAAGAGGAATGAACTAGCAGAAATGGGGATACAAATAGCAAACCCTAGAAGGGTTGTACTCGCTATAGAGCACCCCACTACAGGCTAGAACATAAGAATAATATTCTGACATGTACAATACATGTAACCCCAAAAATTTGCAGTTGATCTAGCACAACGGCAATGTTCTAGAAGCATACAACCCTAGTTTCCAAATGCGCAACATCCACGCAATGTGTGTGAAAATTACAAAACAATGAGTGGTTGAACTAACAAGGAGATGGGTACACGTATGAAACTCCAAGTCGAACATTAGGTCGACAGAATGCTCCGAAGACCTCCTGGTCGAGCTGTAGGTCCTGGTCGACGCCCCACCCGTCGCCCAGACCAGTCAGTTGCAGCTGTCGAGCTCCCTGGTCGATAGCAACACCACAGCGGTCCCCTGCAGCTCGACGAATCCTGTCGAGCAGCTCTCCACTGTGAACGGTCGGTTGCTACTCCCGTACATCCGACCAAGTCGCCGGCGTTGCCCAAGCGAGGGCAGGGCCAACACTCCATTCCTGGTAACATGGATATGGCCAAAAAAAGAAGTATGGATACGTGAACGGTATCGTCGTATGATATATTTTTACATGAGGGTTGTTATATGGGGTATAGCAGTATGGGTTAGGTTTACGCACCCCAACCAACCTTAATCGAACCACCATTCTGTTCTTGAGAGTATAGTGGCTAAGGGATTTAATATTACCCATGAGTGTGTTGCATGGGCTGTACCGGGTGGTAGTATGTTTAGCGTTGTTGTGTATTGATGTGATGGACACGAGATTAAGGACTATCAGGTCCTTCTAACATTTCGCTACTTAAACTCCACTCAAAAGATGTTTCATCCATGTATACAATATGTCTATTCCGGTGCACATATATGCAATTTCCTAATTGTCGTGAACCCTAATTTCGCGATACAAAATCACATGATGGAAAGTAGACCTCAAAACGCATCCGTCCTTGGCACGTAACGTCAGGCTCGCGTGGTAACATTGTACCCATCCGGTCATTGGTGAGGTAATATGCTCGTCCGTTAATGATCGGTCATATGCGCGTGCACATATGACCGGTCATATGTGCGTCTGCATTTGCCTCGTCATTTGCACGTGTGAATACAGCGCGTGGATTGCGCCTGTGCGTACTAATGGTCAGGGGCAGTAATGTTTATGGCCGGTCATATGGAGTTTCATATATCTTCAAGTCATGGCAATTCGTTGCTCTTTTTCTCCTAGTAGTAAAGTGCATGCAACGTACCACATTCCCTAACATTCATATGCAGTAGTTAATATTCAGCAATCAAACTATCACCGTACCACTAGCTTGCTACGTGATACACACCTGACCCCCCATATTTGCCCTTACATTTCTTCCGGGTATGCTCCGTCGAGCCACAGTCACCGCACTTGTATCTCCGTTTAGGGGCTTCACGCCTTCGGTTTGATTGTGGCCGCCCTGCTCCTCTCTGCACAAAAATAGGAGGATCACAAACTCCCTCCTCAACTGGCTCGTTTTCAGCAATAACCGTGTCTACACACGAATACGGAATGAGAGACCCATAAGTCTTTTTCCAGTTGTCGGCCTTCCAATACCTGGAAATAAAGGGTATAGGATCCATTCCCCTCTTCCGTAAGTGTGCAAATGCATGTGAGCATGGGAACCGATACTCCTGCCAGTTTTTGCATTCGCACGATCTCTCTCCGACATCATTGTTGAAGGATAGAGGACGTGGATCCAGCAGGGAGCCCTTGTTTCGAACCTCTGCATTGCTTGGACCGTTGCGTGTGACCCTGTAGCCACGGCTTCGGTTCTTTTTCAGCTCAAACCGCTTCTCACCCTCGACCGTCAACGTATGCTGCCAGTTTAAAGATCTACGCTGTCCATCCGAGTAGATATGTGCCATCCAGTCCCACATGCCCGCCATTACGTACGTCACGGGCAGAATACGGATCTTCTTGATAGCGTTGTTTATGGACTCCACCATTTGGCTGCTGTAGATACCAAAGCGACACGTGGGGGCATAACACCGTGCCCATTGCTTGATGAAGACTGTAATCTTCTTTTTCCTCTTGTACCTGGGGCCATCCTGTCTCGTGCGAACGATTATGCCTGCACCTTCCTCCATCTGGTCCCCAGCCCCTTGCTGAGCATCCGCATTGCCCAATCCACCCAACCCCGTCTCAGGACCGCCGGTTACGTCCGCACTTCGTCCTGCTTCGTTCCGTCGACCCATGGGGGGGGGGACACGGTGCTGAAGTGTTGGATGACGTTGTGTTTGGCTCTCTTGCGTTGGCAAATGAGGGTCGGTTGTTGCCCTGTTGTCGAAGACACTGGTCCTTCCAACCCTTGCATCCCGTTTCCCTCTAAGGATCTCCTTCCGCCTTTGCCGCATCTTGGCCGCTTGTTGCGCAGCTGCGTTGGATAGCGTTGGATCAGTCAGCGTAGTGGTGGGATGTGAGCAGTGGCCATTATCTGTACCGTCCTCATCCCCGGAATCCTCCCCGCAGCTGATCTGACTCCCGTCCTCCACCTCGAACTGGTCATTGAACACTTCTGGTGTGGCATCTGTTTCCGGTTGAATATCGTCCAAAGGTGCCGGCTCGTGTCCTTGGTTATCGCCTGCGAACGAAGGGAGCAAAGATGTTGGTGTGGTCTCTTGAGCCGATGAATCAACAATGTCGGCAGCCAGCGAATGGGGCATGGAGGGAAAGGTGTGGTTAGCGGTATCATCTGCCGCCATTGTTTGCTGCTGCTCTCCCCTGCTTT